ATGTTATATGGATTAGAAAATTTGAGTTTGTGGCAAAGACTCAATTTCTTTAATTACATGAACATATGCTACATGTTCTATCTTCACGATATTGGATGTCTCATTATATATTTTTCTATATTTTCTTTGATATTTTCTTTGATATTTCAAACTTTTATCTAACAGAATGCATAGTTTGAAATATCTAAGGTCTACGGCATTGGATTACAAAGATATAGAGATTAGAAAATCATAATTTGTAACAAAGACTCAATTTCTTTATATAAAGATTTTAAAAAGTGAAGATTTTGGTCCCAACTTTTCCCGATACAGGAATTCAGTCTTTGCCAAAATTATATTATGTAATCATATCTCTGCAACCTGATGCTGTAAACCTTTGATATTTCAAACGTGGATAATTTGATCTTACAGACTTTATAGTTTGAAATATCTAAGAGCTACGACATTAGGTTGCAAAGATAAAGGGATTAGAAAACCAGAGTTTGTTGGCTAATACTTATTTCTATTAAAGCGTTAAATTCAAGTTTAACCGCCTAACCGTCCGCACAAAAGTTTAACCCTCTGCAGAAACATATGGGTCAATCGCTTTATTTATCAAGTTTATTTGATTCTTGTGTTCAGAACTCAAGTCATAAACAAAATCCCCGAAAAAAAGACTAGAACTGAAACTTTTAAATTAAGTAACGTTTATTGTGAAATGTTAATAGTCAATTAAAACTTGCAAAATTTCAGTCATCTTCTGTTTATTCTGTTTATTGGCATTTTAATGGAAAGTCCACGTTCAATGATGACATTCAGAATATATGAATGAAAAAAGCAGGGATTCAAGATTTTAAAGTATGCACATCAAACTAGGTTTAATTTAATCTTGCATTTAAATCATGGGGGTTAGCTAAAAATATTTGAAGATAATTTTATTATTTGCGTTGACACTTTTAAAAGTTTTTAACCCTGAAACTTACATTTTTTTTGTGAACTCACATTTTTAAAGATTTAGATAAACTAAACAATTTCATCATTTTTTACTGTTCAATGTACAAACCATTCTTTATTTTGAACCAAACTTCTTATAGTCAACTTCTTATTCCAGAGTTTTCTGGTTATCACTGTACATTTTACACTCAGAATATATTTGTTTAATTCCAGGTGGGTTAAAGATTACTCGTATTTACAAGGTTCAAACAGTAATTAGCGTGAGGTTGGATTTCAAAACGATATATGTCTTCAAATTCAGCGGATATCCGGTTCATGTCAAGACAGGGCAATAGGGTTAATTCAGGGGGGGGGGGTTCAAGATAATTTATTGATGATGTTTGGATAAATAAAATAAAGATCGGTAAAAACCATAGATAAAGATAGATTGCGCATAAGACAACATTTTTCATCTCGAAAGATATAAATGTACAGAGATGTTTTAAAGATATTCCTATTATATAGATTAACTAGGTCGGTTGTGAATATTGGCTGTTCTTATGTCATTGAGTACTTGTGGTGTACATGAGTTCTGTAGAGAGAAATTAAAGTTAGTTTAGTCCTTCTCATGTCCTTCTTCAGTTCTCGTCAATATATTGCTCAGTGAAATATTGCTGTTCAAATAGTTCCATTCCCGGAGTTATTTTACACTCTATTATGAAATCCATTAAAACACCAAACCACCCCCTTATCATTGAAGTGCACTTTGACCCCTAGACGTATGAGTTCGCGTACTGTACAATTCTTGGTGATTTAGCGTACATAAGCTATCTATGTTTATTTATTTATCTATGGTAAAAATATAAAATGGTTAAAAGTATATTCTCTATTTTTAGAATAAATAACTTTAAATAAGAAATATATATTTCGATGTTTTATTAACATCACCCTCATAAAATTAAGATTTACTGAAAAATCACAGAAAATGCGCAGATACTAATATAAACAGTTTTCTTTTGTTAATAAGAATATATCCAGAGTAGAGGTCGAACATTTTTGTGTGACGTATCGTTAATATTGAACACGTGATCTCGATATCCAATGTGGACAAAATGTAAGGTTAAATGATTAGTTCCTCAATTAAAGTAATCTCTGCAGAGTTTGACTCCTACGGGATATCCCTGCAAGGTTTGACTCCGACGGGATATCCCTGCAGGGTTTGACTCCTACTGGGTATCCCTGCAGGGTTTGACTCCTACGGGATATCCCTGCATGGTTCGACTCAACCCCGCATGGTTTGACTCCTACGGGATATCCCTGCAGGGTTTGACTCCTACTGAATATCCCTGCAGGGTTTGACTCCTACTGAATATCCCTGCAGGGTTTGACTCCTTCTGGATATCCCTATCTATATCTAAATCTATCTATCTATCTATCTATCTTATTTTATATATTTCCCCCGAGTTGTGAAATTATAATTGAATAATGACGAATAGAAAATATTTGAAGATAATTGTGAAAGAAAAAACCTGGAGAATACAAGTGCAGAAAGAAACGGTCGAAGAATAAAATTTAAATGTTGAACTTTTGAACTCCTGGAGTAAAGATGACACTGGGTCCTTGATACGTCCTGATACATTCTTCAACCATAGAATACTCAACCCTTGGATACTTTTCTAGATATATCCTGAACCTAGACATAGATACATTCTTCAACCATAGAATACTCAACCCTTGGATACTTTTCTATATCTATCAATTCATTATCTATAAATGTATCTATTTATTAGAAACCTATTCATCTATATTCTCATCGCTTCATTTTTAAATAAACTCATAACAGTAGTTCTTTTATATTTGTCTATAATTTATCAAATGCAAGTATGTATTTATCTATCTTTCTATGAATTAGATATTTATGAATGTATATATTTGTCTATATTTCTATATTTTCTATATCTATCCATCTATTTATCTTTCGTTTATCTAAGATGAAAGAGAAAGCCTATACATATATGTACACTAGGATACTAACTACTCCTAGTTTAAAGTTACTCTGCTCATACAAGTTTCAAGTTTAGATATATGTAAGAAATATAAATTGTATATATGAATATGTTCGGTAAAATTGATGTATGTTGTACACAGTACAACATATTTGTTCTGTACAACTCATTTATTTGGTTTGGTGTTGAAAATGTACCATATGTTTGAGAGGTTCATAGTGAAAATATCTGAGAATTATGAGATATTCATTAAATTTAAATTCTTGATTGACGCGTAAGGGTTTTAAAACAGCAAAACATAATAAATGATCTCCATCAAAATACTAGAAAATGCTGTAACATGCCAAGTACATATACACAAGTACATATGCCAAGTACATATACACAAAATGTTCCTATAAATATGGGAATTAAGAGATGGTTTGAAAATTGTCTTTGATATCCGTATAGTTGATAAATGAACTGGTAGTTCAAATTATTACCTGTTTAAACTGAGTCTGAACTTAATAAATTTGAGCCGCGTCTCAAATCCGCCAAAAACCGGTGTCATAGAGCGCCGGTTTAAATCTTTAAACATTTAATATAATTTTAAATGGAACCAACCATATTTGAACCGCATCTCCAATTTAAGCCACGGCTCAAATTCTTTAATTTCGGCCTCAGGAATACCCCAAATTGTGGTCACGTAATCTTGACACGCGGAACAAAGACGATTTAAAAGTCGTCACTTAATTCCCATGTTTATTGAGACACTTTGTTGTATGGACCATTTATAATTTACTTAATCATTATGCATGCAAGAAAGTATAATATATATATATATCCTGTAGGTTAGAACTATATATTATGCATGCAAGAAATACAATATATATATATATCCTGTAGGTTAGAACTATATATTATGCATGCAAGAAATACAATATATATATATATCCTGTAGGTTAGAACTATATATTTATCTTGAAGGTTAGAATAGGCCTAGGTGTGATCTACTAAACCTAATTGTTTGTGTATCTTAGTATACCCAGATACATAGAAGGATGAAACTGGGATAAATAGCTCAGGGATAGCTTAGAGATACCACCATCTATATTCAATACACATTATACAATATCTATCTATCTGTTTAGAATTCTCAAACCTTTACAATTCTTATTATTGGACAATAATACATAGAGAACCAGGTATAATACAGGGAACCAGGGTTAATACAGATCCCAGGGTTAATACAGAGAACCAGGGATAGTATAGAGAACCAAGGATTATACAGGGAACCAGGGACAGTATAGAGAACCAAGGATAATACAGGGAACCAGGGATAGTATAGAGAACCAGGGTTAATACAGGGAACCAGGGTTAATACAGAGAACCAGGGATAATATAGAGAACCAGGTATAATACAGGGAACCAGGGTTAATACAGAGACCAGGGTTAATACAGAGAACCAGGGATAGTATAGAGAACCAAGGATTATACAGGGAACCAGGGATAGTATAGAGAACCAAGGATAATACAGGGAACCAGGGATAAAACAGAGAACCAGGGATAATACAGGGAACCAAGGTTAATACAGAGAACCAGGGTTAATACAGAGAACCAGGGTTAATACAGGGAACCAGGTTTAATACAGAGACCAGGGTTAAAACAGAGAACCAGTGATAGTATAGAGAACCAGGGATAATGACGGAAAACCAGGGTTAATACATAGAACTAGGGATAGTATAGAGAACCAAGGATTATTCAGGGAACCAGGGATAAAACAGAGAACCAGGGGGCCGATAATAAATAGAACCAGGGGGCCGATAATAAATAGAACCAGGGATAATACAGGGAACCAGATATAGTACAGTGAAAAAATGAAAGATAACTTTTTTCTACATAAACATAATCTGACAAAAAAAAATTCAATCATCAATTTCATTTTTAATTAACATAACGTAGCCAGTGTCGTTTCTTAAGGTGAATGTCGTTGTAATTAATATAAAAAATTTAAAAAGATCAAATGCGCTATTTTGCCCCTGTAAATCCGCAACTTATTGCAAATCTCATTAGGAATCACTAAATAAAAAACTAAATGGGAAAAGGTGTATTCAGAAGGAATACGTCATTGTCGCGGAGTATAAAATACTTATATTGCATTACGATCTATCCCAAATGCAACAATAAGTTCTTTACATTATTGTAACGATTATATAAGAATTAAAATTTTCAGAAATAAAAACGAATGCACACGTGAATATGGGCTGAGTAAACGAATACAAAAACAACAAAAAACAGGTACATATATATATATATATATATGTATATATCTATATATATATTTATGAAAACTGAAAACTAAATTATCTAAACTAAATTGAAAACTAAATTTCAACAATAACTAGGTATATAATAAGGCATTTAAGCCGTGGTCTAGGTCCTGCTTACTAACTGCTTTTTGTTTATACTAAATCTAGTTCCCAAGCTGTCCTAATACAAATGCAAATAAACCCGAACATTCCCTCCCTAGCTCTATTTTGCCTTGGATGCAACCACAAATTACATATAGCTAGAAGATATTTGTACTTATAAACCCTATATTTAGTAATATTTTGTTTATGTTTATATAGGGTTACCCATTCAAAGGAAAGACCAAAAAGTCTTGAAAGATGACGATCTAAATTTTAGATTTGGGTAAAGAAATGAAATGAAATTAACGGAAGCATGGTGTAAGAAAAAGAACTTTTAATAAGTTCCTTATGCAGTTGTATCATCTTTTGTCTGAACCAAGACACAAAAATTGAGTCTTTGCTGTAAACTCAAATTTGCTAATCCCTATATCTTTGCAATCGGATAGTGTAAACTAGTAGTTTGAAATATCAAAGGTCTGTAACATTGGGTTGGAAAGTTATAGGGATTAGAAAATCAGAGTTTGTGGCAAAGACTCAATTCCTTTAAATGTAAAATAGAAAATACATATTACATATGTTGTATATTAAACAATATACACCATTGTATACAATAAACAATATACACAATGGTATACAATAAAGAATATACACAATGTTGTGCATTAAACAATATAAACCATGGTATACAACTAACAATATATACAATGCTGTACAGTAAAAAATATAAATATGTTGTACAAAAAACAATATATGCAGTTTTTACAACAAACAATATATACAATGTTGTACAAAAAAAACAATATACACATTGTTGTACAATAAATTGTATGCACAATCTTGCACAATAAGCAATATATATATATATATATATATATATATATATATATATATATATGTTTAAAAAGAAAACTCTTCCAAACACAAAAAGAGAAGATTGTATTGAGGAAAATTGTAAAGGGCGCAATCGTGATTTGCTCCAGATCATTACAAATAAAAGCATTGATACATACATGAAAATATACTTCCTGTTCTAGATGGAGGTCTTGGGAGGTCTAGGTGTAGTAGATTGGGTCATTTTTGGGTAAGAAATATCATTTTAAAATTTTAGTTTTAGTTTTTTGAATTTTTTTTTTTCATATACGTTTTCCTGCAATAGAAATGCGCAAGTCACTTTTAAAGAGAAACCACAGTTGTAAATAATCTATTTTCAAAGTTGTTATATCTAGTTCATACTTGATCAGACAAAGCTTTAAGGGTACTGTTGAGAATCGTGCATTGTACTCTTTGCATAGACGGTCACTTAAAATTACGTTTACAGTCCCTTTTTTCAAAAAATGTTTTTTATTTCCAATAAAACTAGTTCACCAGCTCGTCAACTCTGTAAAAATAGAAGGAAAAAAAACAGTAATTCGACGCAATAGTAACTTTTTTTACAAAATAATAAAAAAAGGATTTTAATTCATTAAGATTTCATCTTATAAAAATGCAATTATGTCTTTGCCACAAACTCAACTGGAACCACCCCTTTATCTTTAGAACCTGATGGTGTAAATTTAAATTTGCTTGGTATTTCAAACTTAGATTATTTGATCTATCAGAATTTATATCTAAGGTCTACGACATTGGGTTGCGAAGAAATAGGGATTAGATTAGTTTGCGATAAAAACTTAATTCCTTACAAACATTAAGAAATTGATGTTTTTGTTCCAGGTTGGTTCTAGTAGTTCCCCTGTTCCTAACAGTGTTCCTGGGAGTATGGAAGGGAGGAACTCAAACAAACTCCGCATATTTGCTTGGGAACAGGTTAAAAATATTATGCTTGCCTCAGACGAAAGAGAAATAAAAAGAAGAAGACAGGGGCGTTTACAGGAATGTTTTCAGGGGGGGATTAACTTTGCTTACCTCCCCCCTCCCATTCATGTTCCTAGTGGGGAATTAATAAATATTCTCTATTGCAAAAAATTACTCACAAGTATTCGGTCGTATAATGAATTAGTGAGCATGCAATTAATAATGTTAATGAACATTGAGTCTGGACTTTTGAGGATGCACTATTGATAACACACAAAAATAGCATATATAAATTGCAGCAGGATGCGAGTAAAGCATAGAGAAAGGAAATGAAGAGGTAAAGCTGACCTCAGACGTACACAACTGACCTCCCTATTAAATAATTAATATAGTGGTCGGTTGTGTACATCACGATATGTTTACGTATCTAACACTGTACACTTGTAGATAGAGTGATAGTATTTCTTTGGGGTTGTAAAATGTAGATAATTGAATATTTGTATAGATAATTAGATAGACACTTAATATGGATTGTATACTGCAGTACATTCCAGTTCAGCTGTTTGTTTTTGTAAATTAACGTATGACCAAATATTGCATCGTGAAAAATTGCACAATCAATTCTTCTTATAAAAATGTTAGCTTTTTCAAAATATCAAAACATTGTGCAATGGCTAGACCTTTTAAGGTTGGGAGACTCAAGTTGTATTTGCTCAAACCATTTTAAAGAAGGAGATGTCAGTCAGGGGAAATACGATGCAATATAAGGGGGGGGGGGATTTTCTTTTATCCAGAATACATTTCTTTTTTTTATATCATATCAGATGTATTGACTAATTGAATATTCTGTTGGTAAGATTAGTTTTTTTTATGGTTGATTATTTAATACACACTTTTCTTGCCCTCCCCCCCCTAGAAAAATTTCTCTTTATATAAAGAGCGAAAATCTAAAAAATTATTAATTCAATAAAATCCCCCCTAGAAAAACGATCACTCCATTTACAAGTGTACAGTTTTAGTTACGTAAACATATCGTGATGTACACAACCGACCACTCTATTAATTAATTAATAGAGTGGTCGGCTGTGTACATCTGAGGTCAGCTTTACCTCTTAGTTTCCTTTCTCTATGGAGTACAGCTTCAACAAGTTTATACAGATCTTGCTGTATAATCATTTGAATTTAACTTATACGCTACGACTAACTTTAATTTTAATATTGTCACCAGTTTGCTATAAAACCGTAAAAAGGCGCGATTTATTTTGTTTTTTCTGTCTTTCTGATGAAAGATATGAACACGAAAGGAGTTACCAATAATTTTGCAATTAGAAACTGAACGCTCACCACAAATTATAATTTTCTAATCCATATCTTTAAAACCTGATGTTGTAGGACTTTGATATTTCAAACTACGAATTCTTCTGTCAGATAAAATAATGGAAGTTTAAAATATCAAATATTTTCTAAATCAGATTGCTAAGACATACAAAATTATAGTTTGTGCAGCGAGTGATAAGTTACCTTGACCGTGTTCCTTCTTGATTAGACTTGAGAGTAAGGTTCCAGAAATAATTTTTTTTCAGGAATCTTTCATTTTTCCCTGTAGCTCTATCCCTAGCTGTATCCTACCTATCAGCAGTCACTATTTCAGGTTTATGCTTTATATAATATTTGTAGACTATCAATTAACTTTTAAGCGACCCTAGATCTGAATATTCCCATTTATGACTTCTTTAAATTTCCTAATCTAGCAATACAGTGACAATTAATTGATTGTCGTCTTCGTTAGTTATTTTTGGCTAGAAAAAACAAAAACAATTTTTAATATTTCCAATCAAAAGAAAAAATCCGCTGCTGATGGGTTATCAATAATAGATTATTCTGTCTGAAAATTGATAATCTTAGGCAATGGATTTCTATGGATTTAGCCACTCATGTAATTTTTCAAAAAGATGAACAAGTAAGTTTCCGCCTTTGCTTATTCGTGTTGCGAACCATAATCTTTCTTTTACAACTTGCAATTTTGTTCCCTTTTATATTCATGTCTAAGTTTGGTATTAATTCAAGTTTAGGTCATTGATCTTTTTTATTGACTGTCCCATGCATGCATACACAAATAATTCTATTTGTTCCTGTTTTTACTGCAGACGATTGTATTCAGTCCTTGTATCAGGATTCAGGATTTATGTATACATTGTTTACAACTTTCAAGTTCAATGTTTTATAGGAAGAATGGAAGGGGGGGGGGGTGGAAGGGGGTCGTGAAGGTAAAAATTGGATTCTGAAGGTTAAAGGATAAATAGCTTGGATAAACGACTTAGACAGGAAGGTTCTCTTGTTTAATAGAAGGATAGGACAGGAAGATAGGAAGATTCTCTTGTTTAATAGAAGGATAGGACAGGAAGATAGGAAGGTTTTCTTGTTGAATAGAAGGATAGGACAGGAAGATAGGAAGATTCTCTTGTTGAATAGAAGGATAGGACAGGAAGATAGGAAGGTTTTCTTGTTGAATAGAAGGATAGGACAGGAAGATAGGAAGATTCTCTTGTTGAATAGAAGGATAGGACAGGAAGATAGGAAGGTTTTCTTGTTGAATAGAAGGATAAGAAAGAAAGACATGAAGGTTCTCTTTTTGAATTAAAGTATAGGACAGAAAGACATGAAGGTTCTCTTGCTTATTGAATAGAGGGATTAGAGACAGGGAGACAGGAATGTTTTCAATGGAAAGAATGATGAAGTATCTCTAGGTTTATTAATCTCAGTGGTCTGTAGGATTGTTAATCACGATCACGCATACATGTAAATTATATGAGGGGGGGGGGGACAAACAGGGTTATCTCATAGATAAATAAATAAACATAAATAGCTTATGTACGCAAAATCACCCAGTATTGTACAGTCCGTGAACTCACACTTCTAGGGGTCAATGGAAAGCGGGGTCTATGGGTTATTTACAAAGAATAAAAGAATAAGACTTCAATTACGACCGAAAAGGCTAAATTTCTCAAAATATGAGCAGAGGGTTGTATTTGTTCTAATATGTTAAATATATATTATTTGAAAAGTATATTTAAAGACAGAAACAAGTTAAAGCAGTGCATGAAACACCGTTCTAGAAAAGCCTGAATAAAATTGATAAAGTCGTCTCTGAAATCTCATCCTGTGGTGGTAACCCTGTATAAACATACATATTTGTACACTTTACATCATACCTTGTACACTGTACAGTGTACAGCTAGGATAGAAATTCCTTGCAGTTTGCCAGCTATAAATAACACTATACTATATTCACCATTCTTCTGTTCCAACTCCATACATCCAACACCATAGTTGAAAAAGGAAGAAAGGAGTTCATTATAAATTTGCATATGCAAATTTAAGACTTTATTTGATGATGTATAAAATCAGATTCCTGGATAGGGTTCAGATCCAAATATTTAGATCCTTATTTCAAATGGTGTCTTAGAAAATAATCAAGATATACAAAATCGTGTTCTGGCAAATATAAGGATTTTAATTACATAGCAAGGTTTTATACAAACATTGACTTCACCTTTTCTAATTTAATATTTTAGATAAATGAAATCTGGACGTGAAATTAAATGTACTCGATGCATAAGAATAAAATCAAGATTTTAAAAAAAAATTCAGAGATTTGTGTTTTCTTTTGTTTTTATGGCGATTAATTCGTCTTGATAATTCTTGATGTTTTTTTAAGATTGATAGAAACGCCCAGATATCCCTGTAATGATCCAGTAAAAGCCCAGATAATCCCAGATATCCCTGTAATGATCCAGCAAAAGCCCAGATAATCCCAGATATCCCTTTAATGATCCTGTAAAAGCCCAGATAATCCCAGATATCCCTGTAATGATCCAGTAAAAGCCCAGATAATCCCAGATATCCCTGTAATGATCCAGTAAAAGCCGAGATAATCCCAGATATCCCTGTAATGATCCAGTAAAAGCCCAGATAATCCCAGATATCCCTGGAAAATGTCAATGAAAAAATGGATAAAATCTTTCAACCATGCTGAAACGGTTCGATGCATTCCTATAAAATCAATCAAATGTATTTTATATCCATGATTAATTTATTACACTCACCCTGTAATATTCTTCTTCTAGGAAGGTGGAAGAAGGGGGATGTGTATGGGGTGAATCTAGGGAGAATAGAAAGCTTCTAGTTTTTTTAATTCAAAATTTAAGACTAAATAATATTTTCACTCCAAAATTAAATAATTTCTAGGAAATAATTTCTATGAGGAAGAAATAGAAAGGGGCACCACTCACCCTCCCCCACTACTCGACGTCAAAAGGACCAAAATATCACTTTTTCATTTATCTCCCCCCCCTCTCTTCTCCCCTTCTTACTCTATAGTCAAATATCAAAAAAGTATTTCTATTCATCGTTAAATACAATTATGCCAGTTTTTTACATGAATCTTGTTTTTTTTTTAAATACTATTGTGTATGATCACTCCCCCTGTGTTATGTGATCGGTGAATCGTGGTTTCAATGTCAAATCTTGAACTTGTATAGTTGTAGATAGATATTAGATAATCTAATATATGAAATCTTCAAGAGCCAAGGATACCGCGCTGCATGCACAATGCTGTAAAGTTCACAGATAATATCAAAATCTTTTAGAGAAATAACTAACCTTTAAAGTTTAAACACTGATTACACAGATCGAAACAAAGAGGTTTTGTCTGTACCTTCTCTAAACCGTATTGATCTGTATCCAGTCTAGTTGAAGTTTGAATCATGGTTTTATGAAGTCCGTGTCCGAATTTAATGAATTTAAGCCGCGTCTTAAATTTCCCAAAAACCGGTTTCAATTGAGCGCCGGCTTAAATCTTAAAAAAATTAATGCAATTTTAAGTGGAACCAACAATATTTGAGCCGCGGCTTAAATCTAAGCCGCCGCTCAAATTCTTTAAATTCGGTCACGTAAAACTTAATTTATTTTTTGCCAAGTTTTAATTTTAATTCGAAATCTGTCGACGATTGCGTAAATAAGACTTTATATAACCTGAAATATTCAGACTCTATGGTCAAACAAAAAATTGTTAAATTTTAAATTTGAAAAAGCTGTATTTAAGAGGACTGTAAGCAAAATTTCAAGTGACCCTCCATGCGAGGAAGGCAATGCCCGATTTACAAAGGTACCCTTTAAACATTTGACTGTTTATCAATTAAACACGTTTTTGTGGATTAAGGAGTCCCTTACATACACAACATTGATCATTCGAAGGTTTTAAGAGTACTGTGAATTGGACATTGTCATCTTTGCATAGAGGGTCACTTGAAATTACGCGTATAGTTCTTTTAACAGGTGAAAATAGGTTTCAAAGTTGATGCTTACTAAGTTTAAACCAGAATCCTTAAAAGGACTGTAAAGGAGAAATGAAAGGGGGTATAGGCTGAAAGCTAATCACTTTAGCTCTTGATCGCGACCCGTGGAAGTTATATCTGATGTTCCTGTCTCGAGAAATTGATACAAAACTGTGTAAAATTTATTCGAAAATTCACATATATACAATTTTGTATAGAAATAGTAGGTTTAAACAGATCATATTCAGCAAATACGCAACCAATCTGAAAACGAAGATATCCCAGAGAAACCTTATAGTAACTTAGGTTTTCTCCAATTATTATTTTATAATTTTTATTTTAATAGATAAAATTGAAAATATTATTTATAATTGTCCGTATTGCGTGGTGGTTCAGTATACTGCGCTCTCATTGGTGGAAGTTCTTATACTTTTCAGCTCCAGAGTTACATTTACTGAAATAATCAAAACTGCAAAATCATTTATTTTCGACTTTTTACACTGAGAAGAGAAAAGAGATCATAAATAAAAAAGGAAATAATCCTGTGAATTTCTTTAAATAGAAAATCTATTGGAAACTAGAATTATTGGTTTCGTGGGTTTTCGACAACCATATTTACAATAGATAATTTAGATTGACAGCCGAATCTCCTTGCTCTCCGTCTGTCAAACTAAGGTCATTTAAATTCTATTCCTGGCAGAATTTTCATGTTTTGAATTTAAATACTTATAATGCTGATACAGTTATCCTGAACCCTCAAGTACAAACCTAATCAGTAATTCAGGCTTTCGTAAAAACTGGTTTAGTTAATTCTATACAGCACATCTTTGGAATCCAGCAGAGTGGTGGAAAATAAACTTTTTCCTCCAGGGTTGCCTGGAATATTTAGATTTTAATTTGATGTATCAATTGGGCTAGCTTGCTTCCGCGCATGCATGTCTGTAGCATTAATGATCATAAAATGTTATTATTAATTAGAGAACTCTTATTGGTTGGAACCTAGCAGGGATATCCAAAAGAAAGGATTAAGCAGAAAATCGAAAGGTTCACAGTGGATATTGAGATTAAGTAAACGGTATTAAGGGGCTGCCAGCCTCGGAATCAGGATTAAAAACTGTTCTTATATTAAAAGTGGGAAAATTTTGAGATTTTTTTGTGTTATTGTTAAAATAATATTAATTTACGAAGAAAAAGCAAAGCTTAATATTACTTAATATGACTGTGTGATACAGTTAACAATTAAATGAATGCAACTATAGGTTTCCAAAATCCAAAAAGAACATCCCTGAAGGGCATCATGGGCCATTATTCAGCACCAGTTACGTGTGTCGTGTAATTTGTAAAATTATTTGCAATTATTTAGCAACACATCCCGGGATATTATCATGCAAGCAGACAGATTCACGGACATGCAATTCATAGGTTTTCTCTACACCAGACATCAGGATTATGCCCACAGAGGATGATTGAGACTAATGATTATTTAATTATGACGAGTTTAAGGAACTGCATTGAGCGTAATCAAGTGAGGCGATCTTCCATGCAATATAAGATTAATATCGGTACAACCGTACACTTGAAATCGTTCTTTATAATATTTTTGTTTTTCTAGGTTTACTTGTGTTTAATTCTGATAATTCTTACATTTTTTATTGCAGTAAAAATGCGCAAGGTTTTTTTTAGAGAAATTACAAGTGGAAATAATTAGTCTTTCAAAATTATAATCATTTACATCTAATTCATACTTGATCAAAAAAGGTCTTTAAGGACTTGTATTCCAGGTGTTCCAGGAGAAGTAAACTACTATGGAACACTGTTCCCCTGGACCTAGTGTATAAATATCCTTGTATTCCAGGTGTTCCAGGAGAACTATACTACTATGGAACACTGTTCCCTTGGACCTAGTATAAATATCCTTGTATTCCAGGTGTTCCAGGAGAAGTATACTACTATGGAACACTGTTCCCCTGGACTTAGTATATATATATCCTTGTATTCCGGGTGTTCCAGGAGAAGTATACTACTATGGAACACTGTTCCCCTGGACCTAGTATATATATCCTTGTATTCCAGGTGTTCCAGGAGAAGTATACTACTAAGGAACACTGTTCTCCTGGACCTAGTATATATATATATCCTTGTATTCCAGGTGTTCCAGGAGAAGTATACTACTATGGAACACTGTTCCCCTGGACCTACCTCCTCGCTGTTAGTTTTGCTCTTATTACTTTACCCAACATATTCATCCCTGTCTTTCATAAGGTAACAAGAACTAGAATAAAAAAAATAAGATAATCGAAACAAAGTAACAAGAAAAAGAACTAGATCCAGGTTACAAAAAAGAACAAGGTAACGAGAACAAGAAACAAGGTTAACAAAATCAAGAACATGGTGATAAGAAAAAAACAAGAGCAAGAACAAAAACAAGGATAGAAATAACAAGAAAAACTTGAATAGGATAACAGTAATTACTAGAACAAGGTAACAAGGATAAGATAATAAGATTAATAACAAGTTAACAATAACAGATAAGAACAATACATAAAACAAGAACAAATAAAAAAGACCAAGGCATTAATAACAAGAACGAGAAAAATAAATAACTGAATAAAAAAATGAGGGAATATCTGAAATAAACCTGCGGACAAATCGTTTCTAAATATCTACTCTTAAAGTCGTTATTGGTGATTATTTAACCGTAACTAAACAATCATGATTGAGACTTCTCCGATTTTAATATTGAAAATTGAAACCTTCGGCCGCTGTTTCTTTAGAAATGTTAAAGTTGTACTTGTTAACAGTGTGCAGCTTAAGGTGAAGTTCCAGATCCTTCGAGAATAGTATAAGAACTGGTTGAGTTAATTATTCTAATATTTAGATGCATCTGACCAGTGTTTATGAGTACCTAGAGCTAAGATACAGCTCTAGGTTGGTGAGAAGACTGGGATCCTTAACCTTCATTGTAACAATCATTCTTTATCTAGGAGTAGCACTGTATGCACCATGTATCAGGTAAACTTCAAAAATAATTTCTTTAAAATTCAAAAACATAAGAAAATTTCTAATTTAATGCTATTTCAATAGTTTATTTGACAGTTTGTCTAGCTAAAGACAATCCCAAAAAACGTTATGGTTCCAATTTCACTGTAGGTCAGGGCCAGGGGGGGGGGTATGTTGTTATTGTTTGCAATGAACTTTAAAATATACTCTCAGATAAAAAAAAATTATGAAAAAAAATAAAGTATGTTTTTATTTCAATTATTAAAACAACGTATTTATTTTGTATTGAAAGAGAAATGAATTTATAATAAAAAAACAGGAAAAAGAAAATAAATTATCAAGATTAAAACGTAATTATGTTCATCATAAAAAAGGAAAAAGTTAATACTGTTAATTTTTTTCTTCAATTATTTCACGAATAAAGCATGTTATATTCTATGTGTGAACTATTATACACAGAATATAGAGGCATTTTTCTGCAAACTGTACACTGTATTTACTATATGCTTAAAACATAAGTCACCATAAGGATTAACTGAACATAATTTATGTAAAAAGTTTATGTTGTTACTAGAGTCTTATATTTTGTGGGTAACCCTGTATAAAATATGAAACCTTAATTCGGATTATAATCCTTATCGTCCCAATCCTCCATCTTAATCACTTAATTTATAAACGGAAGAGATATCACATCAACTAAAACAGATTTCTATTGGTATACATAATCACTGATCAAGGGTTGATAACAGAGATAAGAGAATACAGAGATCTATTAAAGGTTAGACAATGCAATATTTTCCACAGCCGGTTCCGTTGTGTACAACTGGAGTACACGACCAATAAACAGACGTCTGTATTTAGGAATATTTAAGGATCCTTTGGACACGAAATACAAAACAGCCTAAATTTATGAAATTTATGTTTTATGTCAAAAGTTAGAGTATTTCTCTAAAATTTCTAAAACTTATCCCCTGAATGGGTATTATATGCAAATAGTGGCCGTTAGATGGCAGTCAAAAATCTTTCGTGGAAATGTAGCATAGCCTGCCGGGATATCTATAACCCTCCTTAGACTATCTCGTGAGAGCTTATGAGCAGTCTGTGTATATCTAGCCTGTGATTCAGACTTTTCAATTTGTAACGAGATATTTTTACAAATGAATTATAGTTAGGGAAGGATTCACCTAGAAACAGAAACATTACGAGATAAATATCAAAAATCCAAACTCGTTATTAAAAGAAATTAAGCTTTTGCAACAAACCCAAATTTTCTAATCCCTATATCTTTGCAACCCAATGTTATAATGCTTTGATATTTCAAACTTAGACTATTTCACCTTACAGCATGTATAGTTTGATATATCAAAGGTTATGACATCGTGTTGCTTAGACATAGGGATTAGAAAATTAGAGTTTGTGAAAAAAAAACTCAATTCCTTTCATAACTAAACCCTTGGCCAGGTGTTTTTATCATGGTTTTATACCCAATCTCTTTCCACTTTCCACATTATCTTATTCAAATAAAACCTTTATCATAGCATCTGAACGGTTTATCATACCTTATTACATATTAAATCAACAAGCCGGGAAGATAAAGTGAGGATTATAAAAATTAATGTATATATTTTTATAAAGTTTATCCTTGATGACTGGTGGACCTGTCTGGGCATTTATAATCGGTTCCGGACTATTCTCAGTTCTCGTTACAGCATTCGGCGGCCTTAGAACAGTCGTCTGGACGGACGCATGGCAGGTAAAGGCCTTTCCGAGGTCAAAACTTGTGTATTGGTAATCCATGGATTAAGTTAAGTAGTACTGAAAGTGACAAATCAAGCACTTTTTGTCCACATTTATAAATGGATATAGAAATATTAGAAGAAACCACCAAAAGTCAATACAAAGATAAGGTTTTTACATTTTTCATTGTAATAAACATCACATTTTTCATTAATATCAACATCACATTGTTCATTGTAATAAACATCACATTGTTCATTAATATCAACATCACATTGTTCATTGTTATCAACATCACATTGTTCGTTGTAATTAACATCACATTGTTCATTGTTATCAACATCACATTGTTTATTGTTATCAACATCACATTTGTTATCAACATCACATTATTCATTGTTATCAACATCACATTGTTCGTTGTAATTAACATCACATTGTTTATTGTTATCAACATCACATTGTTCATTGTTATCAACATCACATTATTCATTGTAATCAACATCAAATTGTTCATTGTTATCTACATCGCATTGCTCATTGTTATCAACATCAGATTTCTCTTTGTTATCAACATCAGATTGCTCTTTGTTATCAACATCACATTGTTCATTGTTATCAACATCACATTGTTCATTGTAATCAACATCACATTGTTCATTGTATTTCACAATGCATTGTTCATTGTAATGCTTAAACACTATTCCCCAAGAATTGAGAAGGATATGTAATATATCGAAATATATATTTGTTCTGAGTTCCATCAAGTTTTTATTGAAGTAGTTAAAACTCTTTTCCTCAATTGGGAATAGTTACAATAATATATTGTTTATTGTAATCAACATCGCGTTATTTAATGTTCAATAAAATAAACGCCACTTTGTTTATTGTAATCAACATCATGCGTTCTTAATTTTTATCAACGTCACATTCTTCACTGAAATCAATATCGCGTTGTTTATTGTGTAATCAACAGCGCTTTGTTCATTGAAATCAACATAACATTGTTAATAATCAACAACACGATGTTCATTGTAACCAACATAGTTCATTGTCCATCGTTTTTTGTAGTCAACGTCACATTGTTCATTGTAATTAACATCCCTGGATACATTGAAACCAACAATAGATTATTCATTGTAATGAACAATTTATTGTTGATATTGAAATCAACAATACATTGACCATTGTAACCAACATCACATTGTTCATATATTGTAATCAACATCACATTGTTCATATATTGTAATCAACATAAGATGGTTTATTTGATCTCGGTGTTGAGGAAACTAAATAATTGGATAAAAATATTTCCAAAAATGTATTTCATTTAATCAATGAGTAATATATCTGTTTAGGCTGGAATAATGATCGCAGGATTGATCGGAATGATAGTTCTGGGGTTGAGGACGGATCCTGATGGATTTAGCGGAGCGTGGTTCAATTCTGTCTCCAGGGGTAGGATACAGCTGGCAGATTGGTCTACAGACCCAACCCAGAGAACATCAACCCTTAGTATTTTCTTCGGGCAGCTAATTCAGGAAGAGATTTAAACATTCAAACAATAAAATTATCCATAAAAATTTCTGCAGATGCTATGAAGAAATGTTTAGAATATAACACCATTTAAAGCTAGACATGCTTTTCATATTATTAGTCAGAACAAGGTTTAAAGGGTAGTATGACGAAAAATCCCACTCTTTAATGGGAGGGTTGCTTGAAATTGAAACGATGGTCCTCTAATTGCGCAGTAAAAATATGTTTAAAAACACATAACAAGTTTAAATTTTCTCCCTGAAATTCAGTGGGGAACTATTTTCTCCTGTCACCAAACCCAAGTACAAAGATTCTGCTCAACAAAATCAATCTCTACTGCACGTTGGTAAGCACAGAGTTTTTTTCAGTTACTTCTGTTCTAAAAATGTGTTAAATTTTTTGTTTTCGGGAGTGTAAGAAGGGGATTTATTTTGTCCAAAAAAACCTTTATCTTTATTTTAAATTCAAATGCATAGTTTAAAGACTCCCGTTTAGGTTCTCAGCATTTGAAATTCTTTTCTCCAAATGTGAATAAACAATTTTCGTTATACAAAATATACATGGTTTAGAAACTGGATTGAATCAACAGAAAGAAAAAAGTAAAAATATTTTTAAGATTAATTTTTAGTAAATGCTGGGTTATTTTTAATCTTAAAATGTTGAGATATGAATTAAGATATAAAAGAAGTGAAAAAGAACAATGTAATTTTGCAGACCGCTTTTAAAGCACCTTGAAAGGATTTTTATTTTAAAAAAGAAATTAATCTGTTACATATTATTTCCGACTGTTACACTAACATTCTAACATTTACTTTCTGTCACTGTAAATATTTGTATATCCATGACAATTACCACAATTTTTAGTTGATATACTTTTTTTAACATTCTTTTTGGAGAAAAAAAATTACAGAAAAAAGCAAGGAAGGTAGACTAGGAACCGCCATATCTGATACGTCATTTCTGTGTACTCTATCAGGGGATTATTCATTTGGTGTACCGTCCCGTCTATAGTCTGTACGGTAAAACGTAATGCATATATGTACTGCATTACTTGCTCTAGATGCCTATATAACTGTAAGTTGACTCGGTAAGGAACTTCAAATGAACCGGAGTTTTCAGTAGCCAACAGTAATGCAGTGCCATTAACAAAATAAACAAGGAAAACAAAAAATTTAAACAGTTTTTTATTATGTTTTTTTTCTTTAGGTCCCTAGCTGTGAATCTTTTAGGTTAAGAAAATATTCGCTTTTTAACTTTTAACCAATCATAAAAATATATTGAATTCTCCTAAACTAAAGTAAATTTGATTTTAGATTTTAAACTGACAGTTTTTCCGACGAAACTATGTTTCCTGAAGAGTTAATAATATTTTGTTTATAAAATGAAACATAAACAAGATGGCTTTCTCACTTACGAGGTCGGATAGATGTACCAGTAATTCAGGGTAAAAATAATTTTTACTAATGTCTACATTTCAATACAATTTACTAAATATGTTAAACCCAACATACGAATATAAATCTTGTCAGTAATCTGGATAATCAACCTGGGTGCAATACTAGCTGGGCTGGTCATCTTTAATACATTCAGGGACTGTGATCCACTCACTACAGGACAAATTCAGGGAATCAACAATATTTTTTTATAAATATTTCTTTTTTTAAAGTGACCCACCATCAATTTAAGTAACTGTGATACATGCTAGATTCACAACGGTACCCGTCAGCTATTTATTGAAAAAGAAATGAGAAGTTTATTATCGCTTTTCTTTCTTAAAAAGTAAAAATTCTCTTAAAATTTGACACTTATCTCCGCTTCAAAAACCTGTAAGTCCCTGTTAAAGAGATCCACCAATGATGGAAATAATAATATTAAACAGGGATAACTTTTTTATAAGATAAGAGGATTCAGGGTACAATTATATAACTTACACACAACTCTTTAAATTCAAGATCACCTAAAATACCATCTAATTTACTTTAAAAATCTTCAAAATTCTTATTATTGAATCCAAAGATTTTGAAAGGTAAGTTATTGGATTGCTTTTAAACAGAGGATTAGAATTAAAATAGTTTTTATTTCAAGTATTATTTTGTTGTTCTTTAGAAAACGGATTCTATCGCGACATATTTTGTACAAAAGTTTCTAATTCCTGTGCACGGCCTCGGAGGTCTCTTCCTTGGAGCTCTGGTCTCTGGTGCTCTATCATCTGTATCCTCTGGACTCAACTCCCTGGCCTCCGTCCTCTGGGAGGATTTCTTATCCCAGAGCAATTGGGCAATTAACCTGACAGAGGCTAAGGTATAAAAAAGACATTTTTCTTGAAAAGAACTGTCAACCAAATTGTGTGTGGCCCTTAGAAGAGTTGCATGCCTGATTCATAACGGTATCCTTTACTTACCTGTATCAGAGAAATAGTCGTTTTTCAATTTTCCTTTCTGTTTCTGCAGCATGAACCAACAATTCAAATTATCAACTTTCAGATAGCAAAACAAGGAAATCTTCTTCATTTTTACTTATTATAGGGCACCGTTACGAATCCAAAATGCCTCCCAATAAATGAAGTCAATATGCCAGTTCATTAAAAAAACTAATACAAACCCTCCTTAAATAATAAAAGCCTTACTATTTATAACCATTCGTGCTTGACTCGGGCGTTAATCATTTAGAATAGGAGTTTACTTCTGAGCCTCCTTCCCCCTTCATAAATATAACATTAATGTATTTAAAAATGTTTATGCATAAAAAGAATTTCAAAGCTACCCTTACAATGATTGAATGAATTCTCAAAAGTTCTTAGGTTGGAATTTATGAAAAGAGATATATAGTTGAACTAGACGCTGCTAATTCTACAACAAGAAATTGAGATAGCCGTAGTTCAACTTTTTTTGCTTGCTTGCTATCAATAAAATTCTCCCCTCTTTGAATAAGTAAATGTTTTTACGCAATGGAAAAATAATGTCTGTAAAGAACCGAGAATTGTAGAATAAAAGAAATTGAGTTTTTTGCCACAAAGATAAAGCAAAAATATAGAGATTAGAAAGTCAAAGTTTGTTGTAATTTAACTCAATTCATTTCAGAAGGTTGCAATAACCCGATGCCTGGCGTCTGGGTTCGGATTGATATCAACAGGGTTAGCTCTAGGTTTCTCCAGGCTAGATGGAATACTCAAAGTTGCAGCAACTTCTATAGGTTAGTATGTAATAAATACAGTTCCTGATCATATAATTATACATTTGAACATACCTAGATAAATTATGTTAGACATTGTCAGTAAATCTAAATGCATTTATCTTGAACTACGCAAAACTTGTAATGCGATTAGATTAGCTAAGTATTGTGAGCAGCTTAACTACAATAATATATATCTGCGCAAATCCTGTAAATATGTATATTAACTTAATATGTAACATAGATTTCTAAATAAACATTAGTTGCAATAGACTCCAATTGGTTATGGTGATAGAGTAATTGCTTCTTGTTTTAACGTACAAGTTGATGAGATTGTGCCCATAGGTTTGGCATTGATAGTTTCCTAGCTTGTGTCAGTGTTGACATTCATGGCTGACGAGATCGTGCCATATTGGTTTGGCATTGATAGTTTACTAGCTTGTGTCCGTGTTGACATTCATAGCTGACGAGATCGTGCCATATTGGGTTGGCATTGATAGTTTACTAGCTTGTGTCCGTGTTGACATTCATAGCATACGAGATCGTGCATTGATAGTTTACTAGCTTGTGTCCGTGTTGACATTCATAGCTGATGAGATCGTGCCATATTGGTTTGGCATTGATAGTTTACTAGCTTGTGTCCGTGTTGACATTCATAGCTGATGAGATCGTGCCATATTGGTTTGGCATTGATAGTTTACTAGCTTGTGTCCATGTTGACATTGAAAGCTTATTAGCTTGTGTCCGTGTTGACATTGATATCTAACGAGTTGCAGCTGGATTGATACAGGTCTGAGAACAGTTTTAGGAGTAAGTCATTTACTTCAAGTATATCTCTAGGGTTCTCCAGGCTAGATAGAATACTCAAGGTTGAAGCAACCTCTATAGGTTAGTATATCCCATGGCTTCTCCGGGCTAGACGGAATTCTCAAGGTTGAAGCAATCTCTATAGGTTAGTATATCTCTAGGTTTCTCCGGGCTAGACGGAATACTCAAGGTTGCAGCAACTTCTAATGGTTAGATTATATATATCTTCACCCAAATATGGTCTCAAACATTTTTGTTCTTTACAATTTTTTTGCCTTATCTTTTCTCTCGATGGAAGACGACCTCCTTTGTTTGAGGGATAAGCTAACTGTCTTCTGTTACCAAGGGTCCCAAGGGGGGACTAAATTAACATTTTAAAGTTACATCTCTGTTAAGTACTACAGTTAGGCCCACAAGGAGATGGTTCATTTGGTGTACCATCCCGTTCTGCCACCTGTATGTGTGCATATAGTATACATACATATACTTTTAGTTATGAATTCTTAACCATTGAAGGAATGCTGTCAGGACCTCTTCTCTCGATCTTTCTTCTTGGATACTTTTTACCCTTCACCAATAAAATAGTAAGTATCTTGGTTAATTTTATGAAAAATACGCTTAGCAAGGGGGTACTCAGAAATGTGTTCAGGGGACTTCATTTTTTTTTTCTTTTTAGGGCAGTGGGGGGGANATCCATTCCAGGGACGCTGAGCCCCCATAGCCCCCCCCCATACTTAAACTGGTACAGATGAGATTAAATTCAAAATACTAAGTCAAAATCATAGCACTATCCAATTTTTTCATAGTACGTAAAACATCATGCCTTGATTATGGCATTTCACGACTTTTTGTGTGTCTAAAATGCAATTTATTTGTCGGGTTAATTTAATCTATTAACACTATAATCAGGCTGGGAATAGTAATTTAAAGGAAATTCATCTCCCAGTCTATACATAGATTCTTCCCCCCCCCACACACCGTTTTTTAAAGGGTTAACTGTTTAGGGTGCAAGTGTAGGTATAGTGGTGGGGAATGGAGTAACTATATGGGTAGCTGTTGGAGCTCTTTTCCTAACTAAGTAAGTAGAAGATTTTTTAATAAGTTTTGAAATTAGTTTTTCTAACAAGTATGTAGATATTTTTTGTTATGAAATAGTTAAATCAACTTTTCCTCAACGTGCTAACTAATACTATAATTTTTACTAATCCCTGTATTTTTAAAACCTGATGGCGTAAACTTTTGATATTTCAAATTTTGTATCCAAAAGAATTCATTGTTTGAGACATCTGGTTACAATCTTTAAGTAGTTGAAGAATGAAAGGAGTATAGTAGATGAATTAGTCATTAAATTATTTCTTTTTTTGGCACTACTATTTTTATCATATGTTTCTGTAAAATGACTGACCGGATAGTGGGAAACTGGTTTCCGCTGTATTTCTATTTGAGAATAAGATTACAGTGATATTGCAAATACAAGATGTACTCCCGACACTAACAATCATTAATATTACATGTCGTAGTTTATAAAAAATAAGAATTATTTAAAGTGAGAACTAATAGTTGATTTACTTCTCTAGTGTAGCTATGCACTAGAGAAGTAATTGAAACCTAGTTAAACTAGTTCTCGCTTTTAATTAAATTTGACCTCAGAAGAAATATCTGTTCAGGGGAATAAGACGACCTGTGCTTGAGACTAGTATTGAAGGTTGCGACCAGGATGTATTTCTACAACTTCACACTAATTCCTCTTCATCGTTAGGTAATATCACTTTTTGTATTTTAGATTATAATCTATATAATAAAACAAGATATTCATATATAAATGTTGCGTATAGCCGACTGGACCGATTTTTTCAAATACATTTTTTTCAACATTTTTTTCATTTTTTAATAAAAAGAATAAAACCAGTAAATAATCACATTATTTTCAGTGGAGTCGGTTACCTCCAATGAATTTAGGTAAATATGAGATATTATTTTTATGTACAGAAACTTTAATCTAAACCATTAAATATAGATTGGCTACATACTCAGGCCAGCTTTAATGTAGATGATGTAGATGTATTGCTAGATTTTTTTATAGAAGATTAATATTGATTTCTTGGATGATTTAGATCCATCCTGTTCTCTTTTGTCCAGAAACTGCAGATTTACCTTCAGGATCAAACTTTCCTTTCGGCTCTTCAGCTGTAGCTGTTTTGGGAACTGCTGCTACAGCAGCTGGACTTTTAGGTTTAGCTTCTTCTTCTTTCGGTCTCTCCGTTGATGCTTTAGCTGGAGATTTTTCTGCAGCCTTTATTTCAGTTGTAGTTTCAGCGGGTAGTTTTTCAGGAGTAGCTGGAGGTCCTTCTTTATGTGGAGTAATCTGCTCAGTTTTTGGTGTTGGTAGAGGACTTTTTGGAGGTTGAGGGGTAGAGGAGGTCGCTGGAGAACTAGGAGGAATTGGGCTTCCAAGGGCTGATGGTGTAGATGCAGTAGCAGCAGAAAATGGTGTTAATGTGGCAGAAGGTGAGGATGGAGGCTTAGGAGTTGCTGCACTTGCTGAGGTGGTAGATGGGGAAGCTGGAGGCTTTATAGTTTCTGCACTTGGAGAAGGGATTGAGGGGGTAGATGGAGAGGTTGGAGGTTTACCAGCTGCTGCCTTTGCAGAGGGGGTAGAGGGAGCAGATGGTTTGGGTGAAGCTGCAGGGGTTTTAAGTGAAGGGTCATCCGATGGATCTATTACAGATCCTTGATGAGAAGGTGGAATAATCTTTACTTTAAGTTCATCTGGTTCAAATCCTTGATTTACCACACCTCCGCTTGATTTAGCTGGAGACTTTGCTGGGGCATCAATTATTTTTTCTAGATCAGCAGCAGTTTTATCGATCTGCAGATCACCATCTAAGGATGTAGAGTCCATAGATTTAGCCTTTTCAATAACTAGTTTTCTTAAACTATCTCTATTTTTTGCTTTATTAGCAGAATCTTCAGATGTTACTGTAGTTTCAGGACCCTTATATTTTGAATTATAATCATCAAGAGCAGTTCTGAATTTAGCATAAGCTCGTCTTGCTGCAGGAGCATAATCTGACAAATGAGGGTTAAATGCAACCAGCTCTTCAGAATTCAGTCTTGTCAGTACCATCTTAATTTCTTGTTGAGAGCTTCCTCTTTGCAACAAAGATCTCTTGAGGGAGCTTCTGTGCTTCCTGATGGATGCTTGGTGACTTCCAATTTGATCTCTTCTTATGGATCCAGCCTCTCTTCTAAGAGAATCTCTGTTTACTTTTTCACCTTTCTTTTTCTTGTCATTTATAATTTTGGCAAATCTTTTAAATACATCTTTGGGTTTCTCCTCTTGGCTTGCAGTAAAGAAGGCTTCCATTACTCCTTCAACTCCCTGAGTTATGTTGAAACCTTTCTGAATTTGCCTTTCCATATTCTTAGACTTTCTTCCAACAACACCAGCACCCCTTTTCGTGTTTGGTACAACCATGTTGTTATTCTTCAAAATATCTAATAGCTCGTATTTAAAGGAGTTTATATCCTGTCGGACTTCCTGAATATCATCCTCAGTTATGCTAAAATCTTCAGATTTTCTTTGCTCATTAGTGATGTATCTACGTATAACAAACTTCATAACGTTATGGTATCTTTCATTGGCTTCCTCAGTATCTTGTTCAGTGAACAGTTTCTTTCCTATTTTTCTGCAGCATAAAATCCTGATGATTGACTTAGGACTTGGAATAAGATTAAATGGTGGTGGTACAGTGCTGCCAGAATCAAAGTATGACATCCATAATTTGCTTCTTGAAAATTTCCACTCTGTGTCTGATCTTTCGAATATGATTTGGTAGGAGTTTGACATCATGGCAATGAGCATGTTTATCAGTACAATAAGATTGCAAATGGAATAGCTTCCAAACATAAGAAGTCCCCAGAATCTTGTGAATTCTTTTATTCCCGTCAGTTCAAAATCGCCCAAGTCAACAAGACCAAAGCTGGCCCAGAAAAGAGACTGAGATGTTTCCCAAAGATTTGCAAATCTTCTCCAACTGACACAAGAATCAGGCTCATTTTCAAAATCTGGAAGTCCCCCGGGCAAACTGTAACATTTCTGTCTTTCCAAGTCAGCATAGTAGCAAAGCAATTGATTCATACCACATCCGAAAGCAAATACAACAAGGATATAGAGAAACATCCATTTACAGATGTCAATTACCATCTTTCCCAACGCAATTTGCAATGGTCCAAGATACGGATTGATGGAGAGAATATGAACAAGTTTAAGGTATGATGATATCATACCTGCAGCAAACATGGCTTCTGCAAGGAGCTGTGGTTCAAATGTGTTCCATGAATCTTTTGTTGTCCAAATAAGTTCCGGGTCCACACCATCCCATTGTTCTTTCTGCACTAACAACCAGGCTAATCCTCTTAATCCAATCCAGGCCATAAAAGCGCCATAACTTGATATGTCAGCAAAGTTCCAAAGATCACTAAGATAATCAATCAACCCATCCTGCCAGAGCTTTTTAATCTCAGTCCACATCAAACCTTGAACCCAAACTATAATCAGCATCTCGATATAATGGGGTAGACTTCCGCGTTCATATTTTATCCAATCCGCTTGTGTTTTCTCAAACAATTCAACCCCTGGGAATAACCAAATTAGAATTGATAAAACCACATGTTCAATCCTCTGGGATGCTAGAGCAAGTAGGAACAGGAAGAAAAGATAAGATGCAGAGTGAGAAACGAACTTTACAAATGGATTCCGCATGAATTTCCCCCCGGGGGAATGGGGAGCCATGATATAGATAATGCTATTGATTGGGAACATGCATGCAAGTTTAATCAAATCTGTTATTTGAGAGAAAATATTTTTTCTTCTAAACCCTGGCAATCCTTCATACCATATTGATGCCAGCAACTGCTGTACACTGGGATGAGCAACAAAATCTTTCTGTTTGTATTGAACAGCAAGTTTTAATCTATCCAGGGTTTGAAAATCTCCTATTTGCCAGGGCGCTCCCTCAGGATTATGATTGAGAATCACCTCAAGTTCATATGAAGTCCTGTAATTAAAGATAACAGTTTTCAATAGATAATTAAATGGAAAAAATTATTTACGTACATAAAGAAAAAATGTCTTTTATTCAAAAGATGAGAAATCTTTAAAACTAAATACTTATAAACTAAAGTTTAAATTGGAGAACTTGATTTGAATATCTGTTTACCGAGAAAATAATTAAATATTTTTTAAATTACCTTGTTTGATCCACTAGACCAGTGACAAACTCTTGAACTTGTTTCCTCAGTTTGATATATTCATCCCGGAACTGAGATTCAGCTCTAGCCAACCTTTTCAGCTCGTCAGACAGCTGGAAGGCTGTTAGAACAGGATCCCTTCAAAAGCATCATTTTCAATTAGATATAAATACAGTTATTTTCATTCAAACAATAGTAAAACTAAATAGAAAGGAATTCAGCCTTTGCCACAAATTCAAATTTATTATCCATAAATCTTTGCAACCGGTTGCAGTGTACACCATTTAGTTTATCTGATCCACCATAATTTATGGTTCGAAATGTCTAAGGTATACGACATTATGGTTGTAAAGATAATTAGATTAGAAAACCAGAGTTTGTTGCAAAGACTCAATTACGTTGAATACATTTTTTTACTTTATTAGCATACTCGTACAACTTAGAATGTTCTCTTTATTTTCCGTAGCTCCCCCCCCCCATGCTTTAAAGTGAGAGCAATTTTCCAGTGTTGAGCCATTGCTCCAAGGCTCAACACTGTATTCGCAGTGAGTCGTTCAATGACAAAAATCAAACTCTTGAAAAATAGTTCTTAATGAAGAATTTGATATTTACCTGGAGCTCAAACTTATAAGGGAAGGAGAAGATAAAGCCCTAAAATAAAAAAAACGTATATTAACTAATCAAAGTCAATTATATCCCACATGGTAAAAGATGTTTTTATAAAGTATAAGTACACGATAAGTAAATAAATTTTTTTTCTTCGCTCGCGAAAATGCGAAAATTTTCGCTTTTCCCGCGATATTTCGCTTCAATCTCTTTCGCGAAAAAATGCAAAATTTTCGTGAAATATAAAATGCGAAAATTTCGCGGGAAAATGCGAAAATTTTGCAAAAAAAGCTAAAATTTCGTGAAAAAATGCGAAAATTTCGCATTTTTCTTTTTTGTAATTGCCTGGCTCATAATCACGGTTTAACGTATGTATTAAAGTAAGTAAAGTAAGTAAAGGAAGAAAAATTATTTATATCACATAATAAAGCTTCAAATATTGAGCTATAAGAGCAGAGAATTCCACAAGTTCTTTTGAGCAATAATTTGTTGAAGCTATAAAACTCATGGTGTTTCCAAAATTTTCGCATTTTTGCGATATTTTTTCCGCAAAATTTTGCTTCGTTTTCGCTTCATTTAATTTCGCGAAATGCGACAGAAAATTTTCGCATTTTTTCGCGAACGTTTCGTTCGCTGGAAACCCTACGGCGGGGCCTCACATGACCACTGGGAAGGTTTATGGATGATCAAAATTTTAAAAATAAGTCTCCAACAAAATTGGATTTTCATTATATTCGGAAAATTCACGAACTTATTTTTGTTGTTTTACAAGTTTACAAAGAGAAGATGTTCACAATTGAAATAGAAGATGGGCGCGAAGCGTCCTGAAAGCCTAGTAATCAAATTTCAGTAATTAAAAAAAAACTCCCTGCAGCGCCATCTATGCTCTAAAATTACATCTTTTTGGAGATTATTTTTTATGGAAGGGAAGGAAATCCAAAAGATTTGAACAGGGACAGAATAAAAAATTGGAATTACATACACCCCTGTACATTTGTAAAACTAATTGCTTAATCTTTAAATGTTAAATTACCGGTAAGCATTTATTCTGGCCAAGGAGAACTTAAGAGAATCATCAGCTGAACCAATCACACATTCATCACAGGAACATTTAACATTATGGGGCATTGGTATAGTTGCTCCTCGGTCCAACAACATCTTTAATATCTCAAAATTGTTCCTGAATACATTAAATGTCTTAATTATAATAATTTAAATCATCTTGGATAGCTATCTAACTGTAAGGGGTGTATAAAGAATTGAAATCTAAACAAAAATCGCAGAATCAAAATCTTCCTGACAGAAACAATCTCTAGAACTGACGAGGGTCAACCCAGACCGAAATATATTTTCAATAAATGTAGAATTAACGTCTACTTTTTTTACTTTCGGTCCATCACCATCCCTGAATTTTAAATAGTTTTAAGATGTTTCTCAATCATCATGTTTCAATAATTCAAAATATAATTTTAAAAATAATTTAGTCAATTCTAAAAACATGTTTTCACCTGTGAGCTGCCAATATAAGAGGTGTAATATCAGCAGTAAAGTTAGCAACTGATGTATCCATAATCTCCCAGGAGTAGGGTTGTCCTTCCTTCACGTTCTCTTCTTCATATCTCAGCAACATTTCAACACCATCAACAAAATCCTCCCTTAACATCAATTATGGTTTAAAACTTATCCAATGGAATATTTTCATCAGTTTCCTAAAACTTGAATCTATACTCAATGAATCATGTACGTGAAGGTGTCCACAAATGATTATTAATTTTGAAAAATGGTGTGCGCGATGAGCGACTTAACTTTTTCCATACTATAACATACAGGGAGTAATTCCTGAACGTTTTATGTCAACATATCTTAAATTCTATTAGATCGCCTCTAAAATTTCAAAACTGCTAAAGAAGGTATTTTTTTTGGGGGTGGGGGAATTATCATATTACATATAGGCGATTATTGCAATATAATGAAGACGATTTTTTTATTTAAGCTTTAATTGTTAACAAGTTTTTTTCAAATCACAAGTTTACAAGTAATTAAAGAGAAGCCTTTTTAATTGACAGCTTCTCTCCGTTTCCATGTTTTTGTATATCTGTTCTGTTTAAAAGCTTGATACAAATAACAAATTTAAATCGTAAATCATCTTCACTATATTGATAAAATCGCCTACCACCGTATCAATTTCTTTATTTTCAATCAAGAAATTAATATCCGTTGGAACTTTTGAAAAAAGTAAAAAAAAATAAATGAGCTAGGTCATTTAGAAAAATACACTTTTTGGATTTAATATGTTTGGACAATGGAGAAAAAATATTATATATGACATAATGAATGTTTTTGAGCTATGTAGGGATTCTTCAAACCTTAGCAGCGAATGTATCCTAAATGTTCACGGTGAAAAGCTAATGCGCGCATCTATTTTCAAAAATTGGTCAACTGCGGACAGCTTTATGTACGTAAAAAAGCATCTACCTATTCTCTCATGTGGCATTGGTCAAACCTTGAGCAATATTAGACACTTATAGCATTGATGGTTTCACTAAGCATTTATAGTGGTATCTATAAATTCAAGTATTTTCATTTTCTCAGAGATTCTCAAAGGATTTGCTACAAACTCTGATTTCTTATCCCTATATCTTTAAAAATATCAAAGGTTTACACCATCAGGTAGCAAAGATATAGGAATTAGAAAATCTGACTAAAATCCTTTGTAGCACTACTATTGTCTCCCGTACCTGATCGAAACAAGAAGTGCATCCTTGGGTTTAATCCCCATTTCAAGCAACATCTCCATCATATCCAGGTTCTCATTTTCAACAGATATGATGAGAGCAGATCTACCAAGAGGATCAACACAATTTAGGTCGAAAATATGAGGTCTCTTGGACATTGCCTGGATGATATTCTTCGCAGAGGATACATCTCCTCTACACGCAGTTTATAAAAATTTTTAATTAAAGAAATTATACATTGGGTTCCTTAATATTTTTTTTAATTAACGGGATTGTAAGCGTAAAGTTAAGACGTTGCATGGAGGGTCGCTGCTTGAAATTATGCTTACACTCCCTTAAAGTTTAGATATTTCTATAGGAATCTTTAACTTTGTAACCTTATTTCGCAGACCTTTGATATTTCAAACTGTAATTCTGATGTATGAAATAATCTAAGTTTGAAATGTCAAAGGTTTACAACATCAGGTTGCAGAGATATATAGATCAGAAAATTTTGGTTTTTTGAAAAGACTCAATTCCTTTAGTGAAACTTTCATAGAACTGATTCCTTTCAACGCAGAGTAGAAAACTTTTTTCATCCGGTGTCAGAACCCGTTCTTCTATCGTACTCTGAGTACGGAGCATACCCAGCCTAAACAGGAATACAATTATGCCAGGAACCGGATTTAATGAATTTGAGCTACGCCGTTGAACTACCAACTGCCGGTTCAAATTTGAACCACCGATTCAAATTTAAAGAATCAGAAAGGATGTGTATCGGTTATTTAAATTTGAACCGACGGTAGGCAATTCAGCGACCCCTCAAATTCATTAAATTCGGTCCTTGGAGAAAAAACTTTTGCCTTACCTATAACACTTAGGACAGAGGAAAAGTAATCAAAGTTTTTAAGATTAGCAAAATGAGTAAATTTCCAACCTTTGGTCACGATTAGTAGTGACTTTCTCCGGGTCTGTGCTATCAGAGAACTTGAGTTCAGTCTTCTTCGTCTCCTCGTCCTTCCCGGTCTCCTTGTCCTCGTTCTTCCCCATGTTGGTCACAAGGTTGGCGTTGCTTCCAAACTCCTTATCCTTCTTCATTTTCCAACCTTCATCTAAACTCCTTCTCTTCTCCTCCTCAACCCTAGACCCTGGAACTAATTCAACTTTAATAACTGTTTTCTAAGTATTTTTAGATTCATATAGACTCACAATAATTGATAAAACAATGCACATTGGAAAACTTTGCGTTGACTATAATAAATTGAGTTTTCAGAATCTTTAAATTTTAGTTTTTATTTTGTTTACTCTTGTTTATTAATACTTCTAATTGTTAAGGTGGAATTAAAATCTGTATTTCTTAGATTCCTCAAAATATATATTTATAATTGGTGAATTTAGTATACCTGTTATATAGAGGCAAGCACTGGTCTGAATGAGCTGAAAGGTCTAATGTAAAGATATTAGTTTTCAACTCCTTAGCTTACAATACTTTAAAATCCTCGGTCTGGGGCCGCACCAACTAGTATATAGGGGACCCAACTTCGTAATCTAAACAATTCCAGATATCATAAATAAAGACATTTTAAAGTCAAAATTCTAAAGTAGATTTTTTGAGTGTTATTATAATAGAAAATTAGTGTGTGTAGCCCCTGGTCCCTGGCATGTAATTGTAGGGTTTCATTTTTATTATCACGTGCCTGGGACAGGATAGTTCTTTGATCTTGTAGGGTTTCAAGAGAACCAGGCAGTTCAATTCCAATATGCTGAATAATTTCGGGGGATTTATAAACTAGTCAGCAGTCAGCACCACGTTTTCTTAATCCATTTTTCACACTTCTAAAACTTAATTTGTCCAGGGGGGGCTTACATTTTTTTTCTTTCCAAGGGGACTCCACCCGTTGGGGCCTGAAAACCCCCTGACTACTCAGTCCTCTGTTTCTAGTACACACATAATAGTACACATTTATTGTTACTAACAAATAAACACATAAGCAAAGTATTTAAACCTTCCCTGCAACCAATATTACATTAAATGACCTACCCCTTTCCCAAAATACCAATTTTTTTAATGTGATGCAATGATACTTTTTTAAGCTAAGCTTTGTTTACATTCCTCCCAGAAACAGCAATTTACATTATTTTATGGAAGTTCCTTTATTACTTGTTACAAGCGGAGACAGGTTAAAGTATAGAATGCTGATAGGCAATGTGTACAGGAAAATTGTGCAGTTCCCTCAAAATTTGACGAAAAGGTCAACATAATGTTTATTTTAATTATGAATCAGAATTTAGAGAATAGTTTTTAAGCATTGTTCCATGGTTCCTAAAGGAACTGTAGATTTAATATTTATTTCCTAGAGGGCCCGGCCTACAAGCTTTGTAATATTAAAAAAAGTCAATATTTTAACTTTAAAAGTAAAAGGGACTGGAAAAAATGGCCAGAATTCAAACACTTTACAAGTTAGCAAAACTATAACGACAAAGGTTTAAAGAGTTATACCGTTGTGAGTCGGGCACCCCCCTCTTTACATGACGGGTAAATAAAATGTATTACGTATAACCGGGAAAATAAAATTTATTACGGATAACCACTTAAAGTTTTTGAATTTTGAAAAAATCCATTATCATATACAAAAGTTTTTGTCCAAAAATATTTTTTTTGGGCTCTTCTTTTTACTTTAAAAAGCTTATTTGATAACTATACATGGAGAGTACTAGACACAGTTGAATAAAATGGTAAACAAATATCTAAAATACATTATCCAACTAGAAAGAAACAAATTCTAAATCTGACGATATATCTATAACATATATAAATTTTGTTTATTGTAGTTGTGTGGATTATCTGTATGATGTATCTATAAACATATATAAATAATATGTATTGTAGTTGTGTGGATTATCTGTATGATATATCTATAAACATATATAAATAATATTTATTGTAGTGGTGTGGATTATCTGTACAACATATCTCCGTTCCTGTATCCTGTTCTTGGTTTCATTGTCTCACTAGTTCTTATTATTTTCTTCTCTCTTCTCTCCCTCCCATGCTGGAAACCACGCCCCCCTCCCTCCCACCTCGTCTACACGTACAGGAGGCGGGGCAGAGATACTCCACCCCCTCCTTTAGAAACAGCACAATGGGAGGATCAGGATTCACATTACAGGTAGGGATTGATATCGTGTTAATTTTAAAAAAAACATTCTATCATGTTTTTTCACATTCCAGAGGCTCCACAAGAATCTTAAGCTGCTATTAAATTTTTAAATGTTTACTGATAAAATCGTTTTTGTTTTTATTACTTCAACTCTGACAGAAATTATTAAACTAAATAAAAAACTTGAAAATAAATTGCTTTGCCAAATCCCAGTTTCTTGTGAATCTTCTTGAAGGTCAAAACCCCAAAAATGTTTATACACAAACCAAAAAAATATATTTAAGAGTGTTTACAAGGGGGGGGGGACAAGAGGTAGTGACTCACTCCATGACTCACAATTTTTGCTACAACTTCAATCACAACCTATTAAACCCTTGTTCACTTTGTAATTACGCTTAATAGTCGTCACTTTTTGTGCATATTTAGTGAGACACTCTGTAATAGTGACATTAATATTTTTTTTTAACTCTTGCAATTCTTATAAAGCGACAACATAATACATTTTTAAACAAATACAATTTATGATACCGTTCAGGGTGTCCCATTAAAGATGCCAATTGAAAGAAGGACGTATTTGAACTTTCATTGTTATCTAATATCAAAGTGTCCCATCACGAAAAAAAGATTGCACGCCTTCTAAGCTATTTTTTTTTATTTGAACTCGTCGGTATGCTAAAAATTTGAAATTTTTTTAAATTGTCTTTTCTATTTCAGATCAAAGATCATTTGTCAGAAGTTATGTTTAATGGGACACCCTGTAGATGAAATAAAGTATTAAAGGTTGCAATATTTAGGTGGCCTAGTCCCAGCCTACCCCCGACCTTGAAGAAGCCACGCCCCGGGGATACATATAGGCTGGGGGCGGGGACAGGGAGGACTAGGGCGGGATTTATTAGTGGTTATGAAAACTCCTCCTTCGACAACTGGAGCGATTCAGGGACTGGAAAGAGTAAGTTTTCTTAATAAATGTAACTTCAGTAAAAACTGGTCAAAATTCGTCTTCAAGTCTGGCTCAGAACATTTTTAGAGATATATTAGACATACTCATAACCGTTTAAAATTGTAATATTTGTAGCTGCTGCTACTCTAATTAAAAGATGAAACTAAGTCCGAGTTTCATTCTACTTGTTATTGGTTGTGACTAGGTTAAAAAGAATAAGACTTTAACTCGACCAAGGATTTTTTCAAGTTTATAAGTCTTCTGCTTAAAAATAATTTTAAAGGTTCTATTCAATGATGTCCAAAAATAAAACTATAGTACAGTGACTGCAGTTATACCATATAGAAAATGATTTCTCTCCTCGTACTCTAATTTTCTTATCCATAAAGTAAAAAAAAGGTTTAAACAATTAGGATAAAATATATAGGGATCTAAACAGAANCCCCCCCCCCATATGTTAAATCAGAATCCTTAAACTCTGAAAAACTAAGCAAATTCCGACGCAAACCCTTAAATTACCACTCTTTTACCCACTTTTCCCTGAAAAATAAGATTCATGTTTCAACCATAGATATTTCTATAAAACGTTATTTATAATCTAGCAGTTTTTCCTAAATTTATGCAATGCGATATTTCTTTTTTATCTCAACTTTGTTTAGAGTCGAGTAGTGGATGGTCAACTTTGAAGTCTCATAAAAGTGGGTTTAGTGGATTCTACAGTTCTAGATTATAATTCCTTCAGATTAATGAGGGTGCGAGGGGTTAATGGCAGCTCCATCCAGTGCAGCAACTCCTCTCTCGTTGAAAATTCATAATCAAGCGATTTTATTCTTAACCGTCAAATGGTTTAAAACTTTTAAATAATAGATCAGTTTCAACAATAACGTGTTTTTCATCCAATTTCAAAACTATACTACAAATAGTCAAATATGTTTATCATTAGGCCAGTTTATCAATATTAGCCTAGAATAAGGTTTAAATTTTCATTCTGTAGATTTCAAAAGTCTAAATATTTGTAGAATATGTAAAAAAATGAATCTTGTAATGTTCAAGTAAACCGTGACGCACATTGATGGTAACAGTTCGCGTCACAACAAAAAAGTGAAATTTTCGAAGACATCAGATTTGATTTGTGCTAATTATGCCATTATATTTTTCATACGTTACAACATTTATATTGTACATATGCTAGTCTCTATTATAGTCTGCTTATGCCTAGTCGTTATAACAATAAAATATAAAGTACTATGGTTTCTTTTGTACACATTGTCCTCCATGTTTGTTGTTTATTTTTTTTATTTCATTTATATTTTTCCATTCCAAAACATTAGAGTAGTTAAGTAGGAAGTACTAAGATCAAATATAATTTAATAATAAGAAATTAAACTTTTTCTGTACGAGATCGAGATTGTTTATGGCTTCGTTTCTCTTCTGTTACTTGATGCATATTTCGATTTTTGAAGAATTAAATCTTTTCTCACATTTCCCTAAAAATGGAATGCAATTAACACAGCAGATGTGATCGAATATGCAATGTGTTCCAAAAAACATAATAATTGAAAACTATAAGTACACTAAAACTTTTCTCTGAAGGTACGTGATATCTTTATTTTTCTAACCCAAATTACTTATTTTTTAATTCTGGTTTCCATGGAAAAGTTGACCAAGGAAATGGGGAGGATTTTATACATGGATAGAGGTTTAGAGGGGACCGATATGTGAATCCTACATGTCACTAATGTAGGTTCACTTGAAATTCCATCCACACTGCTCGGTCCCGTTAATCTTCCAGCTTCGTACATTATTTCTGAGTAAAGGTTGAAATATGTATTTCAAATAATAATTTTACTAATTAAACACTTATAACAATTTTACTAATTAAACACTAAAACAAAAAGTTAAAATCAGTCAAACACCCGTGTTTTTTAATAATGCAATAAAAGCAACAATTAAACCGCTTCAAGCAATACAAATTAATGATATTTAGCAAAAATTAATATTTAATTTTCGAACATATAAAAAAATCAGAAAATCAATATTCTTGGAAATTTTGAATTTAGAAAAATCATTTAAATCTTAAGTCTGAAGATACAAAAATGAATTGAAATAAGAAATTACAGTACATTGTAAATTCTCGTAAGTTAAACATTTAGTGGGCTTATATGGTTACATAACATTTATAAAAAAATTAGTAGTTTCAGCTCATTGGGTGAAAATTTATATCAAATTGCAACCTTAAAGGGAGAGAATATTTGAACTGAGAATGCAGTATTGTAGAGAAAAACTTTAGAATTCATTTGATACCAATAATGAGACATTTTTACGGTGTACAATTTTTAGATAAGAGCGTAAAGTCGTTTGTAATAATTCACTAGTTGTTTCAGTCAGCAGAAGAAACGGTTCTTACAGTTGAATTATTTAATAGCCCGGACGCAACGTGTAAAAAAATATTTTTTAGAGTAATTTGATGTTTAGGAACATATTTCTTAACAGAGATTATCTACGAAAACTAAAGTATTAATTATTTCATTATCTTCAATACCTTTGCTGTTTCTATAATTTTATTCGCAGATTTCCTCAAAATTATAATAAAGAAAACCTCCAACAAGCGACCCCAACTAAAAGAATTTGCATAAACCTGCGAGATTTTAAAACGATTTCTAATATCTTATTTTCAATGATATAAGTTTATTATTTTCTGTTTGTATAAATGCAACGTTTCTTCTGCTGACTGAAACAACTAATGAACTATTACGAATAAATAAACGTCTTGTTTGGAGGGTCACTTGAAACTACGCTTGCAATCCCTTTAAGTGCAATGATAATGGCTGCTGAGTGCTGAGTGTTTAAAATAAAATGAGATCTTTAAATCTTTGACTGGATCCGAATCATAGTTTCGTGGGCCCTAATAAACTTTTCCCCCCTAATCACTAACAAATATTGTTCAGTATTAATGATTTAACATTTTTTTAATCAATCTCTAAAAATTACAATATATCAAGAATCAAGGTTTTAGTTGTGCAATTTCTGTTATGCAAAGTTGTTCTAATTGAGCCCAGGGAAAAATATACATTATACATACATTATTTTAGAATAATTAGACTAGAATTATACTATGTTAAAGTCTTTAAACGAGTTTTACGACTAAATTTATGTAAACGAAAATCCATTAATCGCATCAGAGTATAATATTCTTTGATCGTTGATCAATGTAGATGATGTTTGATTCGAAGATGATCTTCAGTCGGAGTGAATGATCTCAAATAGGGTAGAAGATCGTTGGTCTATGATCCAAGGACGATAATGGTTAACAATTTAACTATTTAATTATTTAAGAATAAATACTATAGATCCCAAGCGAATAAAAGAGTCGCTAAGAACAACAAAAAAGATTTCTTCGGCAGAGTTGTTAGTTAGAACTATGTAAGAATATAGGAGTAAAGGTCCCTGAACAAATAAGCACAATTAAAAATTAAGATTGCAATAATTATTTACAAATTCTTTACAGGAAGTTGAAGGAATTTTACTTTAACAAAGGTTCCCAAGACCGATTTAGTTTGGGCAAAATTGGTCGATGGAACTTGTGGTCAATTGTTTTGAGAAGAAATTGAGCAAATATTTTATAAAAAGTGGAATGCTATTTTACTTATTTGTCCCAAGGGACCGTCAAGTAACTTAACATACCGCAATTGGGGGAATCAGGGGGTGATGTTGGACTAAAGAATGTGGAGAACTTAAATAACAATTTAGGGTTTGAACCAGGGGTTATGTTCTTAAAAAATGATATTAAAAGAAGTGAGAGTCTATGTTCTATAAATGAGAAATGTGAGATATATTTACCTGGCATCGTGCCACCTTCTAACCCAGTTTAGGATATTCTGAGTGTGAAGGGTTCGTGTTCTCTTCTCCAGGTCCTTCATTACATCCTGTAGCTCTCTGCAATAATTTACTAATATATTGAATAATATCAAACTACACAGTAAGAACTATAAGAAAAGAAATCTGAAAAAGAGGTCCCGTTATGAACCCCCCAGACCGCCGGCAGGCATGGGAAGCACCGTCCCACACCTACTCTAACTGGACCTTTATACCCACAACAATTAGCCCATTGTCAGTACACACAAGGAAGCTGATAATATTTCTTTCATATCAAAATATTATCATTTAATGAAAAAAAATCCGATAAACTAAAATGTACTGAAATAAAGAAATCAGCTTTTAATGATTGTCTACAAATTGTATGCAGATCCTACCTTGTTTTCCTTGACTAATATATCCTTGACTTATCTATCCTACCTTGTTATCCTTGACTTAACTATTATACCTTGTTATCCTTGACTTATCTATCCTACCTTGTAATCCTTGACTTATCAATCCTTCCTTCTTATCCTTGACTTGTCTATCCTACCTTGTTATCCTTGACTTATCTATCCTACCGTGATATCCTTGACTTATCTATCCTACCTTGTTATCCTTGACTTATCTATCCTACCTTGTAATCCTTGACTTATCTATCCTACCTTGTAATCCTTGACTTATCTATCCTACCTTGTAATCCTTGACCAAACATATTCTTCCTTCTCTTCTCTGAGCTGTTCTCTAAGAGAAGTTAAGTCAATTGGTTCACCTGAAAATAAATATAAATACTTTTTTGGAAATACCAAAATATTTTGACAAATTGAAAACTAAACACAAAGAAAACATTAAAATTATTCAGCTTTAGGTTTTTTTTTTAAAAGTTGGATTTTAATAATCTAAACATAAAGTTTAAAATTTAGATAACTGATTATTTTTAATTGGAAGTTTTCTCCGAACGTGACTTGTGCATTTCTACTTCATGAAAACATGTAGGAATTTGAAAACTTATCAAGCTAGAAAAACGACAGTATCTTCCACGTTATTGATCAAATAGAAGTATCAATGGTTCCGTTGTGAATCGGGTTTTGTCTTCTTCGCATGGAGGATCACTTGAAATTACGCTTCCAGTCCGTATAATCTATAATCGATGAATAAAACAAACATAATAAAATAATTACCAATGCAGACAGTAACCAAGTTCCCAGGTCGGATAACAAAGGGTTGAGATTCTCCTGGTCCTGGATTAGGTAGAACACGGTTCATACCGAGGTGGTAAACAGGGAGTATGATCGGACACAACTAAACAGAGAAACTATATTCAAAATTTATCTTCAACCAAAAAGATTTCCAGAGACCGAATTTTATAAATTTGAGATAGGTCTCTGAACTACCAACCGCGCTACACTGCAAGTGGTTCAAATACAGAACCACCGATGCAAAGTTAAAGATTAAATAGGACTTGAATCGGTAATTCAGGATTTGACCCGGCAGAATGGTAGTTAGCAACCTCTCTCATTTATTAAATTCGGGAAAAAATTGCGTTTATAGATTTCACTGTCGTGTCCAGTGACTTGAATTTTGACTGCAAGGTGGTTGGACTAGCTACAATTAATTACTTCTGCTATCAGAGCCCGCGATTTAAAATATTTGGAGATATAAGACCGGAAGTCTAAGCTGTCATTGAGACTTATTTATGAGTTAAGACTCAAGCTTAGGGATCTAAGTTGCAACTAAATTGTCTACGTAGTTTGTTGTATTAAACCGGTTTGATACCGTGCTTTACGGATTTTCATGGTTAAAGTTGGAAGTTGGAGGAAGGCCAACCACATCAATCTCTAGTCCGAACCACATTCTCCTCATTTTCTCGTCCGAACCACCTTGAAATCCTCGTCCTTTCAATATTATTTTTTTTAAGTGTCCGATCCTTGAAAATTAATACATTTTTTAAAAATATGGCGATTTCAACTGCGTTGATTACAAAATCGTCAACTTTTTAAGTAAATTTGGAAACGTTTTATTGTCTCTTTAACTCAAAAAAGTTTAATACAGAAAAAGCATACCTTTGCTTCAGCTACAAGCCGACCTATTCCCCACTTAAACCTTTCCTAATATATTAACAATGTAGTTTAGATATAAATTTAGCTTGTCTGTCTGTGTGTCTGTTGTGGCGTTTGTCTGTTTGTTTGTATCAAATAAACGTCAAAACGGTTGAACCGATCAGGCCCAAATTTTGTGTGGGACCTCAAGTGACCCAGGGAAGGTTTATGAATGATCAAAATTTAAAAATTTGTGTTTAAAGGTTTTTATTATTGTAAAATTTTGAGAATGCGCGAAAAAATATTAAGAAATCCGCAAACTTTTTTTGTTTTTGTTTTATATTGTACAAGAAGTTGCTGACAGATAAAGCCACAGTTGAAAGTTGAAATAGAAGGTGGGCGCGAAGCGCCCTAAAAGCCTAGTTTATAATATATACTTTTACAACCAGAGGACAAATTAAAGAATTTGAGCGCTGCTTAAATTTGAGTCGCGTCTCAAATCCGCCAAAAACAGGTTTCGATTGAACGCTGGCTTAAATCTTGAAGCATTGAGTAGAATTTTAACTGGAACCAAACATATTTTCTTTAAATTCGACCTCTGGGCACTTGTACATAATCCTGTGCGACATTTCATTATTGAAGGAAAAAGTTGCAAAGTACATAATCCTTTGGGACAATTCAATATCAAAAGAACAAATTTATAGAGTATATAATCCTTTGCGGCATTTCATTATCAAAAAAAAGTTTCTAAGTATAAAATCCTTTGCGACACTTTATTATTAGAATAAAAAAGAAGATACGTGCGACATTAAATTATTGAAGGAAAAAAGTTGCAAAATACATAATCCTTTGCGACATTTCATTATCAAAAGAAAAAAGGTAAAAAAGTCTAAAATCCTTTGCGACGCTTCATTATTAAAATAAAAAGAATACAAGAATTCCAATGTTTTCTGGTTCTCCCTGTAGTTTTCTCACCTGCGAGTGGGATTCTACAACCTTCGCCTCCGGAAATATATTCACCCAAGAACCTAAATATGAAGAGTCGTCTTTAATCCACGCGGCATTTGGTCTTATTTGCTCTAAGATCGTGACCATAACAATTAGCATTGGCATCCAGTAACTGAAGTATATTCAAAAATGTTGTCTCTCATAATAATTTAATGTCTCTTTTCTATATTCATTTGTTTATAAAAGATAAACAATTCGCATGGTTTTTTGGGGGGGGGGGGGATTATAGTCTTATGGGTGTATATTTTTGATAATTACCCCCCCCCCCCTCCTTCAGGGAAATTAAAAGGCAAGTTTTTGTTTTTTCTTTTTGATATTTTTTCCCAAACACTTATCTATTTTCCCCTAAAAATTTCCCATAATATAAATTTTGTGGAGACCCAAAATAGTATTCGTGTACCTTCGTTAAGTCGATTAATAAGAAAATCTATGGCCGGCTGCCTCGGCCCCCAACCTCGAACCCCAGGAACTACCTTTCCTAGAGACCAAAACATGGATAGAGGTCGGTTCAAGAATATTATTTCAGTAGCAGATACACTCCATCTCATTCCTAAACACAAGCAATCAATCAATCTATCAATTTTTCAGTCAATCAATGAACATATCAACCAACCAACAAACCAAATCTGTCATCAATCAACTATTCAAATAATAATCTAACCCACCAATCTACCAATCAACACGCCAAGCAACCCGTACGAACACCCTATCAACCAGCCAATCAATCAATAATCAAATTATTTACCAACTAACCACATATAGTACACATCATTTATTAATAAATTAACCAACCAGAGATGGAAACTCTTGTATTGTAGATATCGAGATCATCCGAGGTCAATACTTGATCTCGATATTTTCTTGATCTGCAGATGCAGGTGAAGTCTTTTTACAGATCCTTAGATTAAAAGTTCCCACAACTGATATCGAGATCAAGCACTTTCCCAGCTCAGGTTCTTAAGGTATTTCTGACCTTTAACGTCCGCCAGCTGAGCAGGGGAAAGAATTGCTCCCATTAATCCTGGATCATCGAAACAGGAATTATGATTAAAGTAGGAGAGAAGAGGAACATGAACAGGACGAGAGAGAACATTCTAAACAAGAAAAAAGATCGAATAATATATAATTAAAATTGTGGAGAGAAAAAAGAAGAATAATTCGTTGAAACTTTCTAATAATAAATCATTAAAACATTGCTAAGGGAAAAAAGAAGAAAAGGAAGGAAACACCACAATAGACAAATTTAAAAAAAAGATCACAACGAAAGCAAATTTAAAAAAGATAATTGAAAGAAAAACTAAAATAATTTAAAAATGTAATGAAGTGGAAACAAACCTGAAGATTCTGTGCTCCATGAACTAAGGTCGTATTTATTCCAGATAAGAGAAATTTTGCTCCCATACCAAATATAAACATTGTCATCCTAGACACCTCTCTGTACAACCTTAAATATATTCTGTACATGAACATATCCTGGATACCTCTCTGTACAACCTTAAATATATTCTGTACATAAGCATATCCTGGATACCTCTCTGTACAACCTTAAATATATTCTGTACATGAACATATCCTGGATACCTCTCTGTACAACCTTAAATATATTCTGTACATAAGCATATCCTAGAAACATTTCTGTACAACCTTAAATGTATTCTGAATATGAACATTAAACATATCCTAGATACCTCTCATTTCTACCTTAAATTTAAACGTTCAATTTAAAAAATATATTTTTACACCTCTATGTATACTGTACAGTGTTTTAGTGTAAAACGTTTGAAAATCTGTTAATTAAATATGTATTGGTAAATTTTTAATAATTTGAGAAAATAAAGTAATTCAAGAGAAGTACACCTATTTNAAATAGTTAGTATAACTTTTTTTCAAACCTTGATTTGATAGTTGAGTTTTCATTGTATCCTGGAGCCCGGATATACTCCTGTATAGATCCAGCAGGGTAGAGAGTATCCGTTGCAGTTATAGTTTCCTTCTCATCCTTCCAAACCTTCGTTCTTCCGATCAAACAGTTAGGAACATACCGGGACACCCTGAAGGATTAAACTTTTCAATCTTAAAGGGACTGTAAGCGTAATTTCAAGTGAGCCTCCATGAAAAAGGCAATGCTCGATTAACAACGGTATCCTTGATTCAAAGCTTTGTCTGATAATTCAAATTTGTTAAAGATATCAATCTTTATAACTTTGAAAGTTGATTATTTTGCATTTGTGGTTTCTCCACAAAAGTGTCTTGCGTATTTCTACTGCAGGAAGACATAAAGGAAAAATTTGAACCAAACAATTTTCAAGCTAGAAAAACGACAATATCTTCATTTTTGAACATATAAAGGTTTCAAGGGTACATGGATACAATACGATTAATTTCCACATTAACGATTCAACCTTCCTCATGAGTGCCAGGAATGGAGAACTTTCAAATCACGAATATGTGATCATTTCAGGAGTTGAACCTTCATTTAAAAGTTTGTGCAGTGAATATCGAGTTCAGACTTGGAAGCTAAGCGCTATCCTCTACAAAAGTTTAAACCTCAAAACTGAAATCCGGATCCAGGATTAGAATAAATCTGGAATTTGCAAAAAAGTGGCAAGATTGTCATTTCAAAATTAGAAAAATCAAACTTCAGTTCTTGTCGTAAATTGTGTAACATAATTGGGAAGGTTGTTAAGGATTGGCAAGAAAGGATTAAATTAACAAATATTTTTAACATGTAATAGGGTTTCTTGCGTAGTGTAGTTTGGTTAAATACCTTGCAAGGGGTGTATAATATTTTAGATGTTTATGATGTTAATGTTGTAAGGAGGGGGGGGNGATAGTGTCATCAAATTTAGTACCTGATGGGAGTTTGGTCAGGGTATTTCTTAGATAGCTTATCAATTAAATCCTCCATTTTATAAATTTCTTTTCGTCATAACATTCTGAAATTATATTATGTTATACAACATCTTGGTTTTTATTGTTACATACGATTTTTGAGACGAATTTGTGACGAATTAAACATTAAACAAACGATCTAATACATGCATGCAAGTTTGCAAGAGGAATGTACTTACTTTACAGGATGTGTTTCATAGCGTACAAGGCAGGTTACCCCCCAGGTTTAAATTGCCGGTTTGGTTGCAAAGAAAATTTTATTTTTGTTGAAATATTAATATTTTAAAAAATTCAAATTTTTCATCAAATATGGGAAAACTTCTTTTATTGGAAATTTATGTGATTTGTATGTCGGATTTTTTATTGGAGGAGCCCTGTTTTAAAAATTACAGAAATATTATCTACTCCTAGGAAACAAATAGTTGGAGAAGATATAATCTTCATCATCCAGTTTATAAAAATGTCAGAATGTTTTCACATAATGGAACTTAAGAAAATACAAGAATTTATAGGAATGAGATGAATAATGAATGAACTAGTATAATTCAATCGCTGAATCCTCTAGGATGCCCCCATGATATTCAGATCACCGTCACTCCAGACCGCCTCGGTTTCACTGTCCTCTGGATCATGAGGAGGTCCTGGACTTCCCCGCCCTAGGCTCTCGTGGGAACTCCCAAACTCAGCCATCTCAATATCGTAGCTGGCTTCCAGACCTCCTTCGCTAGCAGACTCCATCTTGTGGATACCACTCTTTGCACCTGAAATACGAAACATCAATTTTCGGGAATTTTCTAGAGATAGGGATTATTGCATCGCGAGATGTAGCTGAAGTCCGGTCATTTAATTTTAAAGCTGATCAGTGATCATTGATCAGTAATCAGTATTATTGATGTTTGATCCTAGATCCATAATCCAGAATTCTCGGAACCCTAGATCATTGGATCCATAATCCTAAATCTACATTCATTTCTTGTTTTTGTTCGTTTTAAAACAAAATAAATATCTTTAATTTCAAACTTTTACTTACCTTCGTTCTCAGGATCCAATGAGAGAGCTAGACTGTAGTGCTCCATAGCAGCTTCTTCTAACCCTTGCTTAGCAAGCAGATCTGCTAGAAGCTGCTGTAGTCGACATGTATTCTGGTGAACCAGGGTCTTCTACAATAGTACACCAGTCAGTCAGTCAGTCAGTCAGTCAGTAAGTCAATCAATCAATCAGTCAATCAATAAATCAAACAATCAATCAATCAATCAATTGTTTAGCAAGTAGATCTGCTAGAAGTTGCTTTAAGCGACACTTATTCTAGTGTACCTTTAGTAGATTAATAGCTTTATCCTTCTCCAGTAGTTCTACTAGTAGAAACACTACCTTTAGTAGATTAATAGCTTTATCCTTCTCCAGTAGTTCTACTATTAGATATCCTACCTTTAGTAGATCAATAGCTTTATCTTGAGCTCCCTCCCTCTCTAAAAGTTCTACAAGTAGATAGATTGCGGGTAGATATCCACCACTAGATGCTCTCTCTAGTAACGTCTTAGCTCGGGCTACAGCCAACGGTTCCTATTCGAATAGTCGATTAAAGGTTAATTTTTTTTATCATTTTAAGAATTAGAAACGAATGTTGATCCAAAAAAATGATCAACGGACGGTCAATGTGCACCTCATCATAAAATCAATTAGCTATTCATTACAAAATGAAGATTAGTACAATTTTAAATCTTTTTTTAATTCATCACCTTGAGAAGTACGCTGGCGTACAATGTAAGAGATCGTGGTGAGTTTCCTAATTGCTTGCACGCACCTGACATAAAAAACTAAGTTAAAAGTTATCATTGGCCATTTTTGATTCAAAAACAAAAGCTGAATAAAAAATTCGAGTATTCTTTTAGCCAAATAAATATTTCATAATAGTTTCATTTTCGTGAATAGAGAGGAAAATAAATGGAAAATCTGTCTGGTATAAAAATAATATATTTTTACTTTTACGAGGAAAATTTAGAAAATTTTAAATGAAAATTATTTTTAAAATAAAAAACCAGTTCATGTGTTTCCTCCAAAAACTTGAATAAATAAAAATAATCGATATATGATTTTTTATTTAATCTGGACCTGTCGCTATGGTGATGGCTTCCCTCTGTCGAAGAAGACCTATATTACACTCAACCATTCCCTGGTGCGCTTCGTATCTATTCGGCGCTATCTGCTTCGCCTCGCGGAAATGGTTCATGGCGTCCCGGTACTTCTTGAGGTCGAGAAACATGTTACCCTTGAGCAGAAGCGCTTCAACGTTCCTGGTGTCCAGCAGACAGGCCTTGTGCGCGAAGTAAACTGCGCGTTTGTAGTTTTTGTTCTTATGACAGTAGTGACCGACCGCTATCCAGGGTTCGGGCCGCTCTTCACTACAAATTACAAGAAATCACAAGCAAAAATGATTTTTTGCTTTGAGGACAACAGAAAGTAGAAATAATGAAGGCCTTTGGTTTCTTTTATAACTGTCGTCATAAAAGCCATCAATAAGATACATTCGAAATTTTGATTGATATCAAAGGAATTTAAACGTTGTTTCATATTACCGCTGTTCAAAAGAGTTACATGTCCAATTTACAAGGGAACCTTTAAAAAGTTTAGCGGAGTAAAAATGAGGATTTATATCGACATTTATTTTCTGACATATTCTGTCGATTTCCTTGCTTGTACCTGTATCAGGATTCTATATTTTCTCGAAAAATCATTTTTCTTTTATATTAGTTATAAACATACTTTTAAGGGTTTTATTCGCTGAATTGGGAAAATAAATGATTTTTAGAGAAAACCAATAAAGTTTGAGGGAAAAAGTATCAAAAAGAATGAATAAAGTTGCTTTTCAATGTCTACTTTTCATTTTCCCCCCTCCCAAATCATCAAAAATCACTCCCTCCCTCGGGGGGGGGGGGGGGGGGGGGGGGACTATAATTCTAAAAGATTTACACCCCTGACCTGTAAATCCACAAGTCAAATTTATTTGAATAATCTCCAGTAAAAATGGTAAATTTTTAGATAGAAAAATTTAATTCTGAGTAATGTTTGCTCACTGCTCAGTTTAAGGTACCGATGTGAATCGGGTTTAGAAATGAACGGTCACTTGAAGTTAAGTCGACATTTTCAGTTTCTGCTTTTACCTGATTGCTAATAATCTTGATGCCAGAATATCTAGCTCCTTGGTTCGGTTTAGTTTACTCAGGATAGCTGCCAGAGTGTCCATACCTGGATAGAAACCAGATCAGTCCTTTAATATCCCGAGGTCAGAACTTATAAATCAGATAGCGCTAATCTACAACGCCTCTATTCAATAAAAACAACGAAAACCTTTAATTTTAAGTTTTCACTTTAACTTAATAATTTCTGAAAAACTGCTGTTCTCACAGTTTCATGATTTTCATGGCAAATGATTTAACTAAATCCGTCTTATTCAAAAAAGAAATGGATTAGAATGTTCTGAAAGGATTAAATAACTGTATATAAGTTCCGACTTAAGTTAGGTTCTGTTTAATTAGAACGATAAATTAATTCTTGTAAATCGTTAAAATAAAGTTTTGAGATGGTCAACATCACATTTTAAGTTTAAGTATCAAGATATTTTAGAACATGTGAAGCCTTGATGAAAAGCAAAAATATAAATAAAAACCATATTTTTTATGTTTGGATTGACAGGTAGAGGCTGAAACTTTAAACCAACCTGTTAGAAGAAGACGATCAAGACTAGCTGTTCGTTGAAGAACCAGTCGTGCCTAAAATATTAGTCTCTGATTTATTTTTTTTACAAAAAACTTTCCAAACCCTTGTGAAGGAGTTCCCTAGATAAACGTTCCGTGACAAAAACTCCAAATATTTGTATCTAGCAGAGCTAGAGTTAAAACTTAAAAATTGATTAATCCAATGGAGAAATTGGTTTGTCTTTGAACTAAATAATGAAGATTGAAATAAGGAGACGAGGTAAACCCAACTTTACTACTCCTACCCCCCACNGGGGGGGGGGGGAAGGGACAATGATTTATACATCCCTGCCTTCGTAAAAGGTTCTCCAAGTTTATAGAATCATTCTGAGACAAAACCCGGATGGAGATAAATTTGTAGAAAGGATAAACCAGAAAACTCCGCTAAACTTCTACTTTCAGTACCCTGAAGTCACAAACAAACAAACAGACAAACCTGTTCATCATCTCCAGCCCAGTAATGAGCTTGTCCCTGAGTAACAAGTAAACTCACATTCCCTCGTAACTCCTGTCTGTTCTCCAGCTGTTTACATTCTCTAAGAGGTATAAGAACATAAAAACGTAAAATGTATAAGAAGGGGAATATATTTCTTGAAAAAATATGCCCCCCCCCCCCTTTTGAATTGTTTTTTTTCTCAGTGCAGATGTTTTTTAGGCTTTTCTTTATCAATTGGGGAAAATAAATTAATTTTTGGGTAGAAAGTGTCAGGGGCAAAAAAAAAACTTGCCTTTGATGTCCAAATTATCCTTTTTCACAGAATATCAAAATAATTTCTTGAACATATTTTTTTATTAGGAGCCACAACAGATAAGTGAAATTGACGCATAATGTTTCCATACAAATATTTAAATTTTATATGTGAAATTATGAGTCATATATATCGGTCTTTCTGTATTTTTCATCATTAACGATTTTATTGATAATTCGAAATTTACCTAATACATGTTTTATAATCCTGAGCATAGAGTGCAGAGAGGGAAGTTATGTAGGATGAATACCAAGATATATCTCCAGGTTTATTTTCTCCTACTACCTCCTAGAATAGGATAGGTTAGGTTGGATGAATACCAAGACATATCTCCAGGTTTACTTTCTCCTACTACCTCCTAGAATAGGATAGGTTAGGTTGGATGAATTCCAGGATATATCTCCAGTTTAATTTCTCCTACTTCCTCCTAGAACAGGATAGATTAGGTTGGATAAATCCCAAGATATATCTCCAGGTTTACTTTCTCATACTTCCTCATAGAATAGGATAGATTAGGTTGGATCAATTCCAGGATATGTCTCCATGTGGTTTACTCTCTCCTACTACCTCCTAGAATAGGATTGGTTAGGTTGGATGAATACCATGATCTATCACAAGATTTGAATATAAATATAAAATAAAAAATGCAATAACTCTTAGGAGAAGGATAAAAGTAAACCGCATTTCTAAAAGTTTAAAAGACGGAACATCAAGTTTAATTGTATCCCTTGATGTTTATTAGCTGTTGGAATCGGAAATCTCTGACAATTTGTTTCTTAAGTTTCACATTTATTTAGACACCCTGTTTAATGTACACTGAACACTGAACAGTGTAAAATTGGCCAAAAAAAGCTGATGCTACCTGGATTTCTCGCGCTGTAACACCCATTTGGAGCAAACCTTTGACAGCTTCCAGGGCAAGAGGACATTCTTTTATAACCTCCCTGAAGTAATTTATAGGTGTTAGGTATTTTTCCAAAGACATTTTCCTAAGGGAGACTTTCCAAGTGGCAATTTCCTAAATGTGAATTTCCAAAGCGGCAACTTCCCAAAGGTTAGATTAGGCCCTCTGAGGCGCCGCAGGCTGCAATGGGGGACCAAGGCCCGCGGTTAGAACAGGCTGTGGGCCGAGCACTGCGGCTAGGACAGACTTGGAAAGCTGGCGCTTGGGAAATTGCACATTTGGGAAGTTCCCACTTGGGAAAACACCCTTAGGAAGTTGCCGCTTGGGAAAAATCTTTTGGGAAAGTACCTAAAATCATTTTATCTTATCATTAATGAAGTGATTTCAGAATCTTGTATTGTGGTTATAGAGGTCTATGCTTGATATAGATTTTTTGTTAATCTGCTGATTAATTTAATCTTAATTCGATATCCGCAGTGAAGAAGTGATCCTCAAATTAAAAGTGCCCGCAGTGTAAATCGAGATCAAGGATCAATATTATGAGCATCCAACACAATAGTTCCCAGCTCTGCACAAATAAAAGAACAAACAACTTTAAAGTTAATTTTCCGCCAGTTTTTTTTAAAAATCACGTCTTGTTGAACATTTTACCTGAGTAGGATATTCTTAGGTCATTTATTTGTGATAATTTTACCTGTATGCAGCTATCGCAGGTTTCTCTAATCCACTTTGATGATACAGTTTACCAAGAGCGTTGTTAATCCTTAGAAATAGAAAAAAATTATTTTTAGTCTAAGTTTTAAAATCATTTTCCCAATCAATTTGTTTTCTCCCAAAATCTACATACAAATTACATTACATATCCTAAAAATACCATTCTCCTAGCAAAAATTCCTAGGGGAAAAAACCGTTGAGTTTAGATAGATCTTACTTTGTATTTCTCTGTTTAGCAGGAATATTCTGGAGTAGGTTGACCGCCTGGTTTGTTTGACCCATTCCCAGGTAGCATTCATGGATACGGTACTTTATCTAGAGCATGGAAACTTAATATTCATGGATCCAGTACATTATCTAGATCATTGATACTTTATATTCATGGATCCAGTACCTTATCTAGAGCATGGATACTTTATATTAATGGATCCAGTACTTTATCTAGAGCATGGATACTTTATATTCATGGATCCAGTACATTATCTAGATCATTGATACTTTATATTCATGGATCCAGTACCTTATCTAGAGCATGGATACTTTATATTCATGGATCCAGTACTTTATCTAGAGCATGGATACTTTATATTCATGGATCCAGTACTTTATCTAGAGCATGGATACTTTATATTCATGGATCCAGTACTTTATCTAGAGCATGGATACTTTGTACTTATATATCCAGTACTTTATCTAGAGCATGGATACTTTATATTCATGGATCCAGTACTTTATCTAGAGCATGGATACTTTATATTCATGGATCCAGTACTTTATCTAGAGCATGGATACTTTATATTAATGGATCCAGTAATTTATCTAGAGCATGGATACTTTATATTTATAGATACGGAACTTTTCCAGATCATAGAAAATGGGAATTAATTCTATTAAAAAATCATGAAAATAACAGATTTTCTACTGACCTCTATTTCACTGAAAACAGTTCCATCAGCTTCCACAAGTTTTGTTTTACTTTTTAACAGAAGTTTTCTTTGTTGTAGAGCTGTCTGATATTCCACCTCAGCACGTTTATACTCCTTCAAACACTGTAGACTTCCTCCCTATATTTTGATTAGTACTACATTATACTCCAGTATACTCCTTCAAACACTGTAGACTCCCTCCCTATATATTGATTAGTACTTTAGTATACTCCTTTAAACACTGTAGACTCCCTCACTATATATTGATTAGTACTCTAGTATACTTCTTTAAACACTGTAGACTCCCTCCCTATATATTGATTAGTACTTTAGTATACTCCTTTAAACACTACAGACTCCCTCCCTATATATTGATTAGTACTCTAGTATACTCCTTTAAACAATACAGACAGACTCTCTCCCTATATATTGATTAGTACTCCAGTATACTCCTTTAAACACTACAGACTCCCTTACTATTTATTGATTAGTACTCCAGTATACTCCTTTAAACACTACAGACTCCCTCCCTATATATTGATTAGTACTCCAGTATGCTCCTTTAAACACTACAGACTCTCTTCCTATATATTGATTAGTAATCCTGTATACTCCTTTAAACACTACAGACTCCCTCCCTATATATTGATTAGTACTCTAGTATACCCCTTTAAACAATACAGACAGACTCTCTCCCTATATATTGATTAGTACTCCAGTATACTCCTTTAAACACTGTAGACTCTCTCCCTATATATTGATTAGTAATCCAGTATACTCCTTTAAACCCTACAGACTCCCTCCCTATATATTGATTAGTACTTTAGTATACTCCTTTAAACACTACAGACTCTCTCCCTATATATTGATTAGTACTCTAGTATACTCCTTTAAACACTGTAGACTCCCTCCCTATATATTGATTAGTACTTCAGTATACTCCTTTAAACACTGTAGACTCCCTCCCTATATATTGATTAGTACTCCAGTATACTCCTTTAAACAATACAGACTCTCTCCCTATATATTGATTAGTAATCCAGTATACTCCTTTAAACACTACAGACTCCCTCCCTATATATTGATTAGTACTTCAGTATACTCCTTTAAACACTACAAACTCCCTCCCTATATATTTGATTAGTAATCCAGTATACTCCTTTAAAGACTACATACTGCCTCTCTCTACATATTAATCGCAAAAATATATTAATAAATTGATTCATGCTGTAGAGTCTAGATGGAAAAGAATAAAAGTACTAGAACTTTATTTGTGTTAATCATATGTTTGATCTTTATTTACATAGTGTCTTAATTAAAGGGACCTTGACAAATTAAGGTGGCTCTCCATTTATAGCTTACAACTTAAACCCTTATTCACGACTAAAAGAAATATCCTTTTTTCAATTATAGTTTTTCTATATAAGTAACTAGCGGGTTTCTGCTACAGAAACAATTGAGTCAGAAATTAACATTATTCAAGCTAGAATAACGAGAACGTCCATATTCTGATCAGATAAAGGTTTGAAGAGTACAGTTGTGAACCGTGAGTATACTCTTCTGTAGATGAAGGGTCACTAAAATTTCGACAGACCCTATAATACTATTATCCGATTCGTTTAAACATGTTTCAGCTGGGATTTAGCTGGATTTTAGCATTAGACGAATTAGACAAGGAAGTCGTGGGAAATGTTTGACAAATTCGACACAGAATTTTTTTTAGAATATGATTTTTGCGAAAATAAAACCTAACATATTTTATTTGAACCCTGGAAAGAAAACTACATTCAGAAGGGGGGGATTATTTTTTGGGAAAATATACACCCCTGATCCGACATTCACGGAAACACTTCGGTAACGTCGCGAGAGCGTAACCAACCTGATAGAGCATGAGATTAATGAACTGTATATCTGTCACAGTGGAGGATATGAACGGGTATAATTCAATAAAACTTGAATATAAACCGGTTTTGTACAGTTCCTCAGCAGAACTGTACATGTCGGCCGCACACATTTTACAATCTGAAAGAAGTAATTCAACTCAAATATTATGTAAACATATTCATGATGATTTCGTTAATGTTGAAATATGATGCTTTCGGAGGAAAGGCACAGAACAGAGGATTTTGTCGTGGTCGATGGCCGATTCTTAATTCAGAACAACTGCTAATCTGCACGAGACAGGCTCACTGTATAGTAGGCCAAAATTAAATTTGTCAGTTTAGAAGTAGTAGTAGTAGAAGTCATGCATGGTCAAACGTGAAATAGCTTAAGAGAAATGGGATCGAATAAGATGTCCCTGTACACCGAAATCTTTATTTTTTTGCAAAGTACCCCGCAATCTCAAAATAGAAGCAAAAATTAAAATAAATAATTCATTATAAATAAAGAAATAATTGTAAATAAATAAATAAATAAATAAATAATAAATAGTTGTAATTGGTAAAATTTGTTATCAACTAGCTTAATTACTCGGCGTTACCCATGCCCGACCCATCAGCCATAGAGTAGTTTTCTTGTGGCCCTTAGCCTGTTATTTGGTTAGGTTAAGATACTTTCTGAGCCGAACGCTGCGGCTAGGAAAGTCTAGGGGGCCGAGCGCTGCGGCCACAGGTTAGGTTAGTAAAGACACTTTCTGGGCCGAGCGCTGCGGCTAGGACAGGCTAGGGGGCCGAGCGCTGCGGTCACATGGTCAAGTATGTCAATGTCTAACATATAAAATCCATGTACAAAATTGATAGGAGGGGGGGGCCCGGGGGGGGGTCCAAAAATCGTTCTCTAGGAATATACCAATTCTTTGTTTTGATCTCATCCCACTGCAGTACACAGATTTGACGCTTCAGATATGGCGGTTCCTGGTCTATATATTTCAGATTTCTTATATTTCTTGATTTAAATTATATAATGCATAATTGTTTACCGTGAACCCATGGCGATTTAAGAGTACACTTGTACGCTAAAAAGATATTATTTGGTTTGGAAACAATTTATGAAGACGACATAATGTATTTTATTCCACTTGTAATTTCCTTAAGAAATAAAGGGTGTCCCACATAAAATTAGACTACGTCAATGGGTTTAAATTACGATTTTGGGGACAAATAAGAAAATTTAAAAAGAATTAATCATAAATTGATAAACCTAATAGAAAATTTTTTTTGTAGAAAATACTAGATTTTTCGAGTATTATGTGCTTATTTTGGTGTTAAAGATTGGAGATAATCTAATATGATATAGGAATGGGACGCTCAGTGTTGTGGAAAACTTCTTTCGGATTCATTTGAGACATATAAAACTTTTTAAAGATCTGTGAATCCTGATTTTGAGCGTAAATTCGATGTTCACAACTCCTAATTTGGGGGTGGATATGTTTTCAGAATTAGTTTTTCTTAAATTATTAAATAACGACATCATTTACTTTCCCAGTATTAAAAATAAGTATTGGTTATTCGTGATTTCTGAAGGTTTCTTTATGATTTTACTCAAATCTCTACAGGTATACTCTAGATTTTTTAGTTTTTTATGCAAATAGCTTCTTAACTATTCAATAGCTCACTTAAGGGAAGGAAAACAGGCAAATTATCTATCTTAATAACCTATAATCTGTGATAAGTTATCAATCTAGTTTTTTAGTCTATATAACAATCATTTATTTTAACCCTTTTTGAGTTTTTCAGGTCAAAAGCCCCCGCTTATCTATCCATTCTATTTTTTACTTTTGTGTCCCCCCTTTTAAAAATTCCTAGCTACGGACCTGCTTCGCGAATCATTTCTAATGGAATTTTATAACTTTTTTCTCAATTTCGACTTAAAAAGAGTTAGTCATTCTTAATTTATCCTCTTAAAGAGAGTTAGTAATTCTTAATTTATCCTCTTAAAGAGAGTTAGTCATTCTTAATTTATCCTCTTAAAGAGAGTTAGTCATTCTTTATATATATATATATATATATATATATACATATATATGTTACTTCTCATCAATATTACAATTTACATAAACTATTTAAGGTAACACAAAACCTGATAACCTAAGAAGAATAACAAGAAATATAATAATGATTATATCGGACTATTATGACTTTTGCAGACTATAAGTGGAAACAAAGGGATAACCCCCTTACTGGCAAACAAGAACTTTAGAAATAATTTATTCAAGTACATACTGCCAGGAACTATACTTAGGACTGTGTGCACAGACCTACGATTAAGGGACAAAAAAGACTAGTGGATGAATTAGAAAAAAACAGCTGTAGACTGTAGTAGGGGACTTTATATACATAGTGAATATATAACTAAGCCAGGGACTAACTGACACTAAGAAATACATGAAAAGACACTAGAAGAGCGGATTTTTTTTGGCGCTTTGCGCGCAAGTTTAATTTGTTTACTTATGTCGTTCATTTTAAAGCTGTTGGAAGTATATTATTTTTAAACACAATAACAAGCCATGGATTTTTATAATAATATGGTATATTTTCAGCACAAGAATTAAAAAATGCTGTTTTTTACTTCAAATCCTGAAAACAGCGCCTAATTTTTTGAAAAAAAAATTCGACAGGGGGGCTGAAGAAAGTCTGTCATTCCCAATTTATCGTCTCAAAAAAGCTGTATATATAATACTCCTCACGAGTATTACAAATTACATGCATCATTTAAGGTTCCAATTCCATACACTAGCTTGGATGAATTACAAAGAACTGCTGACGCTGTAGAGTTTGATTGGGAATTTATATACATAGCGAATATGACTATGCTAGAGACTAACAGACGCTAAGAAATGCATGAAAGAAACTAAAAGAATAACAAAATGTCGCCGTTTCGCGCACATGTTCAATTGATTCACTCATGTTGTTCATTTTAAAGCTGTTTGAAGCATATTTTTTTATACACAAGAACAAGCCATGGTTATTATAGAATTTGGCATTATAATTGAGCACAGAATTTAAAAAAAGGCAGTTTTTTACTTCAAATCCTGAAAACAGCGATTTTTTTTTTTAAAATGTTGCCCTCCCCTCACAAAAGTCCTAGTTATGCCACTGGTTCAGGTGTAACCTGTAAGAAAATTTACATACAAATTATTTATTCCTTAATTCCCTGGTTAACTTTCTATATTTGTTTTTACTTATTAACTTATTCTGCTCACAGTACATATACAAAAAAATATAAAATTTTACGATAAAGCATTAAAAACAGCTCTGCAAGCTATAACCCTTTGCTAACAGCAAATGGGACAAATTTACTGTAAATATTGTAAATAAATCCAGATATAGCAATTTTATTTTACTAAATTTACTAATTCGACACTCAACATTTGTTTTAGCAATAAAATGATTTATTATTATTATCATAATTATTATTAGCATATATTAAAGTATTGCAACTCCTTGTCTGCAATCACTCGTATTTCAAAAAGTTTTTTATTGGCCATTATTAACCAAATAAAATGCTATTTACAACTGAAAGTGATTCTCATTCTTCATAAAGCTTTATTTTTGATCGAGTGAAAGATTTTTTTCAACTTATTCTTTATTATCATATTTCAAATTTAAAGGGAGTGTTATGAATTATTTATAGAGAGAACGTTACCCTTAAATCCTTATCCGATCAAAATTGTTGAAGATATTAACAGTTTTCAAGCTTAACAAGTGTTCAATTCTAATCATATCTTCCATTGTTTCTGAAGTAAAACTTATTGAAAATGATCAATGTTGAAAAAGAAAATTATTAATATCTAATTAATGCTTGGTCAGATATAATTTTTAAGATAACGTGCCCCTTTCCAGAGAATGCTCACCTTTTTAAAAACACAGATTTTTTGTGGATTTAATTTTTATGACAACACAAGGCACAAAATACGATTAAGTAAACAGATATATTTAAAATCTATTTTTTTCATTAATTTAAAAAGGGAAATAATTTCAAAAATCTGCTGCAAAAACACTCTTATTTTAGACAGAAAGATTTGTAGAATCTGGCTGTTATGGTAATTTTTGAGCAATAAAAATTTCATTATTCCGAAACTTGGGTTAGTTTCTACATTTTCAAAAAGGTGACCAAACCCTTGGGCACAATGAACTAGACAGGGTTGACCGGAGCTTAGTTACTGTTGATCTCAACATTAAGTACTTGTCCCATAAACTAGACAGGGTTGACCGGAGCTGAGTTACTGTTGATCTCAACATTTAGCACTTGTCCCATAAACAGGGGGATCTTCTCATCATTGCTGAAGATTTTAAACAAAAATGGCCTAAAAAAATGAAAAATAGTTTTAGGAAAAAATAAGAATTTAAATTTTACCTATTAAAAAACATTTGAGTAGGTCCATCATCCATCATTCGGTTTTCAACAACGGACACCTGGATTGAAAACTTTTAAATTAATGGAGTTGTCCACGAATTATAAAGTAATTTAAAGGGATTGTTCACAAAATTTGAAGAGATTTACAGGGATTGTCTAAAATTCTGAAGTTAAGTAATTAAAAGGGATTGTTCACGAATTATGAAATAATTTAAAAGGATTGTTCACGAATTATGAAATAATTTAAAGGGATTGTTCAAGAATTATTTGTTTTGTGCTAACACTGTAAAACTGTATACTTCTTGGAATACTGCTATTCGTATTTTATTTGGTTTGCCACGACAAACTCATAGATATTTTATTGAACAAATTTCTGAGCAAATTCATTTAAAAACTATGTTGTGTAGCCGATTTGTATCATTTTGCAAATCTATGTTAAAAGTCGCAAGCTCAGCATCCGACTATTGTTTGATTTATGCAAAAATGACAAAAGAACAAAATTATGTAAGAATTTATCTAATATTGCAAATGAAACCTATGTAGATAAACTGTCCTTGAACAAGTCTCTAGTTATGTCAAACAAGATTTACGCGAATCCGGCCGAAAATGCGTGGAGAATTCCACGTTAAAAGATTTACTATTAATCCGGTCAAATCCAAATGTTTTGGAAGGATTTAACTATGATGAAATAGATGTAATTATTGATGATATATGTAAAAACTAACTAAGTTTTTATTTTTTTAAATTTTTTTTCGACTATATATTAATTTTATATTTTATATGTTATATATCTCATTTCTCGTTGATTTTAAATTGTACCATTATAATTGTGTACGAATAAATAGAATAGAAATAGAATAGAAATAGAATAGAAATAGAATAGAAATAGAATAGAAATAGAATAGAAATAGAATAGAAATAGAATAGAATTAGAATAGAAATTTAAAAGGATTGTCCACGAATTATGAAATAATATAAAAGGATTGTCCACGAATTATGAAATAATATAAAAGGATTGTCCACGAATTATGAAATAATATAAAAGGATTGTTCACGAATTATGAAATAATATAAAAGGATTGTTCACGAATTATGAAATAATATAAAAGGATTGTTCACGAATTATGAAATAATATAAAGGGATTGTCCACGAATTATGAAATAATTTAAAGGGATTGTTCACGAATTATGAAAGAATTTAAAGGGATTGTTCACGAATTATGAAATAATTTAAAAGGATTGTTCACGAATTATTATGTGATTCAATTGGGGATTGTTCAGGAAATTTGAAGTGATTGGTGATTCTAAACCTGGTCTCCTTTGTATCTTTCTCGAAGCAACTCTTTTTGTGAATTACTATTTACTAAAATGTGCAAGATCTTGGTCGTTTTCTTGTTTTTCTGGTCTAGAAAAACAATTTCTTTAAGGACGCTAATTAAAAGAAACCTTTGAGATTGCAGCCGCTTCAGATCCCTCTTCGTTTACCTAAATGTTTTATAGTTTTACAATTAGAGATAAAAAATAAGAGGGAATACAAATATATATGGAGTCAGGGGCGTATACAGGAATTGGTCGAAGGGGGACGGAGAGGGGGGCTTAATCTTTCTTAAATTTCCACCGGGAGGGGGGGGGCGGCTTAGCCTCTGTTTGAGACTGCCTGACTCCTGGGATAAGTAGTTTTCGCTAATCAAGGGGGCGGGAGGGGGGGGGGGGTGAACCCTATGCCTTCTCGCCTGTATACGCCCCTGCATAGGGAAAAAATATTTCAGTAAAAAATTGACTTTGTATAAACTTTGCTTTACGAAGGACTAACTGGGGAATAGAAAACTAAAATCATGGAGAATTATTTTACGAAACTATTGGAATTTAAAGGGAGTATTCGCGAAAAATGAAAAGGGTTATAAGCTTACGGCAAAAAATTGTCGCATTTTATCGCTGCTAATTTTACTTCTATCTGTTGCGTCAATAAGGAGAAAATTGTTAAAAACGACTCATATCGAGAAACGTAGTGTCCATACAAATTCAGAAAGTTGCAACATTCAACTCGGATCGAAAACAAATCATTTTAATTCCTAACAAATCATTCAGATATTACATACAATAATAATCGTTAATTTTTCGACGCATTCGAATAGTTGATATTTCATAATATTTAAAAAAAATTTATGATCTGAGAGTTACTTTTGAAAACATTTAGTCCTGTTTCGAGGATTTTTGATAATGAAGACGATATTTTTATATTTTCCAAGAATGTTCGAAAATCCAGCGCCAGCGAAAAATTATTTTTAAAAACAAAAGCAAAAATATTATGAAATATTAACTATATATGAATGCGTCGAAAAATAATCGATAACTATTGGTTGTCATATCTGAATGATTTTTTCAAAATAATTAAATTAATTTTTTTTCAAAAACAAACGGAAACAGAATGATGTTAAACGGAAATAGAATGATGTTAAACGGAAACAGAATGATGTTAAATGTTATTAACTCACATCAATATTTGCTATATGAATTATCTCATCCACATACAATTCCAGGCTCGACATTTTCTTCAAGTTTGCTTTTCCTTTTTCAAACAAATCCTTAACCCCCAGTCTCTTCATGTGTTCTTTCAAGGGAACTTCAACATTGAACGTAAACTTCGGAACTTTCAGAGATACTTCCGTTTCGATAACAGCATCCGGAGTTTCGTTCTCACAGATCTGGTTCAACTCACCGGTATGCATATTCTTCTAAATATCAATTTATATAATAACATAACATGACAGTTTGATGACAATTTGAAAATCGTCTTTAATTTTTTAAACAATTCAATCTTCAACCATAATTTAGAAGCAAGGTTCCTGAATTAATAATACGAAATAGCCTGGCATTTCCAAATTGTGGTCTGCCACATAAAACAATTGTAACAATTGCAAATTACAAAGTTAAACACATTTCAAGTTAGGAAAACAACGATATCATATAAATTTTTAAGATTAAGGTTTAAGAGTTCCGTTTGAAACAGTCTCTTTCCATGCGACAGATTTTAAACAAATGTCTATAGCTGGCCAAACGGCTGAACCGAATGGGCTAGCATTTTTTAAAGGAAACCCTTGAGTACCCCAGGAGTAGGGTTTGCAGCAAAAAGAAAAAATGTTCGTAAAAATTTCGCATTTTTTCTCATTTCGTTCACTCGCGGAAAATGCGAAAATTTTCGCTTTTTCGCAAAATTTCGCTTCAATCTGTTTCGCGAAAAGTGCGAAATTTTTCGCGAATAACTGAGAAAATTTCGCGACAATATTCGAAAATAAACAAAATACAGCTTCAACACCAATGGTTTTCGCGGAAAAAATGTTAGCTAAAATATTTTCGCAAAATGCGAAATTTTAGCGAAAATATTCATCGCCAATTTTTTTGTTGCAAAATTTCGCTTTCGTTTTTGCTTGACTCATTATCGCAAAAAATGCGAAATTTCGCAAAATACGAACGAAAGTTTTTGCAAAGTTTCTTCGCAAAAACCCTACCTAGGGTTTTTATTGAAAAATCAAATTGTTTTTTTTATTTAAAAAAATGTCTTCTAGGTGCACTATCGGGAACTTCAACTAGTTGAAAATGTAATCCTAAGCTACTAAAGCGCTTCGCGTCCTTCTGTAGCTCTATATTGTTGCTTTAAAATTCCCCATTTTAATCGTTCTCAAAATTTCGAGGAAAAATAATAAATGTCGCGACATTATTTTTCGGGTAAAAATGTTCAACTTTGACCAGCAAAAAACCTTTCATGGGTTATGTGAGTTGCCACAGAAAATTTGGGCACTATTGATTTAGCCGTTTTAACGTTTATTGGATACAAACAGTCAGAGAGAAAAATCAAAGTACATATATAAAGATTACCATGATCTGAGCGGTATCTGTCCCCTCCTCAGGTAGTATCAAACCCATTGATATATTGAGTCCGGAGTAGGGTAAGATAACCATCATAAACTTTAAACCTAAAACAATAATTAAATTATTGCATAAATTATAATGCATATATATTATATGTATGTTTATTTAAATTATAATGCACATGTATTATATATATGTTTATTTAAATTATAATGCACATATATTATATGCATATTTATTTAATTATAATGCACATATATTATACGTATGTTTATTTCAATAATAATGCACAAATATTATATGTATGTTTATTTAAATTATAATGCACATATATTATATGTATGTTTATTTAAATATTATATGTATGTTTATTTAAATAATAATGCACAAATATTATATGTATGTTTATTTAAATTATAATGCACATATATTATATGTATGTTTGTTTAAATAATAATGCACAAATATTATATGTATGTTTATTTAAATTATAATGCACATATATTATATGTATGTTTATTTAAATTATAATGCACATATATTATATGTATGTTTATTTAAATTAAATTGCGCATATATTATATGTATGTTTATTTAAATTATAATGCACATATATTATATGTATATTTATTTAAATTATAAAGCACATATATTATATGTATGTTTATTTAAATTATAATGCACATATATTATATGCATATTTATTTAAATTATAATGCATATATATTATATGTATGTTTATTTAAATTATAATGCATATATATTATATGTATCCCTTCATTTTAATTTTCTCTGCAGGGTATAATGAACTTCACGGAGTATCAAAGATAAATTAAATTAATCCGTATAGGTCTGCAGAAGATAGAGATTAAGCTTAATCCCGAAGTCCACAACACATAAGTTTTGAATTCTATTGGGACTTTTCTAAAAAAAATGTACCATCTATCTATTTATCTTTCTCAATGGATTTGCAACTATATAACAGGTTTTTCTAAAAACGAAAATAAATGGATGAATTAAATTTTAAGTGTAACTTAAACTTAATCTCACTCTCCTCATATCTACTTTCATTGGTCAAACCTTTTCCAACTCTCTGTACTAAAATTTTCATTGATCATGGTAAATTCTTGTTACCTGAGTTATATGCAACCATAAATTTTCCCTCCAAGTGCATCATTGGAACCGTTTTATCTCCTTGTAATCCATGGAATACTTCTTGTTGGGTGTTTGCAGGATCAAACTTGTTCATCCAGGATCCTAAACATTGGAACTATTTTATCTCCCTGTGTTCCGTGGAATACATCTTGTTTATCCAGGATCCTAAACATTGGAACTATTTTATCTCCCTGTGTTCCGTGGAATACATCTTGTTCATCCAGGATCCTAAACATTGGAACTATTTTATCTCCCTGTGTTCCGTGGAATAGATCTTGTTCATCCAGGATCCTAAACATTGGAACTATTTTATCTCCCTGTGTTCCGTGAAATACATCTTAATTTATTGGGTGATTGCGGGATCAAACTTGTTCATCCAGAATCCTATCATAGATGGAACATTAAAAGTCAGTTTACTTTCTAATTTTTTCCATAACATAAAATAAATTTAAATTAGTGGTTGATGATGACCCACATTTAAAAAAGATTTATATTTCGGTCCATGGGTTTACCCTCTTCAGTTCTTGAGATTTGTTTCTGTCATGAATATTCAAAAGAAAAGAAAAAGTAATGTTGAGAATGAGATGGATACTTTACTGACTACCTGGTTTAAAAAAACAATCTGAAAGTAGGATTTTGTCTCAAACGTGTCTTTCAGTATTTTTGTTTGTGAAAGAAACCCCGTGGAAAAAGATAATATTTTCAAAAACTTTATTTTAAGTCACCCTCTACTGATAGAGTGCTATGCCATTCACAACGGTAGCACTAGCAAGTTTTATATGTTCTAAAATGAATGAGCTACCATGTTTTTTTTTTACTTTGAAATTTGATTATTTTCAATTGTGGTTTCTCTAGAAAAGAGAGTTGAAGATTTTTGCTAGAAAAACGACGATATCTTCCACATGATTAATTAGATCACATTTCAAATGCATTTATCATGTGTATCAAGATCAGCTTTAATTTTTTACCGGAATTTAGCCAATATCACCGACCCATAATTTCCTCTACTTTTTTGGCCGGGAAATAAAAAATTGTATTCTCTCGACCAACTTTTCTTTTAAAACTCCTGGAACTATAAAAGGGAAAATTTGCCTTGTGAATTCTTGGAAAAGTAAAATTCCATAATTTCCCTTTAGAGTAGTTGTAAATAATTATATTTCATCTACAATGAAATAATTCGGATAGTAAACAAGCAGTTAATTGTTCAAAGCAGGAAAAGAACATTATTTTTTTATGTTAGTATTTTGATGTCTTTTATTGACCATTGAAAAATATGAGACGATCAAAGATTAATGGTTTATAAAAATTACCCTTTCAATATTTTAACGAGAGTAAAATATATATTTTTTCTTCTATTTTTTCCTTCATATGTAAGTGGTTCGGTGGCTGCCCTGATAAGAGTCAACCATATATAAAGGTCTGTTAAATCAAACAAATTAAGTGTTACACGTAAAAATGTTACAAAAAAAGAGGTTTTCCTATTTGTTGGAAAACAAATTTACAATTCAATCCCTTAAAATGATTTTTAAAATATGCCAGATATATGCCTGCATTTTGGGTATTTTTTCGAACCTGCACATCGAGGTTTTTTGGCCTTTCTGTTCCTTATCGAATTTATCCCCCCCCCCCGCATATTGTTTAAAAACAACTTTAAATTGGAAATCATCATCCCTGGGAATTTTATAAAAGTAAAAAAAGGTCAATCGACTGCTTACAAACCAAAAATGATAGGGAGGGAAGCAAAGCACCACAGATTCTCCAGGAAAATAAAAAATATTGAGTTTATGTTTTTAATAATATTTAAATAAATATATAAACATTCAAAGGGTTCCTTCCATAATTTCATTATCTAGTTTTTTAATGAACAAAATAATCTGAAATGCTTAATTTAGCGTGATTTTAGGCGACCCACCATGCAAAGATAGCAATGCCTGATTTACAACGGTACCCTTGAAACTTACAATGGGAAAGATAACATCGAAAAGTGTTTATATTTCTGTAAAATTTTTCATTGTTTCCTAAAATCAAAAAATGTGTAAAATGAAAATAAAAACAATTTAAAGAAACTAAAAATTGGAATAATGGATATCTAATTCATACTTAATCATACAAAGGTTTAAGGTTGCCCGATGTAAAAAAAGGCATTGTCATCTTTACATGAAGGGTCACTTGAATTACACCCCTCTCTAAACCTTTAAAGTAGATAATGTTAACGAAGATCATCTTCATGTTGGGAAGAATCTCCTCCCTCTGCGTGATGGTTGGGATGAGGTTGTTGGTGGAGGTTGAAGCCCAGGTATTAATAGTATTCGCGGTAGCATCAGCGTTCATAAACTCGACTAATTCAAACCTAGAACAAGCAGTTTTTATTACCTCTCAGCTTATTTAAGGGAGAGACCGGCTAGGTATCATACTTAAACCGAGAGTGCAGAATTATAAAGATAAATTTTAGATTCATGTGGTACCAATGAGACGTTTTCGGGGTGTATAATTCCTAAGTAAGAGCTTAAAAAATTACTTAGAAATTATACACAGTAAAATCTTCTCATTGTTATCAAATGAATCCTAAATCAGGTTTGTCTGTTCATGTATGAATAAACATCCATGTTTATCTGTATATATATATTTACTTTGCTTGTCTGTCTGTTATTTGTTTGTTTGTTTGTATCCAATAAACGTCAAAACGGCTGAACCGATCAGGTCCAAATTTTGTATGGGTTTATGAATGATCACAATTTCAAAAATTTGCCTCCATCAAAATTCCTTTTCCATTAAATTTGTTAAAATTTTTAAAATCCACGAACTTTTTTTATAAAATCCGCGAACTTTTTTTTGTTTTAATTTGAAAATGTACACAAAGAGAATAAATTCTCAATTAAACCCCTAGTAATAATAAAAACTGATAAAATTCAATTGTGGTTTCTCTACAAAAGTGACTTTCGCATTTACTCCCGGAAAACTTATACTTATTATCAAAATTTAACAATTTTAAACCCAGAAAAACGACAATTTCCTCCACACTTTTGATCATATAAAGGTTTCAAGGGTACCGTTGTGAATCGGGCATTGCCATCTTTGCATGAAGGTCACTTGAAATTACCTTTTCATATATATAGTATTTGTAATTCTGGCCAAAGAAAATGTCTGTAATATGAAGGTTGTTCTTTTTTGTCGTTTATAGAGTTCTTAACATATGAAAACTAATGATGTGAAAAAAACGGAAAAAAGTCAAACATTAATGTTTGACATGCATTAGACATGCACGGTGTCCCAATAAACATAGAAATTAAGAGTCGACTTGCAACTTGTCTTTCATTGTTGATTGTTATTAATAAAAAAAAGTTGCGTGTCATATGAACTTTTATGGTCAATATATTTTGTTTCTTAAACTTAAAAACATTAGATTTTAAGAAGTTCAACCAGTTTTATTTTTATTTCAAAAATAAAAACTTAATCAACACTCAGTTCCCATACTTGTTGGGGCACCTTGTGCATATTTCATAAAACATGGGCCTTTTTCTTTCTTTCTTTTTTACAAAATTTTGTTTTAAAATCTTTTATAGTCTTTGGACCTCTAAACATTCTAAAGTAACAAAGTTAATGAGGCATCATCTCAAAAAACGTTATAAGTTTTTAAAAAGATTTTGAAATCTTTTACCTTGAGGTATTTTTCAGATTTGCAGTAAACTCTGGGAGCAAAGGTGTATTTTTGTCCACAAAGGCTCCAGTTTCCATAAAAAGTTTACTTGCACCACAGGGAGGAATAGTGCAGGAGCCACTGTGATTTTATATATTTAGTCTACTAGGAATAGTGCAGGAACCACTGTGATTATAAATGATTAGTATATTAGGACTACAGGAGGGACTATTGCAGGAGCCACTGTGATTTTATATATTTAGTCTACTAGGAATAGTGCAGGAACCACTGTGATTATAAATGATTAGAGTACTTTACAAGGACTACAAGGAGACTACTGCATGAAGCATTGTCATTATATATGTATATATATATATATATATAAAGATTTATTCACACACAAAGATATACATACATATATAAATGGTGTAGTTTAAATTTGTTTAAATAAATTTTTTTTGAAAATACAGGTTTTCAAAAGAAAAGAGAAAAAATATGCAAAATTATGCACAAATAGAAAACATTTATTTTTACTCACTACATAACATATTTATCATTTCAGTTATTACGTAATCATCGAATCCTTCAACATATAAATTATTCATTCTTGTATTTAAAAGTTCTTGTAAAACCGGAACTTTCCATGCATGTTCCAATGGGACATCAAAATATTTCAATTGTTTCTTAACTAACATTTTACTAAGATCCGAAGGATTTACAGAACAATCATTTGCAATAGAAAATAAATTTCTGCCAATAACTGTGTTGAGGTCATTTTTACATAAATTAGAAAGAAATCTAATGCAAAGCTTAGGACTTGTTTCAATAGTCTCATAGAAAGACACACATCATGATTAGTATGCATGGACTACAGAGCCAGAGCCAGGCTTTTGATTAGGGGGGGGCAGAATTTGCGTTGGGGGTCCCCCCCTTGGCAACAGTATGCCCCCCCTTAAAAACCCCTTTTTTGAAATAATATTGATAACTTTTTTATTTTTTTTTGCCACCCCTCCCACCTGGACTTGTTTTGTTCACCATAAAAATACCATAAATCAATAATCACAGCATCATTAAAAATTATATTTTTACTAATAAACGAAATTTCTTCTGAATTTTTTAGATAGAATTTACTCAATCTACATATTCACCAACTCTTTTAAGCTACAATTTTCTGGGATTTGTTTGCACAAACAGTTCAATGATTTTTTCAGTAGAGAGCTCAGACTGCCTTTTAGGGTGTAAAGCTTTAAGTGCAAGATCGTTAAGTCTGCTCTCCGTCATAGTACATCTTGTGTAATGAAGTATTCTCTTTAGAAGGCTAAAACTTTTCTCTCCTTGTATTAACAGTGAATTTAGACAAATCCTTAGTCTTTGTCATTGTCAGGTGTTACTTTTTAAACGTAATTTCCTTTTAATTTAGTATTTTCCAGGGGGGCAGGACCCCGCCTGGAACTCCCAGGGGGGGCACTGTGCCTGGCCTGAGGAAGGGAAATGCAAGCAGATGTAATATTAAAAGAGCCTCCCTCATGGGTTCCCCCTCTCAGCCTCTCAGGGGGGGGGCACGCGTAGAGGGGGGAAGAAACCACTTTGATTATATATGATTAAAGTACGTTACAAGGACTACAAGGAGACTACTGCAGGAACCACTGTCATTATATTTGATTAGTCTACATGGACTACAGAGCCAGACTGATGAAGAAACCACTGTGATTATATATGATTAAAGTACGTTACAAGGACTACAAGGAGACTACTGCAGGAACCACTGTCATTATATTTGATTAGTCTACATGGGCTTCAGAGCCAGACTAATGAAGAAACCACTGTGATTATGTTATAAGGACTACAAGGAGACTACTGCAAAAACTACTGTCATTATATTTGATTAGTCTACAAGGTCTACCAGGGACTACTGTACGTAAGAACCAATTTGTGATTGTATATTATTTGTCTACTAGGAATACTGCAGGAACCACTGTGATAGCATATGATTAGTATATTAGAACGATAAAGATTCTAGTACAATAGATGGCAACGTAGAATTTGTACACTCTCAGATAGATACAGCTGTATTCTGACGTCACAAGTGTCAATTCAGTTTTTGTGTCCGACAAAATTATCAATAATAATAGTGATAATTTTAGAATAAAGTGATTATCCTACAGTAAAATAAGTGCAATTTTATGTGTTCTTTATTTTCTGTTTTTATATTTTTTTATTTAATCTTGGAAAACATGTTAACTAATGTGAGAAAATTTCGTTTTCCTTGTTATATGTGACACTTGTGACGTTGTCTCTAATTGGTCCATTTCTCTGTTTCCACCTATTGTAATAGATAGTCTATTTATTAGTACTATAGGACTATAGGGTGACTACTTTAGGAACCAATGTAATGGAAAATTAGACTATAAGGATTACATGAGATTAAGGAATCACTGTGATCATAAATAGTTAGTCTATAACTAGGACTACAGAATACAGGGGACTACTTCAGGAACTACTGTGATTTTATATACTGTACAATACATCTTCAGTGAGAATAAGAAAATTGTGGAATTTTAAAGCTGACATTAAAGCAATGCTCAAGTGTATTTGCTGTTGTTACAAACCAAATACTTTTAATACAAAGGCATTAAATCATTGGTTAAGTAAATTGCTGTGCCGTAAGTTCACTGAACTATTTAAAGTCATAACTTGAGTCTAAAAGTCGATTTTCTATTCCAGAGTTTTTAGGTTCTAATGCATACATCACACTACAGACATATATACAAACTGAAATAACAAAGTAATTTGAAAATAAAAGAAATCCTACCGTTAGAGTACTAATTCATATTGTATAGTGCAGTATTTGAATAAACATTGAAACATACAGTGGGAACCATTAAACTGTGAAATTGGAAGACGATATTTAAGAACTCTTATATGCATTTGATGTTGTATGAGGCAAATCCACTACAGTATCTGTGAAAAAGGTTTGTGTACACTGCACAATGCACATTTATTGTGTTTCATATTCACTGTAAAATTTATTTTCAGAACTTAAGTCTAACAGTTGTCTTCCTATTCCACCATTTGATGGGTCTCACTTTACCTATTTTTCAGAGTCAACTCAGCAGTTTTAACCTTCCTTTTAATCTCTTCATAGCTGATAAATTCTTTACATCCCAAAACATTCTCTAAATAATATCGAAATCTTTAAAAACTTTTTTAAATATTCAGGGATTGACATTTGGATTTAAAAAATGTATTCATTTAAAAACGAAATCTTTGAAAACATTTAATAAAAGGTTTAAATTTTCCTCAGAATTAAATTAATGAAGAATAAAGAATATTTTTATTTTTAGTAATTTGATCCTGACCTATCTGAGTCTTCGTTTCTCCATCAGATCCCTGAACAACTAAAAAAAATATTCTTTAAAAAACTGAACACAATACTAATTTTATAATAATTCACACTGTTAGAAATCCCTAACAAGTTTTGTGAAATATCAAACTTACAAAAGAATTTCGAAATTAACGACAGCGTGTTCGAAATTACTAACATAATGTTAATAACATCACACAAATTGTTCCATTCCAAATTTTTTGTGCAAAATTTTGAAATTATTTTCTACATAATTTTTAATGAATGCCTTCTGTAATAAATATTGTAGCAAATCCCATATTTATAAACCTGAACACACCTAGATATATTATGTTGTACTTGAAATCCCATATTTATAAACCTGAACACACCTAGATATATTTATAAACCTGAAGACACCTAGATATATTATGTTGTACTTGAAATATTGTAGGAAATCCCATATTTATAAACCTGAACACACCTAGATATATTTATAAACCTGAACACACCTAGATATATTATGTTGTACTTGAAATGACGTTAATTAATGTAAGCTGTACCCTAGAATTCAAAATATATGTTAGTTGGAATAATACTCCGCTTGATTACGGTGTCAGAATAATATATCCTTTTGTAGCGGATCTTATAAGATAGATACCTAAGAATATGGAGAGAGAGTCATATCCGGATGGTATATAGAGAGACAGGACTGGTTTACCTAGGTCTAGGATGGTATATAGAGAGACAGGACTGGTTTACCTAGGTCTAGGATGGTATATAGAGAGACAGGACTGGTTTACCTAGGTCTAGGATGGTATATAGAGAGACAGGACTGGTTTACCTAGGTCTAGGATGGTATATAGAGAGACAGGACTGGTTTACCTAGGTCTAGGATGGTATATAGAGAGACAGGACTGGTTTACCTAGGTCTAGGATGGTATATAGAGAGACAGGACTGGTTTACCTAGGTCTAGGATGGTATATAGAGAGACAGGACTGGTTTACCTAGGTCTAGGATGGTATATAGAGAGACAGGACTGGTTTACCTAGGTCTAGGATGGTATATAGAGAGACAGGACTGGTTTACCTAGGTCTAGGATGGTATATAGAGAGACAGGACTGGTTTACCTAGGTCTAGGATGGTATATAGAGAGACAGGACTGGTTTACCTAGGTCTAGGATGGTATATAGAGAGACAGGACTGGTTTACCTAGGTCTAGGATGGTATATAGAGAGACAGGACTGGTTTACCTAGGTCTAGGATGGTATATAGAGAGACAGGACTGGTTTACCTAGGTCTAGGATGGTATATAGAGAGACAGGACTGGTTTACCTAGGTCTAGGATGGTATATAGAGAGACAGGACTGGTTTACCTAGGTCTAGGATGGTATATAGAGATACAGGACTGATGATAAAGTTCTTGTCCTGAGATAAGAGCGGAGTCAGTTTAGATGAAAACCAGAATACCAGTTCACACATCTTCCTTGCTGAATATTTGAGAATTGAAAAGAATGGAAGAGGTTAGTGACAAATATCAAAATGGGGGAATGAGGGAATGAAACAAACAAAAGACTTTCGAAACAATTTCAAGTAACCCTCCATCTTAAAAAATTACGTTTCCGAGTCGTCACAAATTGCATATGTAAACTTCAGGTGGTTATTACAATAATGGTTATTTCCTTATTTCCTCTTTAAAATGGATCCCTTGAAATAACGTCGAAAGTCTGAATAATCAAAGTACCCACTGTGGATATCGAGTTCAAAAATTCGGAATTAAGAGTATCAAACACAAAATATCATAGATAAAGATAGATTGCGCATAAGACGACATTTTTCATCTTGAGAGATATAAATGTACAGAGATGTTTTAAAGATATTCCTATTATATAGATTAACTAGCTCGGGTGTGAACATTGGCTGTTCTTATGTCATGTCATTGAGTACTTGTGGTGTACATGAGTTCTGTAGAGAGAAATTAAAGTTAGTTTAGTCCTTCTCATGTCCTTCTTCAGTTCTCGTCAATATGATTATTTGATAATTTGATATTCTCAAAATAAAATTCACTCCCGAGTGGTTTAATAATTATGAAATCCTTTAAAACACCAAACTACCCCGCTTATCATTGAAGTACACTTTGACCCCTGGAAGTATGAGTTCGCGGACTGTAGAATTCTTGGTGATTTTGCGTACATAAGCTATCTATGTTTATTTATTTATCTATGCAAAATATCATCATGTTCGATATATCATTAAAAAACATTCAGTTCCTTGTTCTGCAGAACTAATTTCAGAAGTTCCATTTTCCTAAAATATAACTTTAAAACCTTTGTAATAATGGGGTTTTTGATTATTGTGTTTTACATTTAATATTGACATGAGGTCTTTCAACTGATCATAGGTCGTTTCTTGTTTACAGAGACTTTCTGTAACGCGAGCTAGTGTATAAATAGAAAATATGGCTGCAAGCATGGAATGCAAGCAAAATGAAAGTTAGTTATGAGATGTCTAGAAGTAAAATCTGAAAAATATTGAAGATGATGTTTTTAAAAAAAACTGACTTCTTTTGATTATTGTGACATTTTCTAAAATTTGATCGTATTTATCTGTATACAGGGTGTCCCAAAAAACATGGGAATTAAGTGACGAATTCGATATCGTCTTTGTTATGAATTAGCATTGCAATACCTAATTTCAAAAGCCATAATATTATTTTGTCTGCTAGAGTTTATTTTATGAAAAAGGTAAAAGACTGTAAATATGTGTCTAAAATGTCTCCGCAAGATGACAATGAAGACGGACAAGTTTACTCTGTTTGTATACTTACAGTACAGCTTTCTCAGTAGGTATCACTATACAAAATCAAAGAATTATTTGAAAAGACTATATCGAATTCGTCACTGAATTCCCATGTTTATTGGGACACCCTGTACATTCCACAGTTTTTTCACCAAAATACAATTGAAATTATTAATTGGAAGGGACCGTAATAAGATTAAAATATTAAATATTCAGGTTCAAATTAAAGTTGCTTATCCTGAAACTCAAATGCAGTATCCCTGACTCATAATATCACATATTTGATGCAGAAATCAACAAAAAAAAACCCGGTTATCGTTGTGAATCGTTGATGGCCATCTTTTAATTGGAGGGTAATTAAAATCAGGTTGCTGAAACACTGTTGAAAACTCCTAATATTTGTTGTATTTGCGAACTGACTTAATCATTTTGAAATTTTATACATTTTGTTCATAAGTATGAATACTGAACAGAATTTTGGATATATCAAAAAAAATATTCACATATTTGGCCTTATGTTTGTATATACGAACTAATAGAACGACATGTTAGATTCACAACGAGACTTTTTAAACCTTTGTCTGATCAAGGAGGAATTTAGATATTCTTATTTTTGTATCTTAAATGATTGATTGGGTTTAATTGTGGGTTCTCTATCAAAGTAACAAAATTTACGGCTCAGAGGCATTGTAGGAAATTGTTAGAATTTAACAAGTTTTCAGATTAAAAAACGACGATATCATTGTCAATGCTACTCCGTACTCAGATAGAATGTTTAAGAATCGAACATGGAACTCTGTAAATTGTTTAAATGAGAGATATATCTAAATATCTTAATTAAAGGAAAAGTATGGACAGGGATTAGAAGTTAAAGAAAATAAATTTAAGATAAAAGATGAATGAATAACCTCGAAGCATGAAGGAAAAGTACTATAAAAAACAACATGACTCTTCACAGGAAAATTTATATTTGTCTTCTTCTAGTTGTTCACTTTATGTATTCTCTACTGAAACTTGAAACTATTACTGAGTTAACCTCTTTAAATGCTTATTAAAGGGAGAGTCAAGGATTTTTATTAAAGGGAGAGTCAAGGATTCTTATTAAAGGGAGAGTTAAAGATTCTTATTAAAGAGAGAGTTAAAGATTCTTATTAAAGGTAGAGTCAAAGATTCTTATAAAAGGGAGAGCAAAAGATTCTTATTAAAGGGAGAGTCAAGGAATCTTATTGTTTACATTAAAGGGAGAGTCAAGAACTCTTATAGCTTATATTAAAGGGAGAGTCAAGGATTCTTATTGTTTACATTAAAGGGAGAGTCGAGAACTCTTATAGCTTATATTAAAGGGAGAGTAAAGGATTCTTATACAGTTCAACCCAGAACTTCGGAGACATTGATCTAATTTATAAAATGTTTTCTAAACCTACTGATAATGGAATTTTGCAGATATTAAGTTTTTAATTAAATATTTAAAACTGTTCCCTCATATTAATTTATTTTTACAATTACCAATTGAGATTTAGTTATAATAGATAATACTATGGTCCAAGGCGACATTTTATAAATTCTCTCGATTTCTCGCCCTCGAAAGTTTTTATTACAGAAAGTGTCATGAATTCTCATTAAAGGGAGAATTAAGGATTGTTATTAAAGGGAGAGTCAAGGATCGTTATTAATTGTTATTAAAGGGAGAATAAAGGATTCTTATAAAAGGGAGAGTCAAGGATTGTTATCAAAGGGAGTTAAGGATTTTTATTAAAGGGAGAATAAAGGATTCTTATGAAAGAGAGAGTCAAGGATTTTTATTAAAGGAAAGTCAATGATTGTTATTAAATTGAGAGTCAAAGGTTCGAATTAACGGGAGAGTCAAGGATTTATATAAAAGGGAAAGTCAAGGATTGTTATTAAAGGAAAAGTCAAGGATTGTTGTTAAAGGGAGAGTCAAAGGTTCTTTTTAAAGGGAAAGTCAAGGATTGTTTTAAAGGGAAAGTCAAGGATTCTTATTGTTTGTTTATATTAAAGTGAGAATATAGAATTATTATGGTTTATATTAAAGGGAGAGTCAAGAACTTTTATTGTTTATTTTAAAGGGAGAATCAAGGATTCTTTTAGTTTATATTAAAGTGAGAAACAAGGATTCTTATTGTTTATATTAAAGTGAGAAACAAGGATTCTTATTGTTTATATTAAAGGGATAATCAAGGATTCTCATAGTTTGTACTAAAGGAAGAGTCAAGGATTATATCCAATTAAAAAATTGTGCAATCTTTATTCATATAAATTTCTGTACATCATACATACATAACACTTGTACATTACATGTACCCTGTATCACATTTGAGAACATGTCAAATAAAAACCGAGTAACAATAATGAATAAATCTAAAAACAATAACAATAAAATTATAACAAATCTTAACAATAAACGCAAACAATTTAATAACATGTCGTTTTGTCCATATGTAAATTACTTTTACATAAATGAATAATGCCTTTGAAGAATGTATAAAGTCGGGTTTATCGAGTTGAATTCAACATTTTGAGGTCAGTCTTTATTCTTTAAGGCAGACGTAAAGTCTTGAGTCTTAAAGTGTAAAGTTTGCATTGTAAATAAGTCGACGATGTAAATTAGAAAAAAACTAAATTCCCGGCCTAAAATTCAATATAAAGAGAACTTTAACATCTGATTAGAGAATTGATTAGTTCAGTTGATCAGTATTTGGCATAGCTTCGATTTTTATTAAACTCGTTCGATCAGATTGAAAAGAGACATAGGGCACTTCTCAGCATACTTTTTACAGTTACCACTCATCTAAATAGTTTATATTACTAATATGGTATTTTTTAGATGGATTGTTATGTTATACAAAATGTTATTGATCAGAGGATTATATGTTAGCCAGCTTTAGAATGAGTTTTAGATGCTTGTTTACTGTACAGTGTACACTAGGTGAAATCAAATAAAAGGCATTTAAAAAAAAATTGAAAATTTGTGCAGAAAAAAATTGTGGCAGAAAAATTAGTTCCTATAAAAATTAATATTGGCACATATCTTTACTTTTAATACTCTTGTACGTATATAATGGTTAAGTGACCTGACCCATTAGATCCAACGTAGTTTTTTCGACCTTCAAGGATTCAAAAATCTTATGAATATAGACATTTTTGTATTAACAATAAATAAGCCAATTGTCATTATTGGGTAAATCTAGTTTTAACTGAAAACTCCGGTTCAATTGAAGTACCAGTCCAACTCTTAGACAACTAAAGAGAGAGTTGTACGGTACACTTGTCCGGGTTGATACACCAAATGAATTCTTCTAGTAAGATTATTGTGCTGTACCTGTCCTGTGAGCTGAGCCTCAGCGTACTGGTTTGCGTGCTGTGAAGGATTGGTGATGGATGTATAAGTATTGGTAGCAGTCAGCAGGGTTGTTACAGCATCTCCCATCAAACCATCCTCGTGTTCAGGGGCAGCTCCAACCTCACAAACAGCTCGGAGCAGACAAGCTTCACCATCCATACCTAACCAGGATAAACATTGATTGAAAAATGAACGCAGAGCGTCATTAAAAAACCACGTTTTGAATCTCAAAAAGCTTTCATAGTCATGTGAAATTTGGTACAATCTTATAAAACTCGGTTTAAATCTTATAAAAAGTTGATAGAATCTTATAAAACTCGGTTTAAATCTTAAAAAAAGTTGATAGAATCTTATAAAACTCTGATAGAAGTGAGAACACATTAAAAGCAATAGAATTACAGTGAGACCTATAAAACTATGGAACAGGAAGACGACACTGATAAAATTAAGTTCTGAATTGAATATGAAACACAGCAATTGGAGCATTTTTTGCAAAAATAAAATCCTCTTATTCCAAACTTTTATAAGGCTTTCTGTTTTTTTCTTTGTGTTAGAGACCTGTCGCAGTAGCAATATATTTCTCCAGAGTAGAATACAAATCAGCGCGCGTGGTGGAACCAAAGGAACGACCAGTCTCAGAATCTTCCTGGAACGATCTCCCGTCGAAGGAACGAGAAGTGGAGGGGAATGTGAAGGAGAAGGGAACAACAAGAGAGAGAGATGTTCCAATATCAGTCAGAGGAATCTTCAGGGTGAATGACGCGGCTAAATAAGATAAAAACATTAATATTATTATAGAAAGGTGCTATGTAGGTCACATTTCTCTCATTCAGTTTAGAAAAAGTTTTTTTTTATTGTTAAAAAGTCCTCATTAGTTCTTTCTCAATAGTGCATATGTCTTCAAATGAGAATTATGACTGAATTAAAAGTTAAAATAAAAGTGATGAATGTTAATAATATAAAGCTGCTGAGTAAGTCTGTTTGTGACATTTCTATAAGTCCTTAAATTAAATTCATAAAAGCGTTTTTATTATTGTTAAAAAGTCCTTATGGTCATTCTCAATAGTGCGTCCTCAAATCCGAGTTATGGTTAATTATCGATAAACAAATTTACTTAATGTGTAGGATGCAGGAAGGGTTGTAAAGGATCTAGATATTCTGCTCCTTGGACTGGAGAGAAGAGCTGAGGAGTTAACTCCGTAGTCAATAACTCCGTAGTCGGAGTATCCATGGGATCCAGATAGGTTGTCGTCATAACTAGAGGAAGTGATTGTTTATTTTAATATTAGAAACTCAAACAGTGTTTGTTATTTTTGAAAATATTCAGGAAAAAAATTTTAAATATAAAATAGATTTTATACCGAAGGAATTTAGTTTTTGCTCCACAAACTCTAATTTTTAATCCCTTTATTTTTGCAATAGACCTTTAAATGATGCACCTTGGAATGATATTTGAAACTGTTCATTCTGTTAGATAACATGGTTCAAGTTTGAAGGATCAGGTTGAACAAATATGGGGATTAGAAAATTAGAGTTTGTGGCAAAATCTCATTTTATTTAGTAATAAAAAAATTTACTTTTAATTTTATGAGCAAAAATGAATTTTCATCTGTTTAAAATGTTAGGAAAAGTTAAGATTACGAGCCTATAAAATGACAAATATGTAAATATATGGTGTTTTTTAATGCACTGGTTTGAAGATATAGGCATTTTAAGTTGTGTAACTGTTGTACCTGGGATAGTATTGAGCATGCGCAGCTGCGCAGAAGGCAAGAAGCATCAAGAAATTGTATGTCATCCTGAACAAGAGGGTCCTTTTTTCGCAAAGAGTATTTTAGAAAAACATCCGCAAAACTGATTTTTCTAAAACGCTCTCTAAAAAAGAAACGAACCAAAAAGAAAGAATCTTTTGAACTAACTTTTAATTATAATCAGTTATGAACAGAGCCATAAAATCATGGAATACGAAGACGATATTTAAGCAATATTATATTATATTTATATTTTGGGTTGTTTTAAATATAAAGCAAATATTTTAATCATTAGTTTGAAAATCAACCTATGAGAGTGAATTGAGTCTGGGTACACTTCACCTTGTTTCATGTTTTTGACTTTTTAATATTATAACTTGAGTACAACAATCGTCTTTCTATTCCGCAGCTTTATGAGTCTCACCGTATTATGATTCAAGGCATTATAGGGACACATTTCTTTTCAACGCAAAATCAAATAATTTCCAATAAAAATAAACTAAAAAAATATTAGAAAATTAAAAAATGAAAGACGATTTCGGTGCAACTGAAAAAACCAACATTTATAGAAATGGTTTTGTTGTTAAAAAATCTGCTATTTTTGTTTTCACGATTACAAAAATATCAATTTCGCTAAAGCTTAAAATCCTACTTTATTTTTAGATAAGAGTTGTAAATTGATTGAGAACTGAAATGTGACTGATTAATCTGAAAAATTATTGAATATTTATATGAAAATAAATTGAATGGTTCTGAAAGGTTTGGTGGCCTGGAGCGGGAGAGGGTCCCGGAGTTAGGTTGACTTAACTCCGACCTTGCTCGATCCGCGTACCTCAAAACTCAACCCTCCTCCTACCCTCCCACCCTCCTACCCTCCTACCCTCCTACCCTCCTACCCTCCTATCCTCCTACCCTCCTACCCTCCTACCCTCCTACCCTCCTACCCTCCTACCCTCCAATACATGTAGTAAATGCCTTACTCCATAAGGGGATTTCAAACCCGTATCTATCCAGGTACAATTTGTCAGCTATCAATGTCAACACGGACACAAGCTCAGCTATCAATGTCAAAACGGACACAAGCTCTTAATCAATCAATGCCAAACCAATGGACACGATCCCGTAAGCTATCTTTATCAATCTGAAGCTCGTAACTATCAATGCCAAACCATCATGGGCACGATCTCGAGCTATTGATATCAATCTGAAGCTCGGTACTATCAATGCCAATCCAATTGGCACGATCTCTTAGGTTATTGATATCGATCTGAAGCTTGTAACTATCAATGCCAAACCATGATGGGCACGATCTCTTACGCTATTGATATCAATCTGAAGCTCGTAACTATCAATGAAAAACCAATGGGTACTATCCTCAACCTGTTTATCAAAACAGGGAACAATTATTCTCTCGTACAATAAACATAGGAATTCAGTGACGAAATCGATATCGTCTTTTCAAATAAGTCTTTGATTTAGTATAGTGATACCATACCGAGAAAGCTGTAATCTGTAAGAGTTTCGTCTGTTATGTTCACATTTTGTTTGTTTATGTTTTGACTGCATACGGTTGAACTTAGTAAAACAAGAACATTTCAGTATACAAACAGAGTAAACTTGTCCGTCTTCACAGTTCTTCTTGCGGAGACATTTTAGACACATAATTACAGACTTTTACCCTTTTCATAAAATAAACTCAGCAGACATAATAATATTATGGCTTTTGAAATTAGGTATTACAATGCTAATTCATAACGATATCCAATTAGTCACTGAATGCCCATGTTTATTGGGACACCCTGTAGTAAATAGTATGGAGGCTCTATATTTTAACTGAGTATATTTCTATATGTCAGATTAGAGTTAGGTCTTAAAAGCGATGTTAGATATATAACTTAGTTTAGCAATCACAATATGGGTTTGGTTGAGTTATATGTCTGCTTATGTAGATTTGGTTAATCGCAATACATGATTTGCGTATTTGCTAATGAGCACATTTAGCTATATGGACAATGTACAACGTTATTTTACTATGGGGCCTCTTGTATTTATTACATACCCTCCTACCCTTCCTTACCTTCTACCCTTCCTTACCTTCTACCCTCCTACCCTTCCTTACCTTCTACCCTTCTACCCTTTCTTACCTTCTACCCTTCTACCCTTTCTTACCTTCTTGGGGGGTATTGAGAAGTGAGAGTGAAGCTATCCAAGCAACTAGTATTTATTATCTATCTATTCAATATATTTAGTATTATCCATATTCAACTTCATATATCTAAGGTCAAAACATTTTTAATTTGGAATCAATGACATTTTGAATAGTCATTCATATATTCACGTTTAACCATACTTCTCTTTAAATGCATTGAACACTTTTTGTGAATAAATGAAAGAGCGCAGTTTTCTCTGAAATTGCGTCAGTGCTTTAAAGTGAGGTTCCTATGTGATTTTTAGATACTTTATGATACTATAATTATAATTCATAACTATAGAATAAACGGAATGCAAGCTGTTTCATTAAGTTTTTTTTGTTGAAAACGTCGCTAAGGACATTTATGACTAGTAAAGTGGTTAATAAAACCGGAAACAATGTTTTACGCAAAAAGGATAACATTTAGAAAAAAAAAATTCTGAAAATAATTTTATTTGATATTTTATAATCCTTGATTTGAGAGATACCTTATTTTGAAAATTTTTATCAGATTGAGCTATAATAAAAATTTGACATTGTTAAATAATCTGAATCTAAAAAAAATCCCCAAAATGGTATTGCTTAAATCAAAGATTAACACTCCCTTAATCCTGTAGCATGTACCCCCGTTTCATTTTCCCGAACACTCCCTTGAAGTCAGAGGGTACATTTTAATATTTAACAATGTCTTTTTATGATAGTTTATATGGACTCAATGAACCTGAACATGTATGGAGTAAAATATCTTTACAAATATATATATATATATATATATATATATATATAATAAATCCCAGATAATTATAATGTTCTCAAATTTGATAAAGATTGTATACAGCAATATCGAGACTACCTCAACAAAAGGGACAGTTCAGTTTAATATCCGGCAAGGGAGTCCAAATAAACACGAACTTGTATAATGTGAATGTTGGCGAAGGTTAATAGGACCATAATTAAGCCACTGTAGTTTAGTTATGGTTGTCCTCAGCCAGGCCGGATACTAGTTGAACTAGTAACGGCTAGTTCAACTACTCCTCTAGTGTAGTCGAGAGTGTAGTTCAACTACTCCTCTATTTTAGTCGAGAGTGTAGTTCAACTACTTCTCAAGTGAGGTCAAGAGTGTAATTCAACTACTTCTCAAGTGTCGACGAGAGTGTAATTCAACTACTTCTCAAGTGAGATCAAGAGTGTAGTTCAACTACTTCTCAAGTGTGGTCAGGAGTGTAATTCAATTACTTCTCAAGTTAGGTAGAGAGTGTAGTTCTACTACTTCTCAAGTGAGGTCAGGAGTGTAATTCAACTACTTCTCAAGTGTGATCGAGAGTGTATAGTTCAACTACTTCTCGATATTAATCCATTAGTTCAATGTCCATCGAGTATTTGCTTACAGACCCCTTTTTTATCCTGTAATGTTAAATAATCATTTGTGTGCTTCAAGTAAATTTATATATATATATATATATAAATTGAAAATCTCTGTTAATTGCTGTTTGTTTGTATGTCCAATCATAACTCATGAACCCTTGACATTTTTGCCTCAAATTTTCATTGGGGAACTCGGTAGAACCAGAGGAATGTTCTTAGCTTGGTTTATATGTCTAACTTGAGTGGGTTGAATATGTTAGAGAAAGTTTAGTTGTTAGGCATAGCTAGGTTCCCAAGCCCAAAACTTAAGATAGGGTATCTTTATGAAAACCAGTTTTAGAACCCGGGTTTTACGAATGGGGTTAGGCAGTTTTGTGGATATAGATTTTGTTATGAAATTTTATTATATTTAGTTTCTTTTTATTCTCCTATTTTTTCGAATCTTTTAGATCAAAATCTACACAAATTTAAGACCCCAAAAAGGAAACTTGGGAGTTTTGTTTAACGATACTCTTTTAAGTTTCGGGCTCAGCTCTGGTTCCCAAGCTATAAAAGACTGTATTCTTTTCGTTAGTTTGTTTGTATGTCAAATCTTTACTGAGGAACCCGTGAACCGATTCGCCTCAAATTTAGATTAGGGAACTCAATAGAACCAAGGAAATGTTCTTAGCCTGGTTTTTAGATTCTTACTTGAGTTGATTTACTTTTATAGAGGAAATATAGTTTCCATGCAAAGCTGGGTTCCCAAGCTATAGTTTATTATTAAAGTCAACGATCAGTTTTAACCGAATTAAAAACAGATAAAAAATATATTGGATACATTCATTTTGAAACAAATCTGACAGTTTAAGATCTAGTTAGTTTTAATGTAAACCAGATAGAATAACATTTTCAGCAGTACTTAGTACATCCTCATAAAGTTACCAATTTGAGTAAATAATATCTCTATGCTACGTCAAGGTTACTATTATTTACTCCTCAATGGTGGGTAGGACCAGGAGTTTTGTAATCCTCGTTTCCGAGGTTTTTAGTTGTAGCTTAAACTTTCCCTATACTCAGTACAGATAAACACAAACTGTATCTATATTCTATACCTGATATCTCCGGCGTTGCCCAGGCAATTTTAAAAATCGTTCAACTTTAAAATTTATTTTATATTTTCCAGGGGAAACATTTTTAAATCTTTGACCATCATCTAGGTTACTAAAATACATATGCAATACAGTAGGATGGGCCTGAGACAGAATAGACCCTGGAGGCCGAATTTAATGAATTTGAGCTGTGTCGCTGACCTACTAACCACCAGTTCAAATCCTAAATCACCTCTCTAATTTTTTTAATTTGGTCCCGGGTGTTGTTCATTTGAGAATAATATCTGTAAAATTTTAAATGAGTGAAATGGTTAGAAATGGTTAGAAATGGTTAGAAATGGTTAGAAATGGTTAGAAATGGGGTTAAAAATATGGTTAGAAATGGTTAGAAATGGTTAGAAATGGTTAGAAATGATTAGAAATGGTTAGAAATGGTTAGAAATGGTTAGAAATATGGTTAGAAATGGTTAGAAATGGTTAGAAATGGTTAGAAATGGTTAGAAATGGTTAGAAATGGTTAGAAATATGGTTAAAGAAATGGTTAGAAATGGTTTGAAATGGTTAGAAATGGTTAGAAATGGTTAGAAATAGTTAGAAATTGTTAGAAACAGTTAGAAATGGTTAGAAATGATTAGAAATAATTAGAAATGGTTAGAAATGATTAGAAATGGTTAGAAATGATTAGAAATGGTTAGAAATGGTTAGAAATGGTGACGGATCGTTTGTTTGCATCCAATAAACTCAAAAATGCTCCAATCAGGCCAAATGTTTTTTGTGCCAACTCACAGAACCATAGGAAAGTTTTTGGCTGGTGGAAATTGAAAAATTGTGCATAGAAAATGTTGATTTTAATTAAATTTAGAAATCCATAAATGTGTATTAATCCTTGAAATATTGAGTTTTACATTTAAGATAAATAAATAAAGGCTTAAAAAGCAATATTTAAACACTAAAATTGCTGGAAGCCTTGTACACCTAAATGCATAGAGAATAGAATATATAGAGAGGAATTAAAAGAATCTCTCGGTATGAATTTTTTCAGTCCCTTTCAGCCTGAAAGGGAGTTCAAAGTGTACAAATCATGTAAATGTTCACAAATTATAAACAGTAGAGTACATTAATACAGTATGTTCCCTAGACTATTCATTTCAATTTCGAAATTTTTAAAGCTGTTAAATAAACTTTATAATGAATTAGGTGGATAAAAACATCATTTGATTTATAGTTATAACGGAAAATCAGCGTTTGTAAAGTGGAAGGCATAGAGTCTATGTGAAATGATCATTGGTCAATTATGAAACCAGCCTATTTCATAATTTGGTTTTCTTTTAACAATAATTTTAGATTTTCTGTATAATGATATTCCAGGGCCCAACAGGTTATATAGCATAAATATGTGAAGTACACCTGCAGTATGGAAACAGTACAACAAGTTTTACACTTTTTGCTAGTAAATTCCTCTCTATATATATATTCTCTTCTATATGTCTAAATGACAATTTTACTATCGCTTTGCATTCATAATTTCAAATTAAATAAAAGGATTTCATAAATAAAAGATTGTGGCAGACAAAAGATACCAAAACTCCAGAAGTGGTAATTTGACAATATTTTTTTTATAGAAATGTGTTTTTTTATTTAACAAGATCCTCTTATGAAATCTATCCTTATTACGCAGTGTCCAGGCCAGGGCCCCTCTTGGCTTGGGAGCAAAGAGAGAAATAATAACCATGGAAACCATCTTCGGTATAAACAACAAAATATCAGTTACAAAAAATTCTTATACAATACATACAAACTTAGATATACAGAGTTACCCACAAAGGATGCGACTGTTAAGACGACATGTAACTCATATAAAATGACATTTCCAAGGTTTAATTCAGTCTTCTGTGTTACATTTTCTCTTGCATATCTTGTTTATTGATTAGGAAATAAAAACAAAAACGTTTACAGTTGAAGGAAATAGTGATTTAAAGAAAAGACACCGCATACATTCCGTAAACCGTCTTTAAAGTTTCAACCTTTCAATTGAGTAACCCTGTACTGTACTTGATTATCTTGACATTATACAATATATACATAGATATACTTGATATTCTTGACATTATACAATATATACATAGATATACTTGATTTTCTTAAGCATTAGCATTATGCAATATATACATAGATATATTTGATATTCTTTAGCATTAGTATTATACAATATATACATAGATATACTTGATTTTCTTAAGCATTAGCATTATACAATATATACATATGATATATTTGATTTTCTTTAGCATTAGTATTATACAATATATACATAGATATACTTGATATTCTTGAGCATTAACATTATACAATATATACATAGATATACTTGATTTTCTTATGCATTAGCATTATACAATATATACATAGATATACTTGATATTCTTGATCATTAGCATTATACAATATATACATAGATATACTTGATATTCTTAAGCATTAGCATTATACAATATATACATAGATATACTTGATATTCTTGACTCTTAGCATTATAAAATTAAAAAATAATGTTAACCTTTTAGCATTTAGAGATCAGAGTACTGCACTTATAAAACGGTTTAATTTATATAATTTTATGTTTAAGAGAAAGCCCAGGAACCACCTGGAGTCTGTACTATACACATTATCGTTTTTCAGTCACGTTAACATAGTAGGCACCAAGTATACCTGAAAAAACTGTAGTTTTGTTTACAAAAGAATTGACTCTTTGCCACAAAATTAAATTTCCTAAACTAAATGGAGTAAACCTTTAATTCTTTAAACTTTATTTGATCTACCAGAAATCACAGTTTGAAAATATCTACGAAATTGGGTAGCAAAGGTATAGAGATCAGAAAATCAGAGTTTGTGGCAAAGACTCTTTTCCCTTAGTGTTGAATTTAAACAAATGCAAGCTGAGATTTTTTCCCCAGAAACTGCAGTACAATTTATTCAAACATAGCCTTGAATAGTTCCTGGAATATTCTTTGACTGGCACTCTATAAACCCTATACCAAATTGATCTCACTAAAAAGCCTAAACACATTTTTTCAGATACGCTCTGTCTGTATTGCTGGCATTGTACAACTTGCTCTAGCTCTGTTATCTAAGTGAATTTAATCAAGATATACACAACTCGACTTAGTGTATCAATTTGACAGCCTGATTCATCAATACTGTCTGCTAAAAAAGCATTGTTTTATTAATAAAGTTTGCTGATTAAAAAATATATTTTGTGCGTACGCGTTTGTTTGAAAAATAAATATGTTTTATTATTTTAACTATATCTATCTAAATTCCACGAACTTTACACGGAACTGTTTTCTTGGGCTTCACTCTCTTTTAAAACGTAACGTTAGAAGCTAAAAATGTGATAGGTTTTTCAGAGAATAAAATATATAAAATGATCAACATTTTAGAATTAGTGAAAAAATTTCAATCCACTGTGCTGGGGGGAATGGAGGATGGATTCTGCAGATATGGAAAACTTGTCTCCAAGTATATTCTTCATTAAATCTAAAAGCATATGTTAATATGCAATATGAATCATTATTTATAAATGCTTTGCTTGCCTGTCTGTATCCAATAAACGTCATAACGGCTGAACCAATCGGGCCCAAATCAACTCACATTATTTAAGTGAAGGTTTACGGAAGTCAAAATTTGAAAAAGTTGGTCTGGAAAAAAATCTAGAATTTTTTAAAATGTTCAAATCTTAATAGAAAAGTCTGTTGAAATTTGTTTTATACGAGAACGATAATAGTGACTTGAAAAGCAACTGTTAAAAGCTAAAATCGTTTCATATATGAAGGAGCGCGATGCACCCTAAAAGCATAAACTGCTATAGAATTAGATATTTTCATTTTTCACTGTTTATTATATTTATTATATATTAATTAAAAAAACAATTCAGCGCGCGTGCACTGTATTGTTTTTTTATATGACCATTATTTCGAAATGGATGCCGCCTTGATCAGCAATTTTGATAAAGCGGTCATCTTGATTAATCATCTAAATTGGTTGATGCTGTAGGTTGTCTCCATTTACAATGTCAAAATGGCTGGCATTTTAACTCTCCATTTAAAAAATGTTTTTTTTTTTCTTGATGCCATTTCTAACTAAAGTTACAGGGATAACACACAAAGGATGAGGCTTCAAAGACGACTGTATACTATGTATAGAATCTAGTATTTTCATAGTTCCTGCAGTTTACAACCGTAAACTTGTCTTTTTCTTTATCAAATCATTTAATGTATCCTCTAGACATCAGCATAGTTTCAACTTTCAACCCTCAGATCGTTATAATTAAAAAGCTTTAGGTCGTTATTAAAGTCTCATCACTTGTGGGTAACCTCATGTAACATACTCGTGTAGTAACAAAACAAAACAAATATTACAAAGATAGTAATGAATTCCTTTATTTCAAAATTTATTAAAATTATTTTTAGATATCCTGCCGTTGCAATTATTTTCTGTCTGGTTCTAACTGGCCTATGCTCGATAGGTAACATATATAAATTTGGCTTGTCTGTCTGTTTTTTTGTATCCAATAAACCTCAAAACGGCTAAACCGATCGGGTCCAAATATTTTGTGAGATCTCGCGTGACCCCAGGGAAGGTTTATGAATGATAAAAATTTTAAAAATTTGTTTTTAAAGTTTTTTAATTTTGTAAAAAAATTAAAATCTTGAAAATCCGCAAATTCTTTTTTTTTTATAAAATCTGGGGTATTTTCTTTTCTTTGTTTTTCAATGTTTCAATGAGAACATGTTTACAATTGAAATAGAAGATGGGCGCGAAGGGCCCTAAAAGACTTGTATTATTTAGTTAATTAATTTTCAAAATTATTTTGATGAAAATGAAAAAAAAATTAGATTTTTGTATTCTTTTATTTTGATCAAAAAGCAAACATTTTACTTAGATAAAATTTTAAAAAGGTTAGCAAAGAAAATTGAGTTTTAGATAATATTTCATTGTTAAAATACATTTCAAAACTTTTAAAAGACCATGACTCCTGTCATGAATGAGAAAGGCTGGTGTTTCCCGATATTTTTCTAAATATTCAAAAATAAACAAATTTAAAATATTATAAAATCATGAATATTATTTTTAAGGATTTATGTTCTGGAAAGAGGAATCAGATGGGTTAAAACTATGGCAGCCCCAGGTATAAATACACTGTTAAAACTCTGGAAGCCTCATGTACAGATACACTGTTAAACTGTTAAAAATATGGCAGCCCTAGGTACAAATACACTGTTAAAACTATGGCAGCCCCAGGTAAAATACACTGTTAAAACTATGGCAGTCCCAGGTACGAATACACTGTTAAAACTATGGCAGTCTAAGTTACACGTACACTGTTAAAATTATAACAGCCCCAGTTACACAAGAATTCAATAAATTTTAATGTAAATTCATAATTCATAATGTAGATGTATGAGTTTTTGGTGTTCATATATTTAGGTATATAACTAGTAACAAGCTGCTAACAAGTTCAACTAGATTTATGTAGAGCTCAGTCATAACTTCTTTTTTACTTTACAAACGTTTATAATTCATTTCCTTGAAAAAAATTCTTCAATGCACAATTCTCTATTAATTAGGTTTTTTACTTTTTACTTTTAAAACGTCTATTTTTAACTGTTTCAATTTAAATAATATTTTTTATTTTGCAGGAAAGTGAATACACAAAACAAACAATATGGTTGAAAGAAAATTTTCCCCCAGATACCAGGTTTGTAAAGGGATTATTTCCCCCAGATATCAGGTTTGTAAAGGGATTATTTCCCCCATATACCAGGTTTGTAAAGGGATTATTTCCCCCAGATACCAGGTTTGTAAAGGGATTATTTCCCCTAGATATCAGGTTTGTAAAGGGATTATTTCCCCCAGATACCAGGTTTGTAAAAGGATTATTTCCCCCAGATACCAGGTTTGTAAAGGGAATATTTCCCCCAGATACCAGGTTTGTAAAAAGATTATTAGAAATTACTAGAATTTTAGAAATAACATCTATCGCCTTCCTTTGCCTACCTTTCTTCTTACATTTTTGTTTAAAGTTAAGAAAATGATAGAAAATATTGAGGGTTTGTAAATATGTGATTTGAAATTAAACATCAATAAAACTCATTTATTAAGGTTCTGTTCAATCCTTCTACTAGCAGACAATGTTCTCCAACCTTCAGTTCTACAACAGTTCTACCTTTTATATGAGTAGGTTCTATATATTCTACCTGTTATATAAGTAAGTTCTCTATATGCTACTTGCATATCACATGAGTAGGTTCTTATGTTATGATTTTTATTTAATTGGGGGAGATATTAAGAAATTAGTTCCGATTTAAATCTTATATCGAATAAAATTAAAATTGTTTAGATAATAAATATCTCAATATCGATTTTTCAATTTAAGAAATTATATGAAATAATCTTTTTTCTTTCACTTGGAAATCAAAGACGATATTGTAGTCGTCTCTGTAATCAATATTTGCTTGAACACTCTGTAATTGTTAAATAAAAGATAACTGTTTGCAGGGATATTGTAAAGATACCGTACAACGACACTTCAACCACCAGCTTCTGGAAAACAATCTGTAGAAAAATACCAGGTAAAGGGTGTACAAACAAAAATGCATTGTAATTGATTATGTGCATTAATATTGTTCATTTTTTCCTATTCTGAAAGGGAGTGTTCGCGAAAAATTATAGGCTTACGGCGAAAAATAAGCGCTTTTGATTGCTACTAATCTTACTTTTATCTGTTGTGGTGTCTATAAGGAGAAAATTGTTGAAAACGACCTATACCTAAGAACGTAGCATCGATACAAATTTAGAAAGTTACAACATTCAACTCGGATCGTAAAATAATCAATTTAATTCCAAACAAATCATTCAGATATTTCAAACAACAGTCATTGATTTTTTTTCAACGCATTCATTTATGGTTAATATTTCATGATATTTTTGCTTTGGTTTTTTTAATTTATGTTTTGCTGGCGCTGGATTTTTAAACATTCCTGGAAAATATGAACATGTCGTCTTCAATGAAATTTTCTTGGTGGCGGGGAGAGGGGGAGGCGTTCTACAAATTTTCCTTCTAATTTTCCTGTTCAAAGTTCTTCTTCTTTCTTGTTTATCTTGCTTTAAGCCCCTATCTCTACTGTCAAGAGATTTCCCTTCCACTTTTTCTGTTCAATTTCTTTTTTCTTCTTGCTTCTTGTTTCTTGTTTTTACACTTTAATGCCTTTCCAAATAGTTCTTTTGACATCAATGTTGAGGAGCAGGTAGGAGAGAGATAAGGAGGTTTGTAGGAGGAAGGGTATAGGGGATTTCTCCCTGTGTTCCTTCATTTTATACTGTTTCCCAGTTAGGGGAATTATTAGGAAACTCATAACTGCACCCCTTATGCAAAATGGGGAGTTGTTAGCCTTAAAGAGAGGAATCTTCTATAGCAGTCCAGTCCTCACAGCTGGTCGAGTAAAAAACTGGTATCGTTGTGCATGGCTTGTATTCCCACGAGGGGTTAAACTCCTCTTTCAGTGCACCAAACTGAAGATGAAGCTTTGTTTTAATCTATGTACAATTTGATAGGAGCAAGATTAGTAGAGATCAAAAGTGCTATTTTTCGCCGTAAGCCTATACCCCTTTCATTTTTCGCGAACACTCCCTTTAACATGTGTTTTTCTTTCATTATGCCAAATTTTTTACTCTGGCAGTAATAATTGGCTAAAACAAACCAAAAACGATTCAAAAAAACAAATAGTGTGATAACGATAGTTTTTGTATCTTTTTTTTCGATTGAATGTTATTAAATTTAATAAAAGCAGACCTTAACTTATGACAGTTTTAAATCTTGAAAGTATTAAAAGTTCGTCATGCAATCAAATTCAGATTTTATCATAAGACTTTACGCGGTGATAATTGTTAACCAATTTATAAAGTAAAAAGACATTATTTTTTTTGAGACACCCTGTAGCAAAGGTTTTGGCAGAAAATGTTAAATGTATAGAATATTAATATTGACGTCATTATATAAAGTTAACAGTACAAAATATTAGATTGGAAAGCTGGACTATTGATTCTAGAAAATTTCTCTATAATTTATAATTAATAAGCTACCAGGGTGTCCCAATAAACATGGGAATTCAGTGACAAATTCGATATCGTCTTTCAAAACAATTTCTTGATTTAGTAAAGTGATATCCACTTAGAAAGCTGTAGTCCGTAAGAATTTCGTCTGCTATGTTTACAATTTGTTTGTTTATGTTTTGACGGTTGTACAACAAGAACATTTGCAGTATATACAAATAGAGGAAACTTGTCCGTCTTCACAATTCATCTTGCGGAGACATTATAGACACATCTTTACAGCCATTTACCGTTTTCATAAAATAAACTCTAGAAGACATAATATGCTTTTGAAATCGGGTATTACAATGCTAATTTATAACAAAAACGATATCGAATTCGTCACTGAATTAAACCATCTCTTGACGTGTGAAGAAGTAAATAAAAAAGATTATAGCATTAGTTTAAGTTTTCTGTAACAGAAATCCGCAATCCATGCTATTGTTGAGAAACCACAATTTAAAATATTCAAATTTTTAAAGCTAGAAATATGGATATCTCATTCGTTCTTAAGTAAAGTATACAAAGGTTGCAAGGAATCTGATGGCCGCTTGAAATGACGTCTAAAGACTCTTAAAACTTTATTTAATCCTGCATGTCCAGGAGGGGATTGTATGGAGTTCTCCCCCCTCCAGGTGTTCAAGGAGTCTGATGGTTCGTACAACAAGGAGAACATCAACTCCCTCACCCTCGCCCAGATACAGGACAAGATCAACACTGTCTGGGGTAGAACAGGTACTTTAACACACGTAAAATTGCCGCTCTAGTGATTGTAAATTTAACCAGATACAGCCTTAAGTCAGACCAGTTAGCACCTACTAACCCTAGGGCTGGGAAAAGTTTCGTTAACGAAACGGAGGTTTTCGAAAACTAATGGAAGAGTCCGTTAACGAACGGCAAAAACCAAAAATTTCAAAATCGTTAACGAAAACGAAACGAATGGGTTTTCAAAAACGACAACTTTCATTCTTTTTTTTTCGGCTAAAATTGCATGAAACTTACAACAACAAAATTTTAAATGTATTTTTATGTTTTCAACGGTCGTCTTCAGTACCCCATATTTTATGATGGACATTTTTTTGCAATTTGGTGGAAGCTTGTGCCGGAATTCCAATTTTAAAAACTGTTTTATTTTTTTACGGAATTTTTGGAGTTTTGGCATCCTTTAACACCGAATGCTAAAAACAACCGTAAACAGATAGCACCGTAATGATTTTACAAACATATTTTGGCGCTTCGCGCAAATTCAAAACGGCTAATGCAGTTAATTGCAAAAAACCGTTAACGGCAAAATATCTTCTCTGAAATCCGTTAATAAAAGTTAAGATCTTTAACTAACAGTAACTTTTTTTTAAAACCCGGAAAATACCGTTATGAAACGAACGTTTCTTACTTAACTTTAAATCTAATGACTACCTGAAATTTTTCTTTTTTAACGGTTGAAACTAACTGTTAACGAAATGGCTTGAAAAGGTTGAAACGTGCCCAACCCTAGTTAACCCTGCCTACCACATTTGGTGTACAGGGCAGGCAGTACATATACTAGGACCGTAAAGGTCTGTTCAACTATTCAAAAGTACATGAGTTGAGTGTGAACAGAATATAAATTAGATTTTAGTACAGTGGGACCCATGAAAATACGGAATAAGAGAACTACATTTAAGTAATCTTATGTGTATTTGGTGTTGTTTTAAAGCAAATAGTTTCAACAGCAGGTTGAAAATCAATTTATCCAGAGAAATGGGTCTATGTTTCGTGTTCATTGGACTATTCAAAATTCTATCTTAAGATTTACAGTCGTCTTCCTGTTCCGGAGTTTAACGGGAATTACTCATGGAGCTGAAATATATTTTAAATTTATAGAGGTTTCCACTTTATGAATAATATATATATACTAGTAAGTGTTGAATGAATGATTCATTTTCCCAAGATCTATTTCTAGTCGCTGGAATAATTGAATTGTCAGTAGAGTTATATAAAGTTTGTCTGTTGAGTTAAGGAAAGGAACAAAACACTAAAATTATAATTTCATAATCCCTATATGTTTGCAACCATATGGTAACCTTAGAAAGTTTAAACTTTGACCTTGAGATCTGACAGAATTTATAGTTTGAAGTATGAAAGGTTTAGAAAATTTAATTATGAGGCAAAGGTTCAGTTGCCCTATACTAAACAAGTGCAAAGTTAAGACTTATATGACTTTTATTAAAATATAACATTTATACAGATTTTAAGGGACTGTAAGTTTAATTTTAAGGGACTATCAGTTTAATTTTAAGGGACTATAAGTTTAATTTTAAGGGACTATAAGTTTAATTTTAAGGGACTGTAAGCTTAATTTTCAGGGACTATAAGTTTAATTTTAAGTGACCCTCAATTTACAAAAGGGACATGTCTAATCTCGAAGGTTCCCTTCAAACCTTTTTATGATAAAAAATGTAAAAGATATCGACGTTCTTCTAACTTGAAACAACATTTTATTTGTTTCATTAAAAAACAGGAGTCTTTAAGTCTTATAGAGAAACCCAATTGAAAATGATTAAATTTCAAAAAGAAAAACATTATTATCTCATTCATTCGTAATCCGACATTACTTTTAAGGGTATATAGCGTTGTAAATCGGACATGACATGCAACAAATGGAGGGTCACTTGAGATTCAGTTTACATATCTTTTTAAACCTTAGTTTACTTGCAGAGAGTTTGTTTGGAAGCGTGAGTAAGACAGCTGATGGTAAAGTAGAATCTGCTAAAGCTATGACTGCAAGGTTTATCATTTACTCTAAAAATAGAGAAGATGAATCCAAGGTTTGTAATTTAGAAAGTAAATACTAAACAATAGCATTAAATAATTTCATGTTACAGTGCACGATAGGGAACGGAATTAATATCGTTATTTCTCTTTCCTTCATTAACATGTTGTAACTAGCTGGTCAGAGATCAGAGCTGGGAATTATTGTATTAAATACCCACAATCCCTAATGTTCATCTCGATATCCACCGCGGGGAACTTTTGATTTGAGGATCAATCCTTGATCTCTTCATTTTAGTTATTCCTGCGGGTATGATTATTAACATGGATATCGATTAAAGATTTAATTGATCTGTACATTATCATGAGACCGAGATCAATCACTGATCTCTAAATCCAAAACACAAAAATTCCCACCTCTGATTTTTTGAGTTGTTAATTCAGGTGGATTAAGAGGCGTTGTAAAGTTTCAACGTCAGGGTATAAAGATAAAACGGTTAAAAATAAAAAAAATCCTTAATACAAATTCTTAAAGAAAGAGCCAATCTTCCTGTTCTGCTAAAAGTTTAACTTTGCTTAAAAAATTTTCTGGAACACGGTGAAGCAGTCTTTTTGTTTTTATACAAGAAAGAAAAACTAAAAAAGAATATATTTTCCCTGTTCAGAGCGGATGCTTTAATAATCGTCATAATTTTTGTTATTGTTAATCTGTTTAGGATTTTGAACTGAAACTAATCAATATGGTGAACACACGACAGTTTAAGGACGGAGTGAGAGCTTATCCTTTAACTCCTAGAAGCTTTGGTGACCTTGTTGGTGGCTCAATCAGTGGTAAGATGTAAATAATTCTTAAAAGATCCAATTTCAAATATTTGATCTAAGCAGTGATATAGTTTTCCGACAAACTCTGATTTTCTAATCACAATATCTTTGCAAACCAATGTCGTAGTACTTTGATATTTCAAACTATGAATTCTTTAAATAGAAAAAAAATTCGAGTTTGAAATATCAAAGATGACACCAGATTGCAAAGAGATTGAATATAAGAATTTTAGTTTTTGACTAAAACTCCTTTTCAATAAAAAATGAAGTCAGCGGTTCAAGCATTCTGTTTACGCTTTTCCTAAGATTTTAGATTGGATTCAAGAAGTGCACAGGTCATCATTGCTAAATTTTTCCTAAGATTTTAGATTGGATTCAAGAAGTGCATAGGTCATCATTGCTAAATTTTTCCTAAGATTTTAGATTGGTTATGAGGAGATTAAAATTTCAAATTATTATGAGGAGATTAAAATTTCAAATTATTATGAGGAGATTAAAATTTAAAATTATTAATTAACATCTTCTTAAATTCACTGTAAAATTTAAATTTGACCGAAACTATTGTATAAACTGTCCGCAATCTTTTTGATTGGTAAAATGATTTCTCCGAACATGGTGTTTATTTTAATTTCCTTTCTGTTTAGGTATTTTTGCCTGTGGGATGGGGATAGGGGCCTCATATGGTTTATCCCAGCTGTTAGGCTTCTTCTTCACTGGACTTCATGGCATCCTGCCGTTCTTAATGCTTGGTGTCGGGATAGATGACATGTTTGTTATAATGCAGGCCTGGGAGAATCTGGAGGAGGAGGAGAGGTTAAAAAGCTTCCAGGAGCGGTTTGGAGCAACAATGCGGCATGCCGGTGTTGCTGTAACAATAACATCGATAACGGACTTTCTAGCGTTCCTAACTGGGGCCACCACCGTTATACCAGCACTAGCTTCTTTCTGCGTCTATTCAGCTTTTGGAATCCTGTTCATTTACTTCTTTCAGGTCACATTCTTTCTAGCCTGGTTCTCTCTGGATCAGAGAAGAGTTGAAGATGTCCGGGACGGCATCATCTGTTGTTGGAAAAAGAAAGACTGGGAGCCAAGCCAGTGCAGTCAGTTTGATATCCTAGGTTACATGTTCACAAAGTTGGTTGTTGTTCTAGATTCCATTCCAGGAAAGGTTGTTGTCATCCTACTAACTGCTCTCCTGTTTGGACTAGGACTGTATGGAACCATAACTTTGGAAACAGACTTCGACTACGCAGACTGGCTTGAGGATGGAACTTATCTCAAAACCTATTTGGCAGAAAATACCAAACATTTCCCTGCTAATGGAGATTCTGCAGGTGTATACACAACTGCTCTGGACTATGGCAAAGATCTGAAGAACCTAAACGCTATGATTAACGATTTGAAAAGTCTGGAAGGAAATAATTTACAAACCAACTCTATTGACTCCTGGGTTCAGCCATTCATTGACTCTACTAACACTCAGAACAATCTAAGTGGAGCAGATCTCCTCCCTGATAACCCAAATTATGCTGAAGCTAACTTTACCAAGCACATTGGGGAATTCCTAAATGGACCTGGCAAAATGTACAGCTCAAACTTTGAGTATAATAAAGAGAATCCAACCCAGGTCAGTTTGACAAAGATTAAGTATACTCACATCCTGTTTGACAAGACAGCAAAGAAGTTGGATGCTATGAACGATGTGTTTGATGTTGTTCGCAAATATTCTTTTACCAACAAGGTATTTGCGTACGGAGAATCCTACGCAAATAATTTAACCATCGAAATTATAACTGCTGAACTAATTAGAAACATATTGATCTCTCTTTGTGTCATCTTTCTCTGCAGTCTTTTCCTGATTGCCGATATTTTTGCTGCTCTTCTTGTTCTTGTTGTGGTGACAATAACAGTTGTAAATGTTGCTGGCTACTGTAACTTCTGGGGATTAACTGTGGATACAACGTTTGCTATATTTGTTACAATATCTATTGGTTTGTGTGTGGACTATTCAGCGCATGTGGCACATGGGTTTATGACAGAGACAGGGACGCGTGGAGAGCGGATGAAGAACACTATGATTAAGATTGGTCCAGCAGTACTAAACGGAGGGATATCAACATTCATCGCCTTCGTTCTTCTTGCCGGTTCCAGTTCAAAGGTTTTCTTCACCTTCTTCCAGATATTTTTTCTGGTGGTTTGGTTTGGACTGTTCCATGGACTGATATTTCTACCAGTACTTCTCTCCTTAATTGGTCCTGCCAGTCATAGAACTGAAGAGGCGTTTGGGCATAAAAACTTGGATTCGTCCTGGGAGGGGAATGGGAAGGAAAACAAAGGATTTGAAAAGAATCCTCCCCTGGCGATAATATCCAGGACACCAACTCCTACTGAGGCCAACAATACTCCTACCCTACCTGGAGAAATACAGGAGTAGATCATCTAACCAATACTCCAACCCTCCCTGGAGAAATACAGGAGTAGATCATCTAACCAGTACTCCAACGCTCCCTGGAGAAATACAGGATTAGATCATCTAACCAATATTCCTATCCTACATGGAGAAAGACAGGAGTAGATCATCTAACCAATACTCCAATCCTACCTGGAGAAATACAGGAATGGATCATATTACCAATACTCCAACCCTCCCTGGAGAAATTCAGGAGTAGATCATCAAACCAATACTCCAATTCTACCTGGAGAAATACAGGAGTAGATCATCTAACCAATACTCCAATGCTCCCTGGAGAAATACAGGAGTAGATCGTCTAACCAATACTCCAATCCTACCGGGAGAAATACTGGAGTAGATCATCTAACCAATACTCCAATCCTACCTGGAGAAATACAGGAGTAGATCATCTAACCAATACTACAATCCTACCTGGAGAAATACAGGAATGGATCATCTAACCAATACTCCAATCCTACCTGGATAAATACAGGAGTAGATCATCTAACCAATACTCCAACGCTCCCTGGAGAAATACAGGAGTAGATCGTCTAACCAATACTCCAATCCTGCCTGGAGAAATACAGGAATAGATCATCTAATCAATACTACAATCCCTGGAGAAATACAAGAATAAATTATCTATTCTGTACTCCAATCATAATTGGGAAATACATGAGTTGATCATCTAACCAATACTCCAATCATATTTGGAGAATACAAGAGTAGATTATCTAGCCTGTACTCCGACCCTTATTGGATAAATACAGGAGAAGATCATCTACCCTGTAATCCAACCCTACCTAGAGATATTCTAAAATATCATTTCTCTGGTTTTCAAGTTACAAAAATCTAGATTTCACAATTTGCATATTAATAATTTGAAAACTGTTTTGCCTGTTTTCTGAAAAAAAACATTTTGATAACAAGAATTTTCAAAATATTCTTAAACAAATTATTTTTGACAACAAAGTGCACAAAAAATTAGAATTTATAATGATGAAATGCTTTTTTTCCGGCTTAGTATTTTTAGATTATAAATCATTTATATACAGTGCCACACTTTTTAAAAAGAATGTTTATCATAAAAACACTACTTAATTTAACAAAATCACACTCATCAAGACGTTTGCCTTAAAGTTTTTTATTTGACAACGTACAGGTGTTTGTAAATATTTTCTTTGCGTCAAAATTAAGGCCAATTTTAATGATAGTATGATCAAATTAAAAACTATAAAAAATATATTTTTTTAAAATGCCAATACCCCTCTCATTATAAAAGTTTATTTAACTGTTGAAATTCCTTCTGCCTAAAAGGTTTAATAAAGTGAATTAATGTTAACAAATAACTTATCTCACAGATAATACGAAATCCTAAACACTGTGATTATTAGATTATATAAATTATAATATAAAATCAAAAAAAGTATTTTTATGAATAAATTATTAAGAAAATTCTAAATTACCCAACTGCCTCATTGAAAACTCCGGTTCATTTGAACTACTGCCCCAACTTGTAGGCAGCAAAGCAAGTTGGGTGTATAGACAAACAAACTACAGATTGCCTAAATAAATTAATACCCTTCTTTGGAGATTAATGAGAATACAATGAGTTCCAAGAGAAATCATTGATATTCTTCATTGTAAATGGGATGCCCCAGTTTAAACATGGATTAAAGAGAGAAAACGATTTTTATCCAGTCGTTTTCATATATATCAATACAATGAAGACGACTTTCATTTTAATTTTGATTTCTACCGAGCTTTTAAACAGCACGGATACACACATACACATGGAAAAGAAGTTGTCAATTAACAGATTATTTTTGTTTACTTGTAAGCTTTAATTTAAAAAGGCTTGTTAGAAATCAAAACTTGAATAGAAAAGTCGTCTTCATTGTATTGACATAAACGCCGACCACTCTAGTTCAATAAGATTGCTCCGAAAATGTTGCGCAGCAACTTTTGAACTTTTCAAATATACAATAAACAGCAGAGACAAAAAAGGAAATATTAAAACAATTTCGAGTTTATCGTATCCATTATAATATCCATCATAATGGATTTGAGTCTATCTTTTTAGAAATAATGCTGCTCTATATGCAAGCCTTTTCTTTTAGTTCGTGAGATTCTGAGCCATTGGATCCGCAACATTAGAGCTTCCTGGATCCGGATCCATAAAAATATACGAATCCACGGATTCTAATCCAAGTAGAATTGAATATCAACCAAAACATTGAAATATTGCTCTCAAAACGCATATTTTTAAGACTAATAAGAAAGCTGCAATTGCGGCCTTCTAATCATTGAATAAAAAATCAACCTACAACAAAAAAGTGACGAAAAAAGATAAAAGTTTCAAACATTTGTTTTTAGCAAAAGAAATAAGTTAAACAAGTATTAAGAATTATAAACATTAATCCAAACTTACATTCGTTCAATTGGTCATTAGTCCAATTGATATGACACCATAAATGTGGGAAACTTAAAAACGAGTTTTTCAAAAGTTAAAAAGCGTATCTCTAATCTCTAGAAATGATTATAAAGAGTAAAGTAGTCTTCTGATTAGCAAAAATAGAGGATCAAGCATTATAATCTCGATATCCACCATTCTAAGGTTTTCAGCTCTGGGTCTGTCTGATATACTGTAGAGCTGTATATATATATATCCTTACAACTAAACATGTACAGCCCGGGTCCATTTTTTTTAAAAGTACGCATACAGGATCCGCATCAAAATACAAAAACTTCTTTGGATTTCTCTGCTTCTTTTGGTAGATTTAGGACGGTGAAAAATATTCCTTTAAGTTTTTTTTTTTTATAAAAATAAGACCGTATAAGTATATAATGTAATTCTATCTGTAACGTCGTTTTTAAAGTCTATCATTTGGTGTTAAGCAAAAGTTTAGAGTGTTTACAAAACATCTTTAATTTTATAAATTTCTTTCCAAACTATTCGTTAATATTTAACCAGATCTTCTGTGCATTTGTGTACTATAACCTTTAAAATATTTCCGGAATTGGATTTAAACTTGAATTATTCAGTGACAGCTATCAAATTCTATCATAGAGAATAGAATATATAGAGAGGAATTAAAAGAATCTCTCGGTATGAATTTTTTCAGTCCCTTTCAGCCTGAAAGGGAGTTCAAAGTGGACAAATAAGGTAAATGTTCACAAATTATATGCAGTAGAGTACATTAATACAGTATGTTCCCTCGACTATCCATTTCAATTTCGAATTTTTTAAACTGTTAAATAAACTTTATTATGAATTAGGTGAATGAAAACATCATTTGATTTATAGTTAAAGCGGAAAATCATCGTTTGTAAAGTGGAAACCAGCCTATTTCATAATTTGGTTTTCTTTTAACAATAATTTTAGATTTTCTATAAAATGATATTCCAGGACCCGAGAGGAGTAAATTCCTCTCTATAGATTCTATTCTCTATGAATTCTATGTCGTCAATGGTTTTCTATTATTTTGCATATTTAAAAAATATTTATTTGATTTTGTTCAGTAAACTATAAGCATAGAGAATAGAATATATAGAGAGGAATTTACTAGAAAAAAGTGTAAAACGGCCATTTTTTTGTACTGCTTCCATAATGCAGGTGTACTTCACATATTTATGCCATATAACCTGTTGGGCCCTGGACCCTGGGCGCAAATTGTGCCCCCCCTAAACAAAAGCCCTCGTACGCCCCTGTATGTTCATTGGACTTTTTAAAGTCATAACTTATAACTCAAGTCTATAAGTCATTTTTTTCTATTCCAGAGTTTTTAGGTTCTCCGTGTATATACAGTTAAACCCAAGCTAAATATTACATACATCAAAAGAATTTATGAAATGTCGTCTTGACAATTTTTTATTTTATTTTACATAAATCTCAGTATTTGCCAAAATTAATAAATAGCCATGAATATTCAGGAACAGGTTTAAAGCGCTCCGAACAATCATTTAATTAAAAAAATAAATATCTCCCACATTCAATTATCAGAAAGTTAAGAATACGACATTTGATAAATTCTTTCGATGTATTTAATATTTAAGGTTTAAATGTAGTATTTATGAGATTAAGAAATTATTACATCCACGTACATGGTTACTGAAAATATTATATATAGGGTTAACGAGATCGAGGTTATGAAAACTCAATACACAAGGTTCATGAGATTTTTCACGCACTTCACCGAAATTTTGCAACATTAGAGACTCAGTAGGAGCGTAAAGAGCCCCTCCCTGAATGTCAAAATGTCCCTCACCATGATGGACAAATTCCTGTTAACGATCTGTATATGTATTCTATATATAACTCTGGAAAACTACTCAAATGTCCATTCATTATTTTATTTTCTTACTGATCCTATTATAATACAATTTTAGAAGAAAAGCATTTCGAAGTAATTGCATGAAAAGTCATTTATTGGTGTTTTAAGCTATGCTCTATGAAAATATCTAATATTGAAACTTTTTTTAATCATAAAATAAATACTGAAGATTATTGTATTGTGCATATGATGAAAATTAAACAGCCGTTTTAAAATATTAAATATGTACAATACAGCAATCTCCATATGGAGTTTAAGTTAAAACTTTAAAGTCGTTTTTCTTTGATTTATATTCATTCCTTTGATTTATATTCATTACTTTGAATTATATTAATTCTATTGATTTATATTCATTCCTTGGATTTAAATTCATCCTATTGATTTATATTCATTCCTTTGATTTATATTCATTCCTTTGATTTATATTCATTCCTTTGATTTATACTCATTCCTTTGATTTATATTTCTTTTGACTTATATTCATTCCTTTGATTTATATAAATTCCTTTGATTTATATTCATTCCTTTGATTTATATTAATTCCTTTGATTTATATTTATTCCTTTGATTTATATTCATTCCTTTGATTTATATTCATTCCTTTGATTTATATTGATTCCTTTGATTTATATTAATTCCTTTGATTTATATTAATTCCTTTGATTTATATTAATTCCTTTGATTTATATTAATTCCTTTGATTTATATTAATTCCTTTGATTTATATTCATTCCTTCCTTTGATTTATATTAATTCCTTTGATTTATATTCATTCCTTTGATTTATATTAATTCCTTTGATTTATATTCATTCCTTTGATTTATATTCATTCCTTTGATTTATATTCATTCCTTTGATTTATATTCATTCCTTTGATTTATACTCATTCCTTTGATTTATATTAATTCCTTTGATTTATATTCATTCCTTTGATTTATATTAATTCCTTTGATTTATATTCATTCCTCTGATTTATATTAATTCCTTTGATTTATTCATTCCTTTGATTTATATTAATTCCTTTGATTTATATTAATTCCTTTGATTTATATTTTCCTTTGATTTATATTAATTCCTTTGATTTATATTCATTCCTTCCTTTGATTTATATTAATTCCTTTGATTTATATTCATTCCTTTGATTTATATTAATTCCTTTGATTTATATTCATTCCTTTGATTTATATTCATCCATTTGATTTATATTCTTTCCTTTGATTCATATTCATTCCTTTGATTTATATTCATTCCTTTGATTTATATTCATCCATTTGATTTATATTCATTCCTTTGATTTATATTAATTCCTATACTGATTTCACAGTATAAAGCAAAGGTTGAATAGTATTTACTTTTAAAATAAATTCTCTTTTTTGAAAGAAACAACGAAGTTTTTATCAGATACAAACCTATCACAAACTAACAATAACAAAGGACGGTTCTTGAGTCGTCAATCACGTCTTTTATATTTTGACTTCAACTTTTCACTAAATTGTAATTGTATCGTATTAGTGTATAATGTATATTCTTCGCTTTAGCAAAAATATATGTCTATACAATGTTCGAAATAATTTTTAAACATACCAAAAAATGAAAAGACAATCAGGTTTT